TTTAAAATTAATTTGGGTTAGATGAAATTTTGATTAAGTTATATGTATAAAAATACCTGATTTATTTCGAACTTAGTCATAAATATATGCTTTTATACACACATTTTAGGAAGAAAATGCTTTAACATAAATTAATGCCATAATGAATTAATGGTTCCATGACACAATTTTAACATTAGCTCTAGTTTGAACACGTATTAAGAAATATAGAATACTAGCAGACCCGGCCACGCATTGCTGTGGCTAAGGTCTGTGATGGGCAAGTACCATTGCGATAAAAAAAAGTAGTACAACAAAATATGATTTAATCTGCTGGTCTATAATAAAATAAAAAAAAAACTTGAAAAATGGCCCATTTTTAAAAGATAGGAAAATTTTTTATATTTTTATTTCGCTACGTATACCTACCAATTATTACCAAATTCATGGTAACGCCTAAAAAGTTAGGTGGCAGGGATGTATGATGTATGTAATTGTATTGTTCGACGATATCCAGTTCTCGATATCCTTATAGACCAGGAGTTCTATCTGGGACTACTAATTCATGTAGGGTAGAACCCGGTTGTGGCTATTTAGCCGGTTGTAGCCACTTCTGCATAAAATGCCAAATATTAAGTTTTTTGGTCAAATTGGCAAATGTGCAACCACGTAGATCATAACATACAATTATTAGCGACCTCTAGGTTGAAAAATAGGTGCCTCATGTGTCTGTGTGTAACGGCTTTCAAAGTGCAGTGTCTGTAAATTGCTCAATTCTAAGCGTATTTGTTAATGATCACAGTGTAAGTAAACAGACTATATTTTACATTTTTTAAACTTTATCGCTTCAACTTTTGAATAGGTTAAATGAAGGTGTTTAAACCTTTAAATTCTGTGTTTAGGTTAGGTTTCTTCATCTTATAATTTAAAAAAATAAATGGCCACAACTGGAATAGGATTTTTCGTCAATTTGCTAGTTGTGGCCATGACATGGCCAGAACCGGCAAAGTTAAAATATATTTGTGGCCACATACTAAAATACGTGCACTGATAAAAAAGATAGACTTGAACTAAAGTCGTCATAGTTCTTGAAAAAAAAATTTAGTGACAAGAGAATTTATTTCAGCGTAAAAGAAAATATTTTGCCTGAAGAAAAACTTTCTTAACTCAAGAAAACTGGTTCTCTTTAAAAATTCGAAAATTTCTCTTGAATCTATTTTCATTCAACCAAGTGCAAGTTACTTTGTTTTAAGATAATAAGAAAAATACGCTAGGAAGTACTTCACTCAAGAAACATGGCCATTTTTCCAATAGCTAAATACTCTTTTGATGAAAAATAATAACGACACGCAAAGACGATGACGAAGGACGGTATATACAATCAGTCGGCAGTCCGATCAGTCGTACATCATAGTACGCACGGGTTTTGTTGCTTGGAATTTTCCACTTGGAATTTTGCATAATCTTTTTAAACGCATATCGTATAACAAATTAGTGATCGTTATTAACATGCATTTGTCATTTGGACAAATTTTAGGATATATGGATTCTTTAAAGGAGTTTCTGAAAAAATGGAAATTAGAGCATTTATTTGCTATATTTGAAGGTAAGAGACATTTACCTAATGCACCTGTTTAGATAATGCATGTGTGACTATAGATAGAACAAGAATATAGCTATCGATTTTTTTATGCAAATAATTACAAAAATTTTAGAATATCAAGTCGTCGCGCGTCGTATTAAAAAATTCAAAATGTGACCAAAGCTTATAACTTTAATAATTTATTTGCTTTACTTTGATTAATCGTGATGTAACATTTCTTTGTAATTTGTAAAGTGATGAACCACCCCAAAAAATACCAAGGAGTGAAGAAGCAAAAATAACTGCTATCGAGGAAAATAATATCACTTTACTTACTACAGACCAGGAAAACCTAAATTTATCAGAAAATAATATACCTCGTAATATGCCTGTATTATGATGTATAGACTTCTCTTAGATCAAAATAAATTTTAGTCGAGTCAATAGTATTCGCTATTGGTTTAAGAAAAGTGTCTCTTTAATCAAGAAATGTCCCTTTTCAATCAAGAATTTTTGCATAAATCAAAGAGACTATTGTTCTTGTAGCAAGAACTTCTTTGCATATTCATTTTGGGTCAAGAGTGAAATACTTTGGACTGATAGATTCTTCTATTCTCTAAAGTAATTTTTTAAAGCTTATGGAAAGATAGTTAATGCTTTGGGCAAAGAAACGTCGTTCTTGGCCCTATTAAGAAGCGCCAATCTTTTGGGTCAAAGTCATATTCATTTCGACTTAGAGATCCTTTTTTTCAGTGTGTAAAAACCGCACCTTTTCGATGTTGTCTTTTTTAGTTAGGGTAATTTCGGGGTAAATGGCTATACGGGAGAGAAGGCCATTTTTTTAAATAAACAACCTATTTGTAGTTTTAAATTATAAAATTTATTTGAAATATGAGAATTATAGCTATTTAGGTATGATATAAAAATAATTTGACTAACCATCTCTCCCGTATGGCCATCTTCCCCGGAATTACCCTATGGTAATTTAAAAATTTTCAGATGGCAGAAAAAAGGGTTCTTTTCAACTACTCCCAAGAAGATATGGAAGCAGCGTTAAATGCCATCCGTGAACAAAATATGGCTGTGTCAACGGCGTGCAAACAGTTTAAAGTGTCCCGGACTTCGGTGCGAAATAGATTCTCAGGTAAAACTTCAGATAGCTGTAGAAGAGTTGGCCCAACTGCAGTACTTGGGTGAGCAGTTGAAAAAAAAAAAATTGGTGAAGTGTTTCCGATTAATCGAGAAGGTCTTCTATATTCGGTACAAAAGCTAATAGAAGAATTTAAAATACCGACTCCCTTCAAGAATAATGTTCCTGGAGACAAGTGGTTTAAGTCTTTCCTAGTTAGAAACCCGGAAGTATCTAGGAAACATTCGGAATACATAAACCAAGCAAGAGCGGCTCTTACGGAGACAAAAATCAGGCCATGGTTTGAAGAGGTGCGGCAGCAATTAGGTCCCGAAATCGAACCACCTAAATAGAATTCTGACAATAGAATTCCACAATTCTGAACCACCTAAATAGAATTTTTAACCTGGACGAAACAGCGAATTTTTAACACCTAAAGGCAATTTAGTCCTAGGGGCAAGAGGAAAAGGTGTCTATGACGTTACTACTACCTCTGAGAAAGATAATGTAACAACCCTGATGGTTGCCAGTGCAAGTGGTCAATTTGGTCCTCCCTTAACATTACCTAGAGAATAGTTTTGTAAGAATGTGGCCACAAATAGTAGTAAATGTGGCCACATTTGGCACAAGGTGGCCACAAATGGGAAAAATCGTATGTTTTCATAAAATGCTTATTTTCTGTTTATTAAGAATACAAAACTTTACAATAAAAGCAGATTTTGAAAAAAAAATGTTTGGAGAAGCACCAAAAATTTTGCTTTATCTCCAAAATTAACTACAAATATTTTTTCTGATAAATCAAACTCTAAAAATCCCTTAACCTGGCCACAACCGGTGCTTCTACCCTACTACTTTTTTTTTATCGCAATGGTACCTACTTATCCTGTATATTGAAATTTGGGCAAATACCAATGTTTTTGCAGTCGGCATATGCCCAAAAGGTCAATAAATAGTATATGGAATTTGTGTAAATACCATTATGCCCGGTATATACCCAATCATACCCACGTTTTTATTTAATTTAAGGTATTCTGAACAATTTTTAAAGACAATTTGTTGTTAAATTAACATTATTGAATTACTAATATTGCTATTAAAAAATAGGGGAAATGAATCTCGGAAATGAATAGGGGAAGGACGAAAATTTAGGGTTGTTTGTATTTTTAATGCCACATCATAAAAAAATAAAAATATAAAGTTTTGTCCAAAAAGTAAAAGATAAATCACTTAGGGGTATAAAAGATAGATAACCTATTATTATTATTCTCAGACCTACTGAATATACATATAAATTTCATCTAAATCGGTCAAGCCGTTTTAGAGGATAATGGTAACAAAAAATTAAAAAAAACAGCCCCTATTAAAAAATAGGGGTTGATGGTAGAAGGGTGGAAGTTTAGGGTTGTATGTATTTTTTAATGCCAAATCATAAAAAAAATAAAAATAAAAATTTTTCCAAAAAATAACAATTGGTTTAGGCCACCCTTATACTTAGGGGTATAAAAAATAGATAACAACCTATTCTCAGACCTACTGAATATTCATATAAAATTTCATCAAAATCGGTAAAGCCGTTTGGGAGCAGTAATTAGATTTTTTATTCTTAAGACTAATCCTAATACCAGAATAATTTTCGAGAATAATTTGTATCATAATAATTTGTGGGTCTCTTTTGCTAGGTCCACTTATTATTTTTTTATTGAATGGTGTGTTAAAAGATAATCCAAAAATAAACAATAAAAATATGTAAATTTTGGTTTTTTGGTTTTCTTTAACCGATTTTAGTCTCTAAATTAGTTTTCCGGAGAAGAAATTATTTTTATTATATCTGTTCGTAAAAATAATTTTAGAAAATGGAACCACGAATGTATTTAAGTATAGATATTCTTTTCTTCTTTAGTAACTAACAGTATAATTAATTGTCCATAGATATTTTAATCTGCGCTCGGTAATTTGTGTTCGGTGGCGGAGAGTTGTGTTGGCTCTCGTCTACCAATCTCAAGGTTGTGGGTTCGAATCCCACACCCGGCATTTCGTCAGCCGATTATTTTTATTAAAATAAAAATAGTTTGGGCACCTAGGTCGACTCAGCCTTAAATAAGTACTTGGGATTCACAATCCTTAGGTAATAATAGGCGGTTGAAGCGTAGTGCTAGCCACATTACCTTCCTTGTATACCGAACGGCTCTAGCATGGCAAGCTGTACCTTGCTACTCCCAAGGCGTTAAACGCTATATTGCTAAATACGGGAGCTGTTATTATTAAATATTATGTATCCTTTTACCTGATTATTATCTGATTATTTCTTACCTGACTTAAACTGGCTTTGTACACTATGACATACATTCCAAACAGCACCATAAGGAATCCTAGTATGAATTGAACTACTCCCAATACCATCAAAACTCGATTTGAGGTAAAGATAGCTGCTGATGTTTTGTCAGCGATTGAACAACTTGGGGATTCCTTTGGAGATTTGCAGATCAGTTTATCCGTCGATCTTTTAGTGGATAATGTCATTGTATTCTCCATGGAATTCACTGGAGATGGATGTTTCTTTCGAGGAAGTTTTTCACTTGATAACGAAGTTGCTTTTTCCTTTTCCGAACTAGATGGAGGTAGAGTTTTCCCAGAGTTTTCAGTTGATTTCTCCATAATGTTGTGTTTGTAATATATTAATACTGCCTGGCGATGAACTTCTTCTGAAAGTTAATTTATTTTAATTAATAAAATATATAGGAATAAATAATGATTTACTAAAAAAAATCAAAATAAATAAAAGTTACGTTGCTTAATTTATTATGCCTTAGATTTATGAAGAATATAAATAGAAAATTAAATAAATTATACATATATTTGAAACATTAACATTGTAATAATTACATTACAACATATAATTGTAATACCTAGAACGACTTATTTTCAATAGAATAAAGGATAGTATCTTAGACAATATTCCAGTTGAACAGGCAGGTTTCATTCCTAAACGCAGTTGCTGTAACCAAGTCCTAGCACTTATATCTCACATTGAAGGAAATTTCCAACTTAAGCTTAAAACCTCCATAGCTTTTGTCGATTTAACAGCCGCTTACGACACAGTCTGGAGAGATGGTATGGTTTATAAATTACTTAAAGCACTTCCTTGTCAAAGTATAGCTCGAGTTATCAATAACATGCTAAGTAACCGATATATCCAAGTATTTCAGGGAGAAAGCACAAGTAAACCTAAAAAACTTAACAACGGCTTACCCCAAGGCTCCGTTCTCGCCCCTCTCTTATTCCACTTATACATCTCTGACCTACCAGATACGCAATCTAGAAAATTTTGTTACGCAGACGATATATCCATAGCAACGGAACATGAATCGCTATACCAAACCCAAGAAACGCTTACAAAGGATCTCGCATCCTCGAATGCCTATTTTATAAAATGGAGACTTCAATCCAGTGCAAATAAGACAGAAGTGGCTACCTTCCATCTTAATAACAAGCTGGCGAATACTGAAATAAGCGTCCAGCTTGGTAACACCACTCTGCGTAATAACAAATATCCAAAATATCTGGGGATTACTCTAGACCGTACACTCTCATTTCGAAAACACCTAGAAAATGTTGCTCGGAAAATCAGAACATGAAACAACATTATACAAAAACTTTGTGGTACTTCTTGGGGTGCAAAAGCAACAACACCTCGGATCTCCGCCCTTGGTCTGGTATTCAGTGTGGCAGAGTATTGTGCATCCGTGTGGTTGAACAGCCACCACACAAATCTCGTAGACAGACAGCCAAACCAAACCGATCTAAACTGGAAAACATGGTCAACTTTGAATAGGATACGTTCTGGCCATGGAAGATGTGCCGATTTCCTTTATAAGTGGGGAAAACACCTTCCCCAGAATGTGATTGCGGATCCCCTCACCAAACCATCCATCACATAACTAGAGAGTGCAACCTCCCGCTTATGGTGAAGACTGGAGGGACTTTCTGGAGGCTTCTCCATCAGCTTTGGAATGGATAGGGCATCTAGATGTTAATATATAGTGTTCGTAAATACGTTTTTTATGTTGTCTTTTGTATATACTTGTTTTTTTTTATATTTACATTGTAATGTTTTCATTTACATTGTAGTTTATTTTATGTCTATGTTTAAGTGTCTGGCTTTCTTGCATGTATATGAGCCATACGATAAATAAATAAATGTAATCCTACATATATGTACTATGAATATAATTGTAACTTATGTTATACTAAAATGAATATGACTAAACACTGCTGTACAGGGTGGGTCAAATTCGACGCTTTTAAATGGAAACACCCTTTTCTATAGGAGATAGACAAAAACTAATATCGGTGTCTGGAGCTCAATTTTCATCAAAAACATGCTGGTGAAAACCCCACATCAATATCTGTTACCGTTTCGGAGTTACGGTTTTTTTTTCAAAAATGTGCATTTTTAACAAATCGCTGTAACTTTTTTACTATGGAAACATTCAAAACATTTCCAAAGCACCTTTTTACGTAGAATTTAATGGTTTAAGTATAATTTTTTTTAAATTAATAATTTAATAGTTATCAACAGAAAAATTGATTTTTTATTTGGGATACCCTCTATATTTTTAATTAATTGAAAGGAATTTAAAATTACCTTTCCAAAAATATAGCAAACTTGATATTTTGTTATAATCCCCTTCGAAATACAGAATTTTTAAAAGTTCGCCACTTTAAACTAGTAGGCTTTGGACCACTTATTGATGATATGCCCTTAATGGAACTCGAAAACATATTTTTCCAGCAAGGCGACGCACCGTGTATGAACGCTGAAGTTATCAGCAAATTTTTGCAGCCAATTTCAAGAATAATTGAATAGCTAACCAAGATCCCAGCCGTTGGCCGTCGAGGCCGCCTGACTTAGTGCCCATGGATCTAATCCTATGAATATATTTGCGGAAGAATAAAGGTTCCTTATTCTTCCTTATTCTTCCTTATTCTTCCGTATAATCTAGATAAGAATTAGAAATACTTAGCAGTTATGAGAGGGTACCTTTCACCCCCACTGAATTAATGAATTCCGCGAGAAATGTTCAAAAACTGCCCCGTCTGTCCATAACACAAGACGGTTGATATGTCGGTCACCTGTAGCAAAATCTCATGTCTTGGTTTGCTATTTATTTTTATTGGTATTAGATATAGTTTAAATGTGTTGTGATGTCGGTTAAATATATTTTAAATTGTTATAAAATTCTGCATCTCTCATAGCAAATATTATTTTCGTTTTAATTGATGCTCACAGCTAGAATTTTTTTGCATTACAGCCGGTGCCGTTCAAAGCCTACTTATTTAAAGCGGGCGAATTTTTATATACTCTATATCTCGAAGAGGAATCGAGCAAAATATCAAGTGTGTTATATTTTTGGAAAGGTAATTTTAAATTATTTTCAATAAATTAAAAATATACAGGGTGTCCCATATGAAAAATCAAATTTTCTGTTGATAATTCTTAAATTATTAATTTTAGAAAAATTATACTTAAACCATTAAATTCTACGTAAAAAGGTGCTTTGGAAATGTTTCCATAAAAATACAAAATTTTCCATAGCAAAAAAGTTACAGCGATTTGTTAAAAATGCATATTTTTGAACAACACCCCGTAACTCCGAAACGGTAACGATATGCAGTTTTCACCATCATGTTTTTGACAAAAATTGAGCTCCAGACACCGATATTAGTTTTTGTATATCTCCTATAGAAAAGGGTGTTTCGATTTAAAAGCGTCGAATTTGACCCACTCTGTACAGATTAATGAAATATTTTTAATCATAATAATTATATATTTAACACTTTTAAAGGTTTCTTAATATTGCAGTTAACCAACGTTTGATTGAAATACTTAAATTTATTTATTAAACTATAGATAATAACGTAATCTTATTAATCTTTCAGATCAGCAAGTAAGAGAAAATTACACACTAACCACAATACCCCATTACCAATTTTCGGTTTTGAAACAACAAAGGTTCTAATGTAAAGTATATTTTCCAGTAAATAAAAACTACAAACTTTGTGCAGACATGAATATTTAATATAATATTGATATTTTTAATGGAATTAATTTAGCAGTTTAAGTCTCGATATAGATCTTTGTTAGTATATGTTTGCCCCCCTCCTAAAATCTATAAATTATATATTAAAATAAATTCCTGCATCCGCCCCTGTATGTTTTAGTTTATTATACAGGGTGGTCCGAACTGTATTTCGAAAACTTCGGCAGCATATTCTGCAGATAAAAATAAGTAAAAAAGTTTGTATAAATATATGTCCCAAAATGCTTAGTTTCGGAAATACAGAGTGTAGGTAGAAGTTTCATTTTTATTTCGATTTTTTCTATATAATTTCTGAAGTAACGTTAATAGTTGGATGAAACTTGGTGTCTGGGAGTTTTTTAACATGACAGATTTGATGTTGATGTCGATATGACTCCTACTTTTTTGACCGTACCTGTATAAAACTGCCGAGTAAAAAATATACATTCACAACGTTTTTTACGTTAAAAATCTCTGTTGGTAAAAACCGCTACGAGTAATGGTTCTCGAGATATTTGAAATCGAAATTATCAATACCTGTCAGCATTGACATAAATTTAATTAAACATGTTGACTAAATAATTATTATAGTGAAATCATAAATTTGAAATGATTTTGTGTCAAATGTTCAACAGAAACTGTTCATCATCATTTTTTCGAGGAAACATTTATTATTAATTTTAAATTTGATTAAAAAAATAAAAAGTTCCCAAATTTATCATTTCAGTCAAATAACTCTATCTACACAAAATTATTATTTTTTGTCAATAATGACATGTATTGACTACTTCCGTTCTAAATATCTTTATACAGGTACGGACGAAAAGTTATTACTCTTCAAAACAGTTAAAACACATGTAGATGGCGCCCCCTACTAATAGAAGTTATATTGACATCAAAATCAAATTTCCCATGTCAAAAAACTCCCAGACACCAATTTTCATCCAAATATCGACGTTACTTCAGAAATTATTTGGAAAAATCAAAATAAAAATGAAACTTCTACTAATTTTTGTATCTCTGAAACTAAGCAATTTAGGACATACATTAATTCATACGAACTTTTTTACTTATTTTTATCCTTTGAATTTTTATCTGCAGAATATGCGGCCGAAGTTTCCGGAATACAGTTCGGACCACCCTGTATATTTTAAAATGCTAATAATTATATAGAAATATTGTTATAACTGTTAATGCCCAGAATATTTTTTTCCAACAATTTTTGCAGTATTTTATTTTAGGGTCGCTCTAGCTTTATTTTAATTATTCAAATATTGGAATTTTTTTATTTGATGTTCATTAGGTGTCATTTTTTAACGTATGATAAATCATACGCTGGAAATCAATGACAACAGAAAATAATTAGTAAATAACTCATCAAAGTTTATTGAAAATATGTTTTTTATATAAAAGTACACGTTGAAATGACTTTTCATAGTATGAACGAAAGCAGCCATGATGGCCATCTAGATGAAGCCCGACCTTACGATACAGAAATTTGTATTTTCCACATTTTGCTAAGTGATCTTTTCTATCCAATAGAACTTTGCTAGGATATCTTGACAAAACTTTTGGTTTGGTTTTGGCTTTGTTTCTGTGAAAGGATGTGTCGCAATAGTCAATGACAAAAACAGTACTGGGGGAATTTTCAGGTCAGGTACTTGGAACAACCTCAAAAAGAAAATTTTACTTCTCCAACTCCCAGTGGATGATGACATACCAAGAATTTGCAACTTTGAAAAACACTTTACTGTAGTATTGAGCAATAAAAAGGATTGGAAGAGAGAAACGTTTGCTCAGCATATAAAAAACCACACCATAACGTGGTATACTGATGCTTCCAAAACCAAAGCAGGGGCAGGGATAGGAGTATTTAGGCCGAAAACTAAATACTCCTAATCAATGGGCACCTACCCCAAAATCCTTCAGGCAATTTATCTTAGATAGAAACTATCGAAAACAGGAAGTTGCCATCTTATCTGATACTCAAGCGGCACTAAAAGCGATCAACTCAGTAACCATCAATTCGAATTTGGCCAAAGAATGCCTAGAGAAGCTGAACAAATTAGGCAAAGAAAATAAAGTCCCCCTACGGACTGAATGCCCTCTTACCAAGGGATAGAAGGCAATGAAAAAGCAGCGATCTAGCTAGAAAAGGAGCGAACACTCCACTAACAGGATCAGAACTGTTCTGCTTTCCAAGCGGAAACCAATTTAAACCGGAAGTGAAGAACCTGGAAGACATTACCGTAACCTGGAATAAATTCTCCAAAGGTCTAAGACCTTCGAAAAAGTTCCTCAGAACTTACGACCGAGAAAACTCAGAGGTTTTCCTTTATTTAAGTAAAAACAATCTTCTTCACGAACCCGAGGACACTGTCTTCTCAGCGAACACCTCAGTAGATCGAAGCTGAGAAACAACGGCGAATGCAGATTCTGTGGGGAAAATGGGAAAACACCAGAACACCTTATCACTGAGTGCGCCGATACGACAACCGTTCGTGCCATAAAATTTGGTACAGCTGATGTAGAAGATAGAGAGCTGGCCTCTGAGGAGCCGTCTCAGATACTGGCTTTTGTCAAAGCCCTGAGACTGTATGATTAGCTATAACTCGTTATAACTCGATAAAGGGGGAGACAATAGAATTCTAGAATATTCTACATTCTACAAGGAAATCTAGGACGGCAATATAGGAAAGAACAATTTTTTTAATTTTATCCAACAATGACAATGTCTCATCTTCAAGTCAAATACCATGTGAGTCTTAAAGGCGTGCAAATATTTTTATAGGTGGTATATTTCCACCCAGAAACATGTCTATGAGGTTATTTTCGGTACAACATTTTTGGAATATTTGGTATTTTTCGATTAAAAATTTTTGGATCTTTCTTAATTTTTACTTAAAAAATATAATATCTTGATAATATGGCAACATAGGTAGTAGATTAAATTTACAAATAAGAAAACCCAGAAATATTCACTGGTTCTCAAAATTTAACCATAAATGTCATTTATCATGTAAAATAACTGGGATTATTTTGGACTTATTGGAAAAACGGCAAAGAGAAAATATGTTTCTTTTATCGAGATCTAGCAGCTCTGAAAATATTTGCACTTGTGTCTTGGGTTAAGACAAACAGCGAAATTTTGTTTCTGCGTAGATAATAATAATATATTTATAGTGGATTTTTATATATAAAAATCTATGTATTTATATTTTAATTGCTTTTAAGATAAAAGCTAGTTCACCATAATAAGCCAAACACTTTACTTTGAAAACGCACTCTTAAAGCCCCATACTCACTATTCGCTAATGCGGTTCGTCGATGCTATTTGTCGATGCAAGTTTGTCCATTCATTGTCCGTTCATTGTGGTTGTGATAATTCTTTCGATTGTTTGTCCAAAATTCGACATTCCGCCGAATCCCCGCATTGACGAACCGCATCAGCAAATAGTTGAGTATGGGGCTTGGCACGTTTCGCTAACCATGATCAGCAGATGAGTAAATTTGAGGTTCAATCAATCATCTGATGAAGATTAAATCGAAATAAAAAAATAGAGCAAAACGTGCATCCGGTGTTAAAAGTAATGTGTTTTGGAGTATGGCAAGCTAGTGTTTAAATTTTTAAGTACCGTATGATCGAGAAAAAACGGCGTCAACGATGGCTATGAAATGAAGATCGCTGTCATTTTATAGGGGAAATGTCTAAGGGAAATGTCATCGATCGTCATTTCCCAGCCAACTGGACGCCATTTTTTTTCGATCATACGGTATTTATTTATATTACGAATATGTAATATATTATTAATATTACGAAAGTGTCGATATACTAAATAAATATTATTTAAATTTTGTTAATAAAAATATCCACTAAAATTATAAAAATTATGAAAAACCCAAAATATATTTTTAATATTTTAAAATATCTACTAATCTATATATACAGTATGTCCCCGGATTGTTTTTACAAGAGGAAAAAAACTTCTTTATTATTGACATTTTGAGAAAAAAGCATTCTTCATAAAATGTTTTGCTTGTTCTAAAATGGTAATTCCCGTTTATACTTTTCCAAATTTCCGTTTTAGAGCAAATTAAAAATCATGAAAATGTAGTTGAAATTTTTCCTATTAGAACTAGTCCTAAAAAAAACTATTTTAGACAAAGTCCTAAAAATCAAAACGCGGGTTTCTATGGTATTATAACTTGGTTTTCATTCTGTGATAGATTATTATTGATAGAACATTAATTAAAGTCATATTTTTTACTGTTTTTGCTGCATTTTCAAGTTTTTTTTTTAATTTCTCTAAAACGGATAAATATTTGGAAAAGTATAAACGAGAATTCGCATTTTAGAACAAGCAAAATTATTTATGAAGAATCCATTTTTCTCAAAATGTCAATAATAAAGTACTAATCCTCTTGTAAAAACAATCCGGAGACATAATGTATATTATCTAATATCTAGGTATATTAGAATCTGAAATATATATATAACTCAAATTTAAGTTGGAAAGACGAAAAAATTAAATGTTAATAAAATTTATTAAAATGAAAAATTGTATATACCTATTTCTTAAGGGTATTTATATGTCCATCACAATTTCAAACAGAATTATGCCATTTAACATCACACATAATCGAACGACCGCACATTCTAAAGTCCGAACTTAATAGTACAAATCGTATAGTTTATGTTAAGACTGTGACCGTAATAATTCGCGCGCGATCCGTCTCGCTCGCCAAAGAACACAATCGAATGAATAAACATATCCACTTGTTTTAGAGTCGGTATGTTCAATAAGAAGTGAAAGCTTTAGGCAAGGCACCAATGATCGGGGACGATCAGCAGAAGTAAAAACTCGTTGATATGCCACAAGGATAGTTTACTTGCCAGTTTGGGCTGTGGCTTTTTTGGATATTTTCATAACTTAGAAAACTGCCGACTTTCTTTTTATTATTTTTAATTACGATGTTTCATCATACGTTGTGATATAGTATACCTTAACCATAATTTACGTTATAGTTTAATATTGCGAGGGCGCCTAACCATGTATTTATATATCCTAAGGTGGTGTTAGCTAATTACTAAATGACGATTGGTAGCAGTGGCGTATTTACGTTTTTGCTTTTTTTGCTTTGGGGGGGTGGGGGGGGGGGGTCCAATAAAGAATAAAATTGATCACGAAATAAAAAAGTACCTTCCTATAATTAATATCTTTGACAACAAAAAACAACTTAGATATAAAAATACAAAACCAGATATAAAAATAAAAAATCGAACAAAAGGAAAACAACTTATACAAAAATAATTAATAAAAATTAATCTAAATTAGTTTGTGGTACTATTCTAAAAATTTTTTGAACATATTCTAATTCAGAGTGCCAGGGTCAACAGGGTCTTTCAAAAAACATGTGCCATCTCTCGTGGGGAGGTTTCTCGCGTAAAAATAAGATTTATTTTTCATATCAATAATAGGTCCGATTCTGCTTTGTTTGGTAGCTACAGGGTGTTCAGTCTTAATATTTTTTCGATTTATTATAATTTTCTTCCAAGTACTTTTAGCGTTTCGAATGAAATTTTGAGGGTAAAAGTGGCATATATGAGACATATTTTAAAGCTAAAAAAGTGTCGACAACCAGGGACGTGCATATGGGTTATCATTGGAATATTTTTCTAAAAAAAGCATGTACGCTACTGACTTTTTTTCCTTTTGTTAGCGAAATAGTGTAAGCAGTTTAATGCCGATTAAAAGTTATCTCTTGATATTTTGTCGATTTCGGCCTCCTTAGTGAGATAAACGCAATTTAATTAATTTACCTTGATCCAAGTCTAATTGCAACCTATAAAAAAATTTAATAGCATTATCTTGCCTAAGTTTTAAATAAGTACTCATTGATTCCTCATCAAACAATATGAAAAAAAGTTATTATAAACATGGATATGGAAATGCATAGTTTTAGAGTTACAGAATGTTAAAACTTATTAAAATTAGGTTTTTTGAAATTATTTTAAATACTAATAATGAATAAACTGTATATATAATTGTATTTTTTATCTGAAACTGCTGTAGGTTGGACTAATAGTAATAATATTTAATAATAAATTAGGTAAAATGTATAATTTATCAATGTTATTTTAATTTTAATTTTATTAATTGTAATTAATAAAATTGCGTTTGTCTCATCAAGGAGGCCGAATTCGACAAAATATCAAGAGATAACTTTTAATTGTCGTTAAACGGCTTACACAATTTTGATATCGAAAGAAAAAAAGTCAGTGGCGGACATGTTTTTTTTTAGAAAAATATTCCAGTGATAAACCATATGCACGTCCCTAATGGACTTACCGACACTTTTTTAGCCTTAAAATATTTCGCACTTATAGTAACTTTTACCCTCAAAATTTCATTCGAATCACTAAAAGTACTTGAAAGAGAATTATAATAAATAGAAAGATTATTAAAATTTTAACACCCTGTAGCTACAAAACAATGCAGAATCGGACATATGTTGATATGAAAAATAAATCTTATTTTTACGTGAGGAATCCGAGAGAGATGGAACATATTTTTTGAAACACCCTGTATAAAGCAATAGTTGAATGAAAAATGAATATTTTTAAATACCTAAGTAAATTCTTTGCGATTTTTTGTAAAGTCCTCTGGGGGGGGGGGTCCAGACCCCCTCTGAACCCCTCCATAAATACGCCACTGATTAGTAGCGCTGCATTGATAATATACAGGGTGTCCCAGTTCAAACGAAACAAGGCAATTTAAAGGCATTTCTGGTGTGAAAAGGACAAAACGGTGAAACAAGTCAACTTTACTTTCGAAGGAGAAATAAGATGCGACTATTTTTGAAACCCCTAATTCAAACCCCACGCAGGGGTGACATCCACCATTAAAATCTTAAATGTAATGCGGGGTCGAGTAGCACATCATTTGAAAGGTTATTAAAGCCTCTTTTCAGCGCCCGCAGTCTCATTTTTGGAGTTTTTGTCACATTTGGTGGAATCGGGCTGAAAAATAAACTTTTCATAAATTGATGATGTTTTGATATTTGATTAATTGTACAGGAATCGAATGGGGTCTAAAAAAAGAAATTTAGTTTAAATCAACAAGATTTTGCTTAAGGAATAATACACAAAAATAGTACTCTGCTTTGAAACAATTACTTGATTAAATGTTGGAATTGAACACCCCTGCTTCCATGCACGAATACAGGTCCTGCTCAAAACGTTCTCGGACGTGTTGTAATATTTCGGGTGTTATAACCGCGCACTCGTGTACAATTCTTTGACGTAATACTTCTACTGTCTCCGGTTGCATGGCGAATACTTTTGTTTTGACATGTCCCCCTAAAAAAAATCCAGCAGAGACAAATCCGGTAATTCAAGAAAGGGTCCCCTTCTTCCAATCTACCGACCGGGAAATGTTTTATTAAAAAAATAAAGGTGAGTTTTATTAAAGAAGCATATACCAAAAATTTAAGGATTTTGACATATTTCACATTTTGTGAAAATGAAGAGTAAATTTTAAATTTCGATAACAGCTACCTAAATTTTAGTTGACCTTGTATAGTCTGATATTTATTTACAGTAACCATTGCATGTTAAACCAAATTGAAAATTTACCCGAAAAGTTATACAGGGTGAGACAAAATTAATATGAAACCTTAGTCACTTTTAAAAGCAAGTTACTCCTTTATTTTAAATAGAACACCCAGAATATTGTTCCAATGTTCAATGGAGAATTCATATATCTTTAAAATATTATTAAGGTTTGCCTACCTCTCAGACAAAGATTTTCCTAGATATTTTAATTTTTATGATTTTGCGTCAGTAGATCTTTATTATTTCAAAAAATCTAGTGTGGATGTGTGATATACCTTTTGTTAATTTAACAAAAATTAAAGATTATAGAGTAAAATGCTCAACCGTAATAAAAAGATACACATTGGTTGGGGCTCGTAAAACCAAAATGTTTCTGGCTTGTAGGACCAAAATGTATCTTGGCGGAGAACCAAAATCTGGATGATTCTGGTAGTCGGACTGTCGAAGGACCAGTTGAAATAACATTCAACAACGATAACTTTTACACACTTATATTGTAGACAAATAACACAAGTGAAACTTATTAATTATACTTAAAATAACAACGTTTAAAATTTCTCGTAACAATATTATAAAAGCCAAAGAAAAATTGTCGATATGCGGATGGCGTCTTTCGACGCGTCGTGCGTACTCTCGACGCGTAAAGCGTACTCTCGACGCCTGAAGCGGACTCTCGACGCGTAAAGCGTACTCTCTCTAGAACCACGTTCCAGTCTCTTAAATAATGTCTCACTTCAAAAATAGCCATAGGCGTACAATACAATTTTCATGTTCTTAAATCTAACATTCATAACAGTGGACGACACTGCCCTAAACTTACATTGTTTAGATAGACAGACGTCTGCGACAGCTATATAGTTTTACGATCAAAATTCCCAGTGGTAATAGTTAAGTTAAAGTTATAATTTTACGAATATAAAGTAGGGTCGTTTATCATCTTAGAGGTAAGGTACCTTAATAAGGTTTTTATAATGGGAAATTTCTTCAACTTTCTTAACAGAGTAGAGTAACTTTAAACTATAAACAATTATTATAATCTAACAAAAAATGTCTTAGCTAGCCTGAACATGCCGGCCCCCTTGAAAAGGTCCGAGCTTTTCAACACAAATCAAGGATAAATCAGTGATCTAGTTTATCTTCGTCTGGCAAGGGTAGAACACACACTTTCTTGATTGAACGTCTGGTAACGTGACCGTTTGGTAATCGCACTGACACTACTCGCACAATATTGTCTTGACCTCTATGTAGTTCGGTAATGCGTGCCATGGGCCATCTAAGCGGAGATATGTCATCTTCAACCAAAACCACAAGGGATCCAATTTTCACCTTCTGGTCTTCGTCGGTTTTCCTTTTGTTTCTTGTTTGCAAAGTCGCCAGATATTCTCTGGACCATCTTCTCCAAAACTGAGTATACAGCACTTGTATTCGTTGATAACGAGTGAGACGGTTCATTCTTTCTTCAGAAATCGTTTGTTCAGGCATACTTCTTAGAGAATCGCCAATAATGAAATGCGCTGGGGTTAATGGAGTAAAATCTAGGATATCATTGGACAAGGGCGTTAAAGGACGCGAATCTAAACACGCTTCGATAGATACATGAACAGTGTAAGTCTCCTCATACGTTAAAGAAGCGTCACCAATTGTACGTTTTAAATGATATTTTATTGACTTAACCGCGCTCTCCCACAAACCACCCATATGTGGAGATTTCGCGGGAATGAAATTCCATTTTATAGAATCCCGAACCAAAAAATTGTCCACCTCTAAATTATGTTGTTTGTTATTAATCAACTTATAAAGTTCCAAAAATTGATTATTTGCACCAACAAAGTTCAATCCGTTATCGCTAAAAATTTGACTTGATTTGCCTCGTCGTGAAAAGAACCGCTTTAAAGCATTGATAAAACTGTTTGTACTTAAATCAAAAACTAATTCGATATGTATTGCGCGCGTGGAAAGACATACAAAAACAGCTATATATGTTTTAATTAACTTAGACTTTCTTAAGGTGCCTTCTTTGACATAAATCGGACCTGCGTAGTCCACAGAACAAATTGAAAATACTCTGCTAGGGTTTACACGTGCTTTCGGCAATTCCCCCATTAGAAATTCACAAGGTTTAGGTTGTACTTTGTAACAGGTAAGGCAAAATTTCATGATTCGTTTTATCGCATTTTTTCCGTTAACAGGCCAATATTTTAAACGTAGAATTGATAGTAGAGTCTGAATTCCAGCATGGAAGTTTCTAATATGTGAATCTAAAATTATTAAGTCCGTTAACTTGTGTTTGTAGGGTAATATTATCGGGTGTTGCTGATCGTAACTGACATTTGCGTTTGATAATCTACCGCCGATTCGTAATATGCCTTTAGAATCTAAGAACGGGTGTAAGCTTAGTATTTTACTATTTTTATGTACGTTTCTACTATTTTTCGATTCAAGTAATGATATTTCCTCCGTAAAACATTCGCGCTGTGCTAGTCGTGTTAACATTTCCTGTGTTTCGTTAAGTTCCTGTATGCTAAGATTTTCTGATGATATAGGGACTTTCAATAAACAACGATTTTTTAATCTACGCACGTATCCAAAAACACGTACTAATTTCCAAAAGATGTATATTTTTCGAAAATTGTAAACACCGTTATATCATTGTTGTCAAATTTAGTTTGCTCAGTAACGTTTAAGCTTAATGTGTTCTTTTTTAATTCGGGTAAAATTTCTAAATCAAAGTTACTTTGTATATCACTGTCTAAATTTTTCAACCTTAAAAATTGAGGTCCGAAAAACCACATATTGTTTTCAGAAAGTTCCTTTGGATTAACACCACGCGATATGATGTCTGCCGCATTATCTTTTACTTTTTACGTGTCTCCAATCGTGAATGTTTGAAATTTCAATAATATTTGCTACCCTGTTGGCAACAAAGGTTTTTAAATTACATGGTTCGGTTTTTAGCCATGCTAGAACAATTGTCGAATCCGTAAAATATATTGTTCTAGATATTTCGATATCCAAAGTATTTTTTATCTTATAAACTAACTCTGCTAACAAATGAGCTGCTAAAAGTTCAAGTCGTGGTAGTGTTTGTTTTTAAGCGGAGCAACACGTGATTTTGCCGTTAAAAGTTTAATTTCTTTTTTCACCGTTTTTATTGAAGCTAAATAGATACAAGCACCATATGCTATTTCGCTACTATCACTAAAACCATACATCTCCACCATTTCTACGTTAATTGTCAAAACGTGACGATCGATTCTTACGTTATTAAGATGCTTGATTTCTGATAAAAATTGTAACCAACGTTCTTTTAGATCATTCGGTATATCTTGGTCCCAATCTAGTTTAAGATGCCACAATTTTTGTATTATTAATTTTGCTTTAATTATGGCTGGACTAATCAATCCAAGCGGATCGTAAATACCAGAAATTATAGATAACACAGATCGTTTTGTTACCTTTTCTTCGCTCTTTGTGATCTTTATTGAATATTTTAAAACATCTTCGTTAGGGCTCCACGCAATACCTAAAGTTTTTAACTCCTTGTCGTCGTGAAATAATACTAACTTGTCGTCATGTTTCTCACTTGTACTTAAAATATAATTTAATACTTTTTCGCTATTCGACGACCATTTTCGTAATTCGAATTTCGCGCTCGATAAAATATCTACTAGCTCGTGATAAATTTCCATAGCTTCTTGTTCTGTATCTATACTAATCAACAAGTCGTCAATGTAAAAGGAATTATTAATTATTGATGCAGTACGTGGAAATTTAAGTTTATTCATTTCTGACAGCTCTTTTAAACAGCGTGTTGCTTGGTATGGAGCGCTTGCGGTACCGTAGGTTACGGTTTTTAAATCGAAAACTTTAATTTTTTCTTTCGGATCGTCTCTCCATAAAATTTTTTGAAAACTCTGTTCGCTTTTGTCAATTAAAATACATCGGTACATTTGTTTACATCTGCACTTAAGACAAATTTTCTTAACCGCAACCGAATTAAAATGCTGTATAGATCGTCTTGAACAGTCGGGCCTACTATCATAAGATCATTCAGTGATACGCCTGATTCACTTTTCGCACTCGCGTCGAATACAACCCTACACCGTGTAGTAATTGAGTCTTTTATTACCGCACTGTGAGGTAAAAGAACGATTCCTTTCTATTGATTTGTCATCTTCTAAATAACAATTAAATTGCATGTGATCTAAATCTTCGTATTCGTGTATGAATTTTGTATAAAGATCTTTAAAATTTTCATTTTTCTTAAAGCGTGTTTCCAAATTATAAAACCGTTTTAATGCACATTTCTTCGAATTGCCTAACTGATAATTTAAATTTTGTCTAAATGGATATTTAACTATAAATTGACCCACTGAATTTCGCCTTGTTGTCATCTTAAAGTATTCTTCGCAGTATTTTTCGTCTTTCGACAAATGCTTTTTATTTTCTAACTCTTCAATCTGCCAAAATTTCGTTAAAGATTTATCAAGATCTTGGTTCGTTACTTCCGAGACAAAATTGCAGATCGGTTTGTCGTTAACTATATGATTTTCTACATTAAGATTTCCCGCAATTACCCAACCGAGGTATGTAGCTTGTAAAATGGGTAAGTTATTCCCCAGTCTTATTTTTCCGTATTTAACTAAATCAAAAAAGATACCTGCACCTAATAAGACGTCGATCTCTTTAGGCACGTTAAAATTCTCGTCGGCTAACTGTATGTTATTCGGATATCTAAATGAACTTTTATTAAATTGAGCAGTTGGTAATCTTTCCGTGACATAACCTGGTTTGATTAAAAATGTTAACTTTCTTTCAAAATTCTCGAATCGCGATTTTATTTTTGTATGCATTCTCTTAACAATATGTGTTTCGCTGTGACCGATTCCTAATAGGCTAATATTTACGTTATCGTATCCTAACTTCAATATTTTAAATAAGTTTTCACTTATTAGGTTCGATTGACTTGCCGAGTCTAGGATCGCGTTACAAGTTATCCATTTATTGTCGGAATTTTGAATTAATATTTTCGCCGTAGATAGCAAAACTTGACTTGAATCAACACTTGTGTACGAATATGAATTACCGACGTTGCTATTTTCTGTAATATTTTTATTATTCAAATCCGTTTCAATTCGGTCAGTATTCCGGTCTACGATGCACATAGTATGCCTAACGTTTTCTTCTCCAAAATTCGCCTGTTCATTTCTTTGAGATGTAGGGCTGCCTGGGCCATCGGTTTGCTGTCGTACCTGCGATCTGTTATTGCTTGGATTATGTGGTACATTGTTGCTGCTTCTATTTTGCTGTTCGAATGTTCGGGAATTTTGTCTATCTACATGTAAAGCCGTATTATGCTTAAAGTTACATTTTTTGCAACCTTGCGAATGACAGTCGTTTTTGAAATGTCCTGATCGTAAACAATTTCCGCATAATTTATGATTTCTTATTTCATTGTATTTGTCAGCTAGTGATAAACTATTAAATCTTTTACATTGATACACATAGTGGCTTTCTTTACATACCGGGCACTTTAAATCTACAGACGCGTAAGATAATTTTCTACTATTCGAATTTTGCCTGCTAGTCTCACGAAAGTTTTGATTTTTTAAACTTGGTTTTTGGATATCGTTATCTTGAATCGCTTCCAACATAAAACATTTTTTCCTTAAAAATTCGGTAAAATCTTTTAATTTGGGTAAACTTTGGTCGTTTTGTTTTGATTCCCAATCGCGTTTAGTTTTGTCGTCAAGTTTTTGTAAAATAATTGGAATTAAAATAATATCCCACTGATCAACCGGCAGTCGTAACTTTTCCAGCGCGGATAAATGCTGGTGTAAAGTATCCAATAGTTTTCGCAAATGAAATGCTGATTCGCGTGTAATAGTTGGTAGGTTAAACAAAATATTATTTACGTGCGTGTTAATTATTGCTCTTCGATTTTCATAACGCTTCCTTAATAGTTCTATGGCTACCGAGTAATTACTTGCCGTGACGTCTAACGATTCTATTAATTTTAATGCGTCTCCCTTACATGATAACCTCAAATATAAAAATTTGTCTACATCCGATAGATCCGTGCGATTATTAACAATCGAGTCGAAAATGTCAATAAAACTAAACCAGCTCTCGTAATTGCCAAAAAATGTAGGCAGACCTAAATGTGGTAACCTCGCAACTGCAGAGCCTTGCGTTCCTTGTTGCGTGCGAGATGAATTGAAATTTACTTTATTTTCGATTATCTCTTGCTGAGATTTGTTAAAACATGATATTATCTTTTTTGCCAACGATATTTCCGAATAAAATAACGTTTCCAAATGTAAGCCTTGATCATCTTCATCTGGTACTAAGTACTCTAGACGGGTTTGAATTCGATTAAATTTACTCATATCCTCTTCCACGATTTTTAACCTGCTTTCAATTTGAAATACATCAACGTCTAGAATATTTTCGATATCTTCCTGAATTTTTAAAAACTGAGAAAAACGAGATAAATGAGCTGAAATTACCTTACGTGCGTGTATAAGTTCTGATTTTTCATCATCGTTTGAATTAGAGTTACTGTTAGTTTTCGACGATTTGTTTCGTGGCATTTTGACTTACGATTCGTATAAAATGGCTTTTCAATATTGATTCGAGAACGAGAACTTATTCTAGCGAGTATATACGTGCGAGATAACGATTAAATCAATAAATATAATGCGAGACGAGAATCAACTTATTATTCGTGAAGTTCGAGAAATTCGTGACGTTCGAGAAATTCGAGAAAATACGTATTTTTTAAACCAAAACGTGCATTGATTAACGAGAAACGATTGAAAAACGATGCTATAACAATTGTACGAGGATTAAATTTCTTTCGAGAATAAATCGTTACGTGTAGTATACTATTTAAACTAATAATATACGAGATATTTCAATACAAGATATTACGAGACGTGATTACGAGAAATAAACAACAAGAAAATATATTTTTACGTGAAATATGTCTATTTGACATCTAGAAATACGAGATATATATGCTACAATTTTACGCTGAACTAACAAATACGAGATTATGAAAAATAAGGAAGGAGTAGGTAAAAGGAAATAAGGATATAGCGCTAATCAAAAACGATCTCACCAAATCATCTTCTTCAATCTTCAAACTGCTTCGATATCTTCATAACATCAATTTTCCATAGGTTTTTCTGATTCCTTGATCCGGGCGAAGTGACCAAAATGGTTGGGGCTCGTAAAACCAAAATGTTTCTGGCTTGTAGGACCAAAATGTATCTTGGCGGAGAACCAAAATCTGGATGATTCTGGTAGTCGGACTGTCGAAGGACCAGTTGAAATAACATTCAACAACGATAACTTTTACACACTTATATTGTAGACAAATAACACAAGTGAAACTTATTAATTATACTTAAAATAACAACGTTTAAAATTTCTCGTAACAATATTATAAAAGCCAAAGAAAAATTGTCGATATGCGGATGGCGTCTTTCGACGCGTCGTGCGTACTCTCGACGCGTAAAGCGTACCCTCGACGCCTGAAGCGGACTCTCGACGCGTAAAGCGTACTCTCTCTAGAACCACGTTCCAGTCTCTTAAATAATGTCTCACTTCAAAAATAGCCATAGGCGTACAATACAATTTTCATGTTCTTAAATCTAACATTCATAACAGTGGACGACACTGCCCTAAACTTACATTGTTTAGATAGACAGACGTCTGCGACAGCTATATAGTTTTACGATCAAAATTCCCAGTGGTAATAGTTAAGTTAAAGTTATAATTTTACGAATATAAAGTAGGGTCGTTTATCATCTTAGAGGTAAGGTACCTTAATAAGGTTTTTATAATGGGAAATTTCTTCAACTTTCTTAACAGAGTAGAGTAACTTTAAACTATAAACAATTATTATAATCTAACAAAAAATGTCTTAGCTAGCCTGAACACACATTTAACACATTTTTTAATTATTATAGAATTAAAACTAGATATAAACCTATAATTATGTGACAAAATCCTTTCCTGTTAACTGAATAAAACGGTTGTCTTTTCAAAAGGATCTTTTTATTTTAAAAGGTGTATGTGGAGTTCTACCACGAAAAGCAGCTACAGTCATTTCTCTCATGTTGTCGACAATAATAGTTGGACGAGTTTTGTAAACATTGTTTTTAACATATCCCCATAGAAAAACCAGACTAGATAAAATCAGGAGCATTTAAGCATTCTATTAATTTTGTGAATGCACATTGCATTCACTAACTAATAGAATCATATCAATTCTCTCTGATGTAGGATAAGTTTCCATTTTCGGCAAATTTCTTTGTTTTAACTGACACAAAATGATAACTAATTGTTAAAGTTGGACTAATTAGACAGCTATGTTGAAGTAACGTCAGACGTACATATATCACAGCCACCCTAGATTTTATCAAATAATAAAGATCTACTCAGATCAAATCATGTACAGTTCGTCTGCTGGATCTGTGTCTATGAAAGGAATGCGGACAAAAAACATTTAAATAAACAGCAATATATTTTATACGTCGACTTGACGAGTACGTCACCGCAAATCGCTCCGCCCACTCATTTTATTGGCGACTTGCAAATTTGTCGATTTTTTATTGATGGGACGCGTTGTCTAATTTTTTACGAAAAACATCGAGAGAATATCGTTTCCCCTATCACGGATACCACGTAGCCGCTGAACGGACAGACGTACTGTAAATGAGAATATCTAGGAAAATCTTTCTTTGAGGGGTAGGCAACCTTAATAGTATTTTGAAGAGACATGAACTCTCCATTGAATATCGGAATAATATACTGGGTGTTCCATTTAAAATAAAAGAGTAACATGCTTTTGAAGGTGACCAATGTTCAATATTAATTTTGTCTCACCCTGTATAACTTTTTGGATCAAGTTTTAATTTGATTTATATACAATAGTTAATTTAACTACATATTAGGCTATACTGACCAAATTCCAATTTAGGTAGCTTTTATTGTAATTTAAAAATTATTCTTTATTTCTAGAAAATGTTAAATATGTCAAAAACCTTACATTTTAGTCTTATAAAACTCACCTTTATTTTTCTCCCAGAATCCGAAAATCAATTAATATATAGGGTGCTCCATTACAAAAAACACAACTTTGATATATGACTTTTTTGGGGACACTCTGTAGAACTCTCTATATTTTTAAAAAGTGCTCTGAATTAACTTACATATGCTCACAAAATTTCATTTCAATACAAACTGTCGTTTTCCTTGGAGCCTCCGCGGCGTATGAGAAGCGCCACCCTGTATAGTAGTAATAAGTGGCAAATATTTTGGTGGTATATTTGGACTCTGTAACGTTTTTAGTTCGTTACATGTCTTTTTTATATATAATATATGATGTCTGGCCTATCATCACCGGATTCCCTCTCGTTCAGGCCTGATAGTTTATTTGACGCGTAATTTTTACGTTCCCTAGTCGCCAACCCTGTTATCGTTCGACACAACCCTGTTATTGCTCTGAGGAGGCGCTGTCAACATCGCTTCTGTCAACTGTCTCCGTGCTTAACCTCACTTTGTTTTGACGCTCTGTTGTATCCCAGCTTTTGGAAATGGTGATTATTTAAGTCTTGCTGTATAATTTGAATCAGCTGCTATTTCGAGGCTACAGGTAAAGATGAGTTATTACCTTTTATAGATTCGATATTATTATTGAATATTTTTAGGGTAGAGTTACGTATGTCCCAACTTGTATTTGTGTTTTGCTGGCACGTTGGCGTCCCTTTTCTTTTGTCCTCCAGAATGTCACATGGAAGAAAGGACATGTTGCTTATTATTTATTGAGCCCTCGGAAATATTTCGAGGTAGGTTTATTTTGTTTATTAGACCTTGTTTGGTTTTAAACAAGAGTTTCATGTTTTTAGGGTCCAAGGTACGGACTGTGTCCAAGGTACGAACTGTGTCCAAGGTATGGACTGTGTCCAAGGTACGGACTATCTCCAAGGTACGGATAGTGTCTTATGTACAGACATTATCTTATGTACAGATGTCCTGTGGACGAGTGTCCCCATTAAGAATGATTTTTTTCTTACATATAAGTGCCACAGCGTGGATGTAGCTTGAGTCCCATGCTGCTTCACTCCCATTTCTAAGCCTAGTCAGTAGCTACGGCTGTAGTGATTCACGGTGTCCTCAATCTGGCCCCTTTTGTTGTTTTGACCAACAGGATCGCCGACAGACAGTACAGAGATGCTAGACCACCTCACGCTGTTACTGTTTGAAGCAAGGTTACATAAAAGAACAGCTAAGTGTATATTTAAGTTCTAGTTATACATTTAACATCTAAAACATTTTCAGTCTTAAACAATAACGTACATCATAAGTAATATCGTACAGACTATGTTCAGTGGTTAGATTGTTAAGAACATTCAATTCGATATAATCTTTAAAATATAATTTAGATCTTAGGTTTCAGTGCATTACGTCTTGTAATGGTATTACTTTTATAGATATTATTGCACTATTTTAATAGATGGATAATCAAACATAGATTCTAGAATCTACAGGTTGTAACATCTTCGATTTAGCATCATATGGAATATATCAAATTAATTAAAGTAATGCTACATTTCATATTTTCTCTTAAACTTTACATGTCCTGTATTTTATCGTAGTTGTTTTCATTGATATTTAGTACGACTCTTACCACCACTTTCTTTGACATATAATCACTATATATTTACTAGAACTCTACAATGTCATGTATCAGCAAAGAACGTCATGAATATAGTCATTAGTTTTAAGTATTATACAACTGTGTTTTCTTTCTCTGTACATGCCTGGCGCCCAATATCTATATATCTTTTGTTAATTATTACTGATTAATTTTCTTTCTAGTGAAATACCTTATCCACGACTGCTCTCCGATGAAAAGCTGCCGTTCGCAGTAGTAGTGGTTCAAAAAACGCTACAACTCTTAGGAACACGTCTATAAAGTTTTTTCTCAAAAAAAAAGGTGACGTGTATTTTCTTTTAAGGTTTCCGTTATATTTTAGAACATTTTTTAAACCGCCTGTTCACCGCAAATTTTCCCGCCATATAATTTCTTAATCTCTGATATTCCATGGTTAAGGCTTTATCCTACGGTTGCGACACTAAAAGGGACGCAAATACAAACAAAAAAAAACTGCGGTTCTCAAATTTTGTTAAAAATAAATATTTTTTTTTCAAACTTGAAACTTGAAACTCGGTTATTTTGGATTTATTTTAAAAACAGCAAAGAGAAAATACGATTCTTTTATCGAGATCTACCAGCTCTGAAAAAATTTGCACTTATTTTATACTCACACTGTATATTTTTCAATTTAAATACATCAAGGTTTCAAATGTTTGTTCAAATTTTATGAAATTACTATATTAAATCAAAAAATGTTTCTTTAGATATTAGTAATGAAAACTAGTGATGAAAAAAACACAGTTGATATTTTTACACAGTTTTATTACAATGTAGAACAGTGATTTATTGGTTGTGCGGTTAACAGGAAATATAAATATTCTTTTGACCCTACCTACAATCTAGCAACATTACATACTATCTTTCAAGCGATGCATCTGCAAAAAAACGCTGTTTCTACTTAAAACTAATTATGCCTTTGATCTCTTGAATGTTTTTTTTAGTTTTTGATAAGAAAATATTAAATTTTTCATCCCTATACAAAAATACATAATATAGCGTATTCTGTTTCGTCGTTTACGACTCGTCGGTAGGGCTTTAATGTTATCACCTACTTGAGATTTAATATTTTTCGAGCGTCATTTTGTCAGAGACAAGTTACCGATATTCTGATAGATGCATCTCTTGCTTCAAAATTCGATATCCCCAAAATTAGGCGCATTATATTCTCGTTAAAAATTTATTTAAAACTATTTAATATCTCAATTATTACACATTAATTTAATACTAAAACTATGATATATTAAAGTCATATATCATGGACGCTTAATTAATTATAACAAGCCTTATTTTAGGACGCGATGTCCTTCATTTTATATTCTCAAGAACTGACGGTTTTTTTTATAAAAAGATTTTGAATAATTTTTCTTTTTTATAATATGTTACAAGTAACATAGAACCTACACTAAAATCATTACTAATTATTAAAGATAAATGTTGTTAAATACTGTTTTGACAAATTTTGAATAGCGAATTCTTCTGTAGAACATGAGAATATAAAATGAAAGTCCAAGAATATAGTGTTTCCTGTCAAATGCGGCAACATCGTTTGTGTTGGTGTTAAACCTTCCGATCCCCCCACAGATGATGCTCTTCGGGCTGTGGCGACTGAAACCCTACTAAACAAAAAAAAAGAAAGTTCATGCAGGAACGATAAGTTTTGCATTTATTTCTACGCGGCCCTTAAATGCGATGCTCGGATGACTTAAATCCTATGATCTACGGTGCTGAATCAAGTCACGGAACATTCCCTCTTTTTTGTTCCTAGAAAAGTGAATTAGGGAGACAGCCTTCACAACGTAGAATCGTGTTGTCGTGGTAATCCACCAGTTTCAAAAACGATCCAGCGCACCCGTAGACCAACCTCGGGCAGAATCCGCAAGTCTAACATCTATTGGGTGCTGGTGGTTTGTATTTGTAATTCGCTCATTGATCTGTGGAAATTGAAAAAGGTTTGTTTTACACGTAATTAAATTTGATCGCTGTCAAATTACTTTTTGTTTTGATCGTATAGGTTTCAGAAAACACTTTAGTATAACAACCTAATATTTATTGAAGGTTTATTGAAAACAGGATGAAAGATATTTGAATGAATATTGCAAAAACAGTTTTAATGTATATACAGGATCCGGAAATAGTGCGTCAGGCATCTGTACCTCCTAGTATAAAAAAAACTTGGGAATTTTGTTTAAGTATAAAACCTAAAGTATGTACGTATTTCAGGAAAATATATTATTTCAAAATTTTTAGTAGTTTCGCAGATACACGCAGTATTATTTCATATAGCGTTTGCAACGGTAAAATCATTGGGTGAATTTGTTAAAAATTTACTGTGGAGGCTATATGAAATATAAAACCGCGAATATCCGAAAATCAATCCCGTTCCACTCATACTTTTTTGGATCACCCTAATAGAAGTTAAGCCACCCTGTGGAAGTAAAAATATTTTCCTGAAATGCATCCTAGTACATACTTAAAGAAAATTCCCAAGCTTTTTATTGTAAAAGCTACAGATGCCCGACGCACTATTGCCGAACCTGTATCTTGTCTGGTGGTACTAGAAATTCTATGATCATTTTAATGCACATTTAGAACAAAAATAAATAAATACAGTACAAGAGATACTATGTGAAAATATCGAATAAAAAATCTGTAACAAAAATGTATAAGTATACAGGGTGGCGCACCTCATTCACCTCGGTTGATTATACGAAAACGGAAGGATGTAGAAACAAAATATTTTATAAGTATATGTGGGGAGGGAATGTGCACAATTTAAAATTATTTTGAAATGTACAGGGTGTTTCAGGACTAAGATCCATACCAAAGTTATATTTTTTCTTATGGAACACCCGGTATTTTATTTCATTTTTTGATTCTGGGCCCCAAAAAAAGGTATTTATTAGAAGGGTTAAATATGTTTAACATCTTTGGTTTTTTAGATGCATGCTACAATAGAATATATTATTGACACCCTGTAAATTGCCTTTCAGAATTAATTCTTGTGCTGACTTTTAAGCCAGAGAAATAAATTTTACTGAAAAATTTGATTGCTTCGTTTAATGTATACAGGGGTATCAAAAATTGCTGGTCTATTTTAAATATTTTCCATTAAAACTTCGTTATTTCAAATACAACACCCTGTATTTTTTTAAATAAATCGAAGCAGATTCAAATGCTCTTTCAAACTTTATTAGGGTTTCCTATACCTATTTAGCTCAGATTTTGAATAAGGAGCAATTTTTCAATAAAATGGCAACCAAGATGGCTTCTAGATTGAAATTTAAAATAAGATTTTTTAAGCGAAAATGTCGAATGTTGACATATGATATATCATTCTATTCAGTGTCATTTTCTATCAAAAAAGGTAAAAAATACCGGGGGTGCCATTTAAAAATCAGAAGTTGTAGTCATTTCCGGTGAAACAGGAAGTGACCGAAAAAAATTAAATACGTTAATCAATTCTGATTAACGTATTTAATCTCGTTTACTTATTTGAAAAAATAAAAAAGGTTGGTTGAAAAAATAAAAAAAATATGGGTGAGCGACTTTTGAGAATGACCCGGTATACACGGTCCGGCAATAGTGCGTTGGACATCTGTAGCTTCTATAAAAATCGTGTATATGTATGTAATCGAGTGTATCGGGATGTTTTTTTTAATCCTTTCAGAGCACTTTATATAATCCTAAAATTTGAGTATATATATTTCGATAGTTTCAGGGATATAATAAATAAATAAAAAAAGTCCTTTCTTAAAAAAAAATACAAGAACTGTCCTGAAATCTAAACTATATTAGGTATTTACTTTAGATGGTCTGCACGAGGGTTGGCTTGATTTAAATCAAATGATTTAAATCATGATTTAAATCAAGTGATTTTTTTATTTTTAATCATGCGATTTAAATCAAAATAAATAATTTTATTGAAACTTTATAATAAATCAAAAATAACTGTAAAAGTTATAAAAAATAAAAATGTGTCTTAGAAACTATAAAAAATATTTCTATAACAGATAATAAATCGAAAAACAATTGTAAATGTTATAAAACTATATAAAAATATCTATTCATCAATTTAAATGTTGGACCGATTTTTGAAGTAATTTCGTGTGAATCCATAGATAGACCGCTAAACGCAGGGATTTATTTTAAAATTTATGTATAAGTGACAAAAAGTTCGAATACATATCATTCGCAGTGTAGTGCAGAAGTAGGTTCTTCTGATATAGAGACAGTAGAGACTATACATATATCTTCATTCCCTAGAAATTATAATGGTTGTCAGCAAATATGTTGTCTTATATATATTTTTTTTGAAACGGTTATGTTTCCAAATTCCTACCGACATTTTGATCAGCTGTAAGTTCCTTACACTTTGACATTAGATAATACACATAATCAAGGATAATACTAATTTCATTCTCGAATTAAGACTATTTCCGAACAATAGTGTATTGTTTTATTAGGAGTAGAAATTATACCTTTTTTGACGATACCTTTGAAGGACCATCGTAAAGCTATTCCGACGTTACAGGGAGGCACAAAAAGTACATTTTTACTCCGAATAGGACATACTCTTTTCTTAAAACATTACAAATATTTTTTTAATCAATTTGAAACATTGCTAATAATAAATATAAACAGTAATCGAGCAACAATTTGTCGTTGAATATTTTTTTGTTTAATAATATATTTTTGTACTTTTTTGCTTAGGCATAACAGTGCTTTACTTTTATGCATAGGCGTTAAAATACAAAAATTAATACTTTTGAGACGTTTGAAAAAAAGATCCTTTTGATCTGAAGCGAGCGACATTTTATGCGGAATATATTGGTGACCGATGTGGAAAAATGACACGCGCCGTAAAATTGTTATCGGTATCGGGCAGAATTATAAAGATTTAGCCATTTAGGATAGGACTTTAATTGGAAATAAGTCCTAATCATTTGGAAATCCGATTTAAATATCGTTTTGAATTAAAATCAAATAAATCTAATTTAAATAAAAAAAATCAGATTTTTTTGATTTTTAAAAAAAAATCATGATTTGTTCCAACCCTGGTCTGCACTTACTTAATATGGTAATCGAAATACAAGATGCTCAAAATTCTACGCGAAAATTTCTAAAATACAAAATAATTTTTCTTCCTTTTTTTCAAATGGAACACCCTGTAGGTATATTATTTTTTCAATAAACGGCGAATTAAAAAATAATTTTTTTAGAGTATTTTAAAATTTTTAACGGTTTTGCAAGTATTTGAAGTTTTATACATATTTCATATGGCATTTTCCACAGCAAATTTTCATCAAAGCCATCTAATGATTTTTCTCTAGTATTTTACCGTTGAGAGAGTCATATGAAATAATACTGCGTGTATCTAACCATTAAAAATTTTGAAACACTTTAAATACAAAATATGTTCATTTCAAATCTATTTTCAAAAAACAAAGAAAAATTATTTCATATTTTCGAAAGTTTGGCGTAGAATTTTGAACATCCTATATGATTTAAGATTACGATATTTATAGCAAAGTAAGTTTAGACTATCTAAAGTAAATACCTAATATGGTTTTCATATCAGGTATTTATAATATTTTTTTTAGTGAAGGTTGAAAAATAAATATTTTTTTATTTATTTATTAATATCTCTGAGCTGAGACTATCGAAAAAAAAAGTCATATCTTAAGAAAGTAAAATGATCTGAAAGGAAGCCAAAAATGCAACAATATACAGGGTGTTCCATTTAAAAAATATCATCCCGATCCACTCACACTTTTTTGAGCCATCCTATAGAAGTTAAAATATTTTCTTGACATACATCCTCATCTCATACATAGTTTAGGTTTACACTTTAATAAAATTCCCAGATTTTTTATTCTACGAGCTACAGATGCCCGACGCACTATGGCTGGATCCTCTATAATATAAACTTACCAAAGGCCAGTACTCAAGGGTACTTCGGCTTAATTTCTTCTAACATCTATTGTCTATTGAATTCCAAATATGTTCTTCCTATAACAAACATGAGAAAATTTTGAGTAATAATTGGTATATTCAAAATGATATTAGGAGTGTACATCCGACATCCGATACGCTACTGAATACAAACATCCGATACGCTACTGAAGCAGTTAAATTGACTAGTCTAAATTCTTTGACTTCTAATGTTTGAAAAGTAGTAAATAAAACAAAAATTCAAGAAAAATTAATACCTAGTTAATTTTAAGTGAATTTCATAAATGATCGGTTTATTACCCACGTATATTATACAGGGTGTCCCAGAAGTAAGTGCAGGTATTTTAACTGGTAGTATAGTTCAACCCTAGAAACACGTCTATGAGGTTTTTTTCGCGAAAAAAATTTTGAAAATTCGAAATTTTTTGGATTTTTTTTTAATTTTTAGTTAAAAAAGATAATTTCTTGATAATATGGCAACATAAGTATTAGATTAAATTTACAAGAAAGAAAATCCAGAAAGAATCCAGTGGTTCTCAAAATTTTAGCAAAAAATCATTATTTTTGGAAATTTTCAAAGTAAAATAACTCCGTTATTTTGGACTTGATTTGATAAACGATAGAGAGAAAATATGTTTCTTTTATCGAGATCTACCACCCCTTAAAATATTTGCACTTATTTCTGGGACACCCTGTAAAATCACATACGAGCGAAAAGTTATTCCATTATTTTCCTCGATTTTTGACCGAGATCTACCGCACGCTATACAACCAACTATTTTACAGTCTTTTTCGATAAATCGCAATAGTGTCACTGTTAATTTCAGTTTTGCTACAATTTCCTTCTAGATTTACTACCTTTAAACAACTAACAGTAGCAGAAAAATAATAAATAACATAAAATCAGCTCAGTAAAGACTGACAAATCCACAACATTTCAAATCAAATTCAAATGTGTGAAATACCGTATGATCGAAAAAAAACGGCGTGCAGTTGGCTGGGAAATGACGATCGATGACATTTCCCATATAAATTTACATATAAAATGACAGCGATCTTCATTTCATAGCCATCGTTGACGCCGTTTTTTCTCGATCATACGGTATATCGTTAAACAGGACTGCCAAGGATCCCCACCCTATTGCTCTCTGCCCGTCTACCTTGCATGAATACATGGATAATATTAATTTTTTATTCAAATGATCATTTTATCGTAAATTCCGCTGCTTACATCAGTTACATCCTAATTCATCCATACAGCGACTGTACATACCACGCAGCGAGAAAGGGCGTGGATTGCTCAACATTAAATCTCTTTGCAAATCCCAAGGAGTTAAAATGAGAGAATACTTTTAACACATGCACCCAAATATCCAAACTTAAAATCCAATCTATTTACTACAAATACCCAATCTAACAACTTAAATTTCAAATAGAATCTCAGTAGCTCAAGTAGAATAAATATTGGAAAGAGAAGATATTACATGGAAAATATCCCTTACAACTAGCTGCTGCCGATATTGATAAGTCAACATCAGTTTCTTTCTTAAAGTATGGTAACCTGCACCCTGAGACAAAGTGTTTCATATTGGCAATCCAGGACAAGATCATGAGAGCTAGAAATTATGAAAAGCACATCCTGAAGACGGTTGGGCGCATTTTCGACATACATCAATGGTGAGTCGAAAATGCGCGCAACCGGCTGAAACCATCGAACATATTACTGGTTCGTGCTCCGCCCTTGCAGACACCGATTACCTCTATCGACATAACCAAATGGTTTTCAATGCTATAAAAATCGTAGAAGAACTATAGGAATATGTGGCGGAATTCAATTACCTCGGCAGTTTGATTGCGGAAAAGGCCAATATTGACTCTGAAATTCAGCACAGGATTAGCAGCGCCTCAAGAGCATTCTGGAAATTAAAAGACAGGGTTTTCTACAATCATGACTTGAGCACAAAAACAAAACTTGCAGTGTATCGAGCAATTATATAATAATCGAGCAATTATATAATAATCCCCACCATGTTATATGGGATCGAAACCTGGGTGCCGTACCGCCGACACATGAACGCATTAAACAAGTTGCAACAGAGACTTAGACAACTCTTAAGAATCCGGTGGTTCCATCATATCTCAAACATATCGATCCTTAAAAAAGCTAACTGCGAGAGTATTGGAGTCATGGTTACAAAATCCCGCTTAAGATGGGCTGGTCACGTATGCAGAATGCAAGAAAACTGCATACCAAAATCTCTGATTTACGGTGAGTTTGTAGACGGTAAGGGGAGGCTGGGTGAACAACTGAAAAGGTACAAGGACATTTTCCACGAAAACAAAGAGGATTAATCAAAATTACTAAAAAAAGGGGATTAACATGCAGAATGAGTGGGAAGAAGCAGCTCACAATAGAACCCAATGGAGAAGAATTGTAAACTCAGTTAACAGCGAAAACCAAAACGAAAAAGTAAAGAGGCAACAACCGAACAACCAAAAAGTAAAGAGGCAACAAAGCAATGAGACTTTTGAATGTCGCGGTAGGCAGATAACATCACGTATCGGGCTTTTCAGTCACAGAAAAGCTCATGAAAGAAAACGCTTTGCGTGACCATCTTCTGATGTGTGTCGAATACTCGTCAGCGAGTAATGGCAGTATATATGTAATCAAATGGATGGCTAACATTATACATTCGTGCTTATCATTAAGGTGCAAACTAATAAAATCGTCGCTGCTATATTATATACACCTGATGCACTATTAGAATCCGACCAACATCTAATATACTGGGACCGAACAAACCAAACTCAATAAATCTGATAAAGTAGCATCGATTATTGACAACGGAATTCCACTCACGCACAATCTATTCAAAACAGAACAAGAGAAATGTAGAAATATACTACAAAAAATATACTACTACGTTTTACTTAGCTACAGAGGTAAAACGCATTTGGAACCTGAACAAAGTTAGTATTGTGTCCCTTATAATCTCCACCGAAGGAGTTTGTACCACCAATCTTTCGCCTAACTTAGCTAAATTGGAACTATCAAAAGGCCTACGTTATCCCATACAAAAGACCGTAATTTTACAAACCTGCCATCTAATTCTTTAGGATAAAGTGTATTCTTCCTCTGCCTATACAGGGTGTCCCAGAAATAAATGCAAGTATTTTAAGGGGTTGTAGATCTGGCCAACAGAAACATTTTTTCTCTTTTACCGTTTTTCAAATAAGTTCAAAATAACCGAGTTATTTTATTTTGAAAATTTCCAAAAAAAATCTTAGTAAAAATTGTGAATTGAACTTTCCTAAAGCAAGCAGCATGCTAGAAATGAAAAATCTATTTTTATTAAGAATATATTTTACACCAGCAGTAATTAAGAATATCGACACGAAAACTATATTAGGATGAGAAAACGAAGAAAATTCTAAATGAAGTCTCATGACTTATCGAATATAATTATTATGGATTAAACTTAAAAACAAGAAATAATATAAAAATTCGAATTTTCTAACGATTTTAAAATTTTTAAAGTCATAAGTGCATATTTTAAATATTTCAAGGAATACATTACAGCCATTTTAGAGAAAAAAATAAATAAAATTTTAAATAAAACTTTCTCTAAAGCATATATTTTAATTACAATATTAAGACATGCTTAATATATTATAAATAAATATAAAAATATATAAATAGAAAATTATTTTTTTGTTTTTAGTAAAAATTGTGAACTCAATTTTACTAAAGCAAAGCTGAAATTTAAAACATATTTTCTATTTTGAAAGTAGTTTCAAGGAGTTTCAAGAAGTTTCAAGAAGTTTCAAGGAGAGATATGAGGGTGTAATAATTATAAAAATTGAAGAACGGAGCAGGTATTATTAAGATAGAGATTAACCTTAATTATTCAGTATAAAAATAACAAAAATAAATGTGCTTAATATACTTACATTATAATAAAACTGAGTCGTCTATATCACAAATTCATTTTAGTGATATGCGCTTTTGATTACTGCAGACGACTGATGTTTAAATTTTGAACATTTATATTTATACTATATTTCATTGATAAATAAATGCTTTTTATTTATTTTGTAGTGGGGAATCCCTGGTACAGGATGCACCAGGCTTAACAATTATTATATTAATGCTGAAAAAAAATTATTTGCTATTTGGATGTTTCTTCTTACCAAGATAAATATAATATAATTTTCTAATAGTTTCTATGTTTCCAAAACAGTTTGAAATGTCAACGGAAGTGTATGATATACAAGGTGTCCCAGAAATAAGTGGAAGTATTTTAACTGGTAGTATAGTTCAACCCCAGAAGCACGCCTATATGAGGCTTTTTTCACGAACATTTTTTTTGGAAAATTCGAAATTTTTTGAAAAATTTTTTGGAATTTTCTTTTTAGGTTTTAGTTAAAAAACATAATTTCTTGATAATATGGCAACATAGGTAGTAGATTAAATTTACAAGAAAGAAAATCCAGAAAAGATCCCAGTGGTTCTCAAAATTTGAGCAAAAAATCATTTTTTTTTTGGAAATTTTCAAAGTGAAATAACTCCCTTGTTTTGGACTTATTTGAAAAACGATAAAGAGAAAATATGTTTCTTTTACCGAGATCTACCACCCCCTAAAATACTTGCACTTATTTCTGGGACACCCTGTATATTTTTATCGTATCGAAATTAGGCTTGTAATATACAGGGTGGTCGGAACTGGATTACGGAAACATTAGCATATTCTGCACATAAAAAAAAGTAAAAAATTCGTATAAACTTATGTCCTAAAATGCTTCGTTTTGGAGATACAGGGTGTTGAACTTTCATTTTTATTTCGATTTTATAAATAAATAAATAAATAAATAAATAAATGCCTTTATTGTCAAAACAATTTTCAATTTGTAGACAAAGGTAAACTAACAAACAAAGTAAAAAAAAAACAAGGTACACAAACAAACAAACAAAAGATAATACAAAACATTATACAAGTAATATTGTCAGTCTTATTGTTAAAATAAACATTTATAAATGTTTACAATGTCAAAGAACTAAAAAATAAAAATAATATTCAAAAATATTTAGCTAGTTTATAGTAAAATATCAATGACCTCTAAATAAATTATAATAAGACTCAAATATCTCGAGTAAGGTTGCTCGCAGCGATTTTTACTACTTGAGAAGTCATATTGACATCGAAATCAAATTTATCATGTTAAAAAACCCCAGATACTAATTTTCATCTAAATATTGAATTTAATTCAAAAATTATTAGAAAAAATCTATCTAAGATCATAGAAAGGTTGGTTAAAAGAAGGCTGGTATCTTTTCTGTTTAAGTGCAAAATACTTACTGAATATCAATTTGGATTTCTAAGCAACAAGTCCACAAATGACGCTATGTTTTCTCTCCTTAATAAAGTTTACTCCAGCCTAAACAGCCATCATTCTACAGCAACAATCTTCTGTGATTTTTCTAAGGCGTTCGATTGTGTAAATCATAAGATCCTAATTAATAAACTGCAGCACTATGGGTTCAGGGGATCATCTCTCGAATGGTTTAAGTCGTATCTGAGCAACAGAAGTCAACTTGTGAGGATGGATACCACGTTGTCTTCTAGCATGCCAATAGAATGTGGAGTACCACAAGGCTCAATACTAGGCCCTATTTTGTTTCTCCTTTTTATTAACGACATTGCTAACATAAACATCATTGGCAAAATATGTCTTTTTGCGGACGACACTAGCTTCACTTGGAGCAACAAGGACATCACGGCACTTTATAGGATTATATCAAATGACTTAATCACCATTAAATCTTGGTGCGATTCGAACCTCCTGAGTCTCAACATTTCTAAAACTAAAGCTTTGTCGTATAAAAACTCGCTGCAGCCTTTTGTACTTAACAACACCACCATTGACGTCGTAAAATCTGTAAAATGCTTACGGCTTGTTGTGGACAATTCTCTGAAATGGGACATACATATCGAAGCTTTGTCGAAAAAATTGAGCTCTGCCTGTTTTGCATTAAGGTCTATTTCTAAAGAGCTTAACTTGTCATTGGCTAGAAATGTTTATTACGCACTTTTTGAGTCGGACCTCAGGTATGCCCTTCCATTCTGGGGTACGTTTTGTGCGACTCAATTTGACCTCATTTTGAAGCTCCAGAAGAGAGCTGTTCGATATTCACTGGGACTAAACAGCAGAATTCATTGCCGGGACTTTTTTAAAGAGTTCAAAATATTGACTCTTCCTTCCTTATTTATATTTGAATCCGTTTGCCTAATACGTAAACATGTATCAGCTTCTCAAGAAAGGCCATCTCACACTTATCCACTTAGGAACGCGGAGCTAGATCTTTATCTACCTACCCCACGCTCAGAGTTAGTTAAAAGTTCAATATTATACAACTCGATGCACAATCACCTGCCATTTGAAATCAAATCCATAACATCATTTTTTTCATTTAGCAAAACATTGAACTCTTATTTACTAGACAAGGCTTTCTACGCCGTAAATGCATTATATTTGAATTGAAAATCGAATTTGATCTTGTAAACACTGGTCTAATGTTTGCTATTGCTAATTTACTAATGACATCGAAATGAATTTATTTAGAAGTCATTGATATTTTACTATAAACTAGCTAAATATTTTTGAATATTATTTTTATTTTTTTGTTCTTTGACATTGGTATAATTTTCGAGACATTCTAGTATGATAAATTCAACTGAAGCTGGTTTAAAACCTAACTGTAAGTTTTCTAGAAACGTTTAGTAGTTTATCTTAACCTAAATACGATTTTTGAAAAATCTAGAAAACAGATTTTTTAGAAAAAAGTTTAAAATAAAGATCCAACCATAAATCAATTCAGAACAAATATTTTGAGAACGGTTGCTCGCAGCGATTTTCGCCAAGATATAGTTTTACGTAAAGTAAGGCGTAAATGTATATTTTTTCACTCAGTAGTGTAATATAGGGATGAACGAGAAGTTATTACTCTTCATAACAGTAAGAAAATAATATGTAGGTGGTGCCCTCTACAAGTAGGAGTCATATTGACATTGAAATCAAATTTCTCACGTTAAAAAAACTCCAGATACCAATTTTCATCTAAATATCGACAATAGTTCAAAAATTATTTCAAAAAAATCGAAATAAAAATGAAACTTCTACACCCTGTATCTCCAAAACGAAGCATTTAGGGCATAAGCTTTTTTAAATTTTTTACTTATTTTTATGTGCAGAATATGCTGCTGCAGTACAGTTCGGACAACCCTGTATATGTCTATCTAAAATAAGCTATATAAAGTTATTAGTCATGCTTATCACTTTTAAATTGTTAATGTTGTGTGGATTATATATTATTTTATAAAGTGGTATTCTAAAAATATATTAAGAAATTTATTTTAAGTTTATATTTAGTACAGGAATTACTGATAACTTGATAAAATACTTCTGTGAAATAAGAGCAATAATAAACATAATGTCAGAGAGACTATTAATTATTTAGTTGTATTTGTTGTATAAAGTTGTGAAGAAATATGTAGATATTCTCAGTAAAGTAAAATGTCAAGTTTTGGGTAACTTGCTTGAATAAAAACACCAATTAAAAATCAATCAAATGTTTTGTATATTCAATTTCGTCTGAAAATCTCTGAAAAAAGACAAAAAAATAATATTGAAAAGATATGAAAGATATAGGAAAGACGAAACAAAAAAATGACATAAACAAATTATGTCAAGAGAACCTACTATGAGATGACTGAACTTATGAAAGAAAATAAAATGTTGATGTTGAATAGATGAAAAAACAAAAAAAATACGCTCTATATTTAATAAAAAGTCAAACCCTTGATATTAACATATTAGTATGACCAGTATGATTACGTTACTTATTTTGTCTATACAGGAGCGTTGGCGATTTCTCGCATGTACTTGTGATGTGTGTCATCTGTGTTTCACAAGTATACGAAACTTTATACGGGGTGGCCCATCGAAAACGTTCCGCAAGGCATAACGACCAGAGTTTTTTTTTCAAAAAATCCAAAAACACGTCAATTTTGTTTGTGAGGGGGACTACTTTTGCCGCAAAAATGATTGCAAAATCTTCAACCTTCTGAGCGGGGGTGTCATCCCCCAATTTTTTTTAAATGGGAAGGGGTGTCAAGTGGTACCGCAATGAAAAGGGCTTTCTATTATCTATACTTTATATAGATGGAAAGGAAATACTGCCAACACAGGAAGTTAAATACCTGGGAATAACCCTGGACAGTAAACTCCTGTGGAACAGGCATATTAAGAACACTACCAGCAAAGCCATAAAGGCTCTTATGATATGCAGAAGACTGGCCGGAAATAGATGGGGCTGCTCCCCTAACATTTTGCGCTGGATATATACCATGATAGTAAGACCCATGATTACTTATGGAGCAGTTGCCTGGTACACAAAACTAGAGCAACGGACGGCAAGGCTAAACCTATGCAAAGTCCAGAGACTAGCATGTGTTTGCATCACAGAGCCATGAGAACCTGTCCAATAGCAGCAATGGAGGTCATTCTAGATCTAACACCACTGCACATTGTCATTGGTAGATATGCCAATGCGACAATGATTAGAATGGTCACTAACGGAATTAGTACTGGGAGAATTGTCAGATCAGGGGCTTGGAACACCCTCAAAAAGGAAATACAACTCATGCAACTCCCAGTGGACGATATGCCAAGAACGTACAACTTTGACAAACATGTCAATGTAGTATTGAGCAATAAGAAGGATTGGAAGAGCGAAACGCTTGCCCAGCAGTTAAAAGATCATACCATAACTTGGTATACTGATGCTTCCAAAACCAATACGGGAACAGGGATCGGAGTGATTGGGCCGAGAGCTAATTACTCCGAACCAATGGGCACTTACCCTAGTATCCTACAGGCAGAAATCTACGCTATCGAGAGATGCGTACAACTTATCTTAGATAGGAACTATCGGAAACAAGAAATAGCCATCTTATCTGATAGTCAAGCAGCGTTAAAGGCGATCAACTCAGTATCAATCAATTCGAAATTGGTCAAAGAATGCATAGAGAAGCTGAATAAATTAGGCAAAGAAAACAAAGTCCTCCTACACTGGGTGCCTGCTCACCAAGGGATAGAAGGCAATGAAAAAGCAAATAATCTAGCTAGGAAAGGAGCGTACACTCCACTAACTGGACCAGAACCGTTGTGCTTTCCAAGTGGTAACCAACTCAAGGCGGAACTCAAGAACTTGGAAGATTCCATCCGCAACCTGGAATGGAAATCTTGCAATGGTCTAGGACACTCGAAGAAGTTTCTGAGGGCTTATGATCAAGAAAATTCACAGATCTTCCTGGGTCTGAGTAAGAACAATCTTCGGATTGTCACGGGGTTTTAACAGGACACTGTCTCCTCAATGAACACCTCAGTAGATTGAAACTAAGAAGAAACGGCGAATGCAGATTCTGTGGGGAAGATGGTGAAACACCAGTACACCTCATCACTGAGTGCGCCGAGACGACAACCATTCGTGCCATGAATTTTGGTACACTGATATTGGAGATGGAGAACTACCCTCTATAAAACCGTCCCAGATACTGGCTTTTGTCAAAGCCCTGGGACTGTATGATGAGTTATGATTCAAGAAAGGGGGACACAATGGATCTGTAAGGTCGAAGTGATTAACCCCCCTCCCACTCATTCTAAATTCTAAAATTCTAAATCTATACTTTCCCGCTTCGTTTTTGAAAATCGGTCGAGTCATTGAGAAAATATGAACGATTGAAATTTGAAAAGTTTATTTAAAAATTTATCAGAGTAAATGATAAAGATAAATTCCTTCGACCAATTTGCTGTTTTTTCTTATTATTTCTAGATGTTTTCGCATTTTTCACTTGCCACAAGGTTGAACGATCAGGTGCGGTAGTTGCGAGAAAGCTGTTCTCTGACTTGTGCGTTGAAGTTCTTCTCTATATCGTTAAATTTTTAACAATTATGGTGTACTCACTTGCAGAAAAAGTGGAAATAATCGAACTTTATTTTAAAAATAATGAATGTGGCAATCGGGTTGCGCAGATATTCAATGAACGCCATCCTAACAAACACCTTTATGGCAAAATTTTTCTAAATTTATTTATGTTGTGGTGCTTGGACCACACATGATCTGCAATGTTCAATTTCACTTCATTGTTTCACCTCTTTGAGTATGTTTCTTTGTGTTCGTCAAGTCTAGAGGACGTTTTGTCTCTCCACTATACGACTCACCGCACTCGCAAGGTACCTACCTGGTAGATGTACTCATTTTCTTAGTTTGATGATTCAGGTTTTGTTTTTGTTAGGACACTTCTTAGAGTAGTCTCAGACTTAAAAACAGTTTTAATTTTATATTGCTTAGCTATTCGTCTGATCTTCTCCGATGTTCCTTTCACATATGGAATCGTCAAGAGAGAGAGAGCATCCTCCTCAGGCTGGCGTACCAATGAGTCGGACCTGCAATTGGATATAATATTGTCTAGGAATTTTGCAGAGTAACGATTCTGAAGCAAATCGGTTTTAATATTATTTAGTTCAGAATATAGTTAGAGAGTAATAAATAATTTTACTAAAGTAAATAAAGGGCTGGGGATCGAATCCTGTACCACTAGCACAGGCCACGGCCGGCCACCTCAATAAGTTACTACACTGTGTTAACACTGCTACAATAATAAAATCGTCAGAACAGTGAATAGTCCTTATTCTCAATTATACCACAACTTGTTTAGTGTGAACGTGATTTGAACTTGACTTAAAAAAGTTATGTATTCTACTAAATCACTACAAACTTCTGAATGGTTGTGACATTCTTAAGTTTAAATATAAACTTTAAGAATGTATAATACAATATTTGGATATGAAACAATTGATAGATTTTAACTTGTTAATATGTAGATCCGTTCCGGAGATATGTAGCCAAGCCACGATCAAAATCGTCTTCGTTGAGTTCTTGTACCAACTGATTTTTGTACGGGTGGAACTTGTGTTTTTTAATAACCTTTGGAAACTTGTACGATTCCTGCCGGTCTCATTGGCTAATTTTCTTGTACTCAGAATACTGTCCATGGCAACTTGGCCCAAAACGAATACCTCCATAGCTTCATTTACTACAGGATTTTCCCTCTGCCTCTTTTTATTCATAACGGAACCAGTTTCGCGAAATTTTGCTACTAACTGGCGAACAATTTTGCCATAAAGGTGTTTGTCAGGATGGCGTTCATTGAATATCTGTGCAACCCGATTGCAAACATCTAGAAATAATAAGAAAAAACAGCAAATTGGTCGAAGGAATTTATCCTTATCATTTACTCTGATAAATGTTTAAATAAACTTTTCAAATTTCAATCCTTCATATTTTCCCAACGACTCGACCGATCTTCAAAAACGAAGCAGGAAAGTATAGAGAATAGAAAGCACTTTTCATTGCGGTACCACTTGACCCCCCTTCCCATTTGAAAAGTAGAGGTACCACTTGACCCTCCTTCCCATTTGAAAAAAAATCGGAGGATGACACCCCCGCTTAGAGGGTTGAAGATTTTGCAATAATTTTTGGGGCAAAAGTTGTCCCCCTCACAAACAAAATTGAGGTGTTTTTGAATTATCTGAAAAAAAATTACCCTGGCCGTTATGCCTTGCGGAACGTTTTCGATGGGCCACCCTGTATTTTAACTCCAATAAGTTTGATATGGTTTAGGTTTATTAGGTTTTTATTGATTTTTTTAAAAGTTAGTGATGCTATTATACAATGTATTTAGATTTCGTATATTGGCATTGATGCAAGATTAAAAGCTTAAGAACTAAGAGCTATAAGTTGGATGAAGCGGAATGTCAGACTTTTAATCGGCATTAAAGTGTTTACACTATTTTGCTAACAAGAAAAAAAAAAAGTCCGTGGCGTACATGCTTTTTTTAGAAAAATATCCCAGTGAGGATTTTCCACAACCCCATACGCACGTCCTTGGTGAATATGTCGACACTCGTTTAGCTTTAAAATATGTCCCATTTATAGTAACTTTTACCATCAAAATTTCATTCGAAATTCTAAAAGTACTTGAAAGAAAATTAAAATAAATCAAAAAAATAATAATATTTTAACACCCTGTTACTACGAAACAAAGCAGAATCGGACCTATGTTGATATGAAAAATAAATCTTATTTTTACGTGAGGAATCTGCCCACGAGAAATGGCACATGTTTTTTGAAACACTATGTAGATATACTTATAGAAATTTTAACTATAATATTATTAATATTATATTATATAATGTGAGTCATAGATAAGTGCAAATATTTTAGCGGTAGTACGAATAATCGTCCTCAGAACACGCATATGAGGGTTTTTAAATATCATAATATCTTGATAATATGGCAAATGGCAACAAAGGTAGTAGTTTAAATTTACAAGAAAGAAAACTCAGGAAAGATAAAGTGGTTTTCAAAATTTAACCAAACAAATATATTTCTTTGAATTATCAAAATAACATAAGGTTATTTTGGACTTATTTGAAAAACGGTAAAGAGAAAATATGTTTATTTTATCGAGATCTACCAGCCCTGAAAATATTTGCACTTATTTAAGACTTTCCCTTCTTACTCACCCTTATTACATTTATTTCTTTTTTATTTATTTATTTTTAGAAAAAAGGTAGGTATACAACTTTAGATTTAAAAAACTGCATCTTTAGTGTAATGAATTTTTAATCTTCTTTAGTGTGCATTTGAATTAAGGTTGGAATGGGCTAAGAGAGGCCTGGGTATGGCAGTTTTTTATTTTAAAAGACATCCTCAAGCCAGAAGTAAAGGTAGTTGGCATAATATGCGTTGAAAATAATATAAATTAATAATTTTTAATTACTATAGTTCTTTAAGAGACATTGAATTTGGGGTTTACGTTTTGGGCTGTCTGTATCATATATTTTATTAGAGAGCTACTAGAGAGATCTTTATTCAAAGAATTTAAAATATAATAAAATATTTTATAAATAGCTATAAATTAAATATCTTAAATATTTAATAGTCTAAGATTCGGATGCAAGATTATTACGCTCAACCTAAAACTTCATTCAGAACCTCGCAATTAGTGGTTTCAATTAGCGTAGAAGTTTGTTCCTCTTATTTCAATGTAAGCATTTAGAACGTCAAAATTAGTGGTAGTCATTTTCAATTAGTAGAGAAAGTTAACAAACTTTTGACTTTTCCACTAATTATACTTAAAAATTTGCGAATGTCATTTTGACTTCTGATTATCATCCGTCAACACAAGTTGTGGTTAGAAATCAAAGGTTTATTGTTTTATAAGCTAAATATTAGGCTTTCTCTATGGATACAACTGACTACCGACTTTTGAAAAACTATTTTATATTTTAGAAAGATTGGTACAGAATTTTGCACACCCTGTATGAGGTTTAAGATTATGATATTTATAACAAGGCTAATTTTTTTTATTTATTTATTAATATTTCTGAAACTATCAAAACATATTTAATAATATCTTAGGATTATGTAAAGTGATCAGAAGGGAAGCGAAAAATGGAATGATACAGGGTGTTCCATTTAAAAAAATATATCCCGATCCACTCACACTTTTGAGCCTCACTGTAAAAGTAAAAAAAATCAATAACAAAAAATAGATAATAGAAATAAAGATTAGGTTTTGATTAAAAACATGATGGTAAAACGTAATGCGTCATAATCCTGCTGCCATGCCGGATCCTGTACTATAAGTAAATCTACAATTTAGTGTAAGGTTTTGGCATTAAATTAACATCACAATGAGATTTTGTACAACACTTCCTTAATATTTCATTCAGATCATTAAATGTTTGACAGTAAGTAAAACTCTTTGGATTTACTCCTTTGAAGGTGTCTACCACTGATTTCTTCAAATGTATAAATATTATTTGTTGGTTCCTGTTGCTAAAGTCCCTCATCAACAGTTTCATGCCCTAGAAAAAATAATATGTAATTTTAATGTAACATTATAATCGTATGATAAAATAAAAACGGCGTTAGAGACGGCTGAGAAATGACAATCGATGAGGTTACTCTCTAGATGTCATTTACTAAACATTGGCATAGAGGTTGTAAAAAATGAACACTAATTAGAGGAAGATTAAGAAAGGATAGAATATTTCTAAACACACAAATTTACCGGGTGCGTCTTAAAAGTGGCTCACCCTTATAACTTTTTTATTTTCTCAGATGAAAAATTAAGATTTGGTATATTAGTATATCACATAAATTAGGATTGATTGACGTATTGAATTGTTTTCGGTCACTTCCTGTTTTACCGGAATTACCGATTATCGTATGAAAATGGCGAACAAATGTGGTGGTAATTCTCACAATTTGTGTTAGAGAATATTTAGATTGTACTCGTTGAAATTTAAATGAAAATCATTATTACATATTGTAGCACTACTAACTATATTTTTTGACACAATTTGCTGTTACTACGCACTATTGTAAACTGAGTTGGGGAAAAATAATAACTTAGCCAATATAACAATTGTGTGTCACATGTTTACAAAAATCTAAGTACAGTCTGTGGTGCAATGTTCTAGTTTTTTCTTTCTAAATGTTATTTTCCGTGTAGAAATGAAACAGAAAAAAGTGACGGTAATATTCCGAGGTTATCCCCAAAACCTTTTTTGGATTAACTATATTTACATTTGCATTGCATTACGGGTAGTGTTGCACAAGACAAGAATTCTTGTCTTGAAAATCAATTTCTTGTCTTGTCTTGAAATTCAAGACAAGAAATTTTCAAAAATTTTCTCTTGAAATTTCTTGTTTTGAAAGATTTTACATTCTAACAAAAAGGTAATAATATTTCTATATCTTATTTTATAGAAAGCGTCGTATACAAAATGTAATACGGAAAAATGAGCAACAACGATGCTAATTTTAGCAAAAAAAATCTTAACGGACCGCAAACGAACTACGCCAACTCGCCCGTTTGACGAAACAGGAGCCATTACCTAATAGTGGTTTTCAAAATGTACTTCAAAATTATTTATCTAAGCAGAGAGTGGACGATAAAACAGATATTTTGGCATGGTGGCAGAGCCATAGTGTCATATTCCCAGTGCTGTCAAAAATGGCTCGTGATTTTTTTTTTGTACACCCGCTACTTCTGTTCCCGCAGAAAGGCTCTTTTCGAAGGCAGCACTGGTAATAAGGAAACACAGAAGCCGGCTAAATTCAGAATCGGTAAGAAGTTTAATTTGTTTGAATTCCTGGATGGATGAATATCCATTAGTTCATTTTTTAGTTCTTGTTAGTTTATTATGTTCTATTTTGGGTAAACGTTTGTTACATTTATTTTTTATGGTACTTATTTTTTTTATTATGGAAGATTGGTTGGAAAAGTTTGGACACAGGGTGTACGGAAAGGTTATGCTAGAGTGTACTTTTTACGCTATTTGATACTACTTTTTGTTCGCGGAGCAATTTCGTGCATGAAAAGTAGTACCAAATAGCGCAAATAGCGTGCTCCACGAACCCAACATTATTTTCAACTACCGTTAGTTTTTTTTATAATACCATTATACCAATATAATTTTGTGTATAATACCAATTACCAATATACGGTTTGTTGCCTCGACTTTATTTTATATCATTCCAAACCAAACCAAACCAAACACTGGTCAATATTAATGCCGGATTTATACAACATTTGCATAAGTCGTAATAATAATCACAGTCTTAATCATCGTCATAATCAGAATGCAATTTTAATGTGCGTTTATAGAACATTTTCATATCTCCAAAAAATCCTATATTGGTATTTAACCACTTCAAGAAAATCTACAAAATAAAATAGTTACTTTTTGTAAACACTTCTGCGTTAACCCAAACAGAAACTACTTGTCAGAAGTTAGGTTTACAGATATACAAATTTACCACGAACAAAAAAAAGCTTAACGTTTCGGAAAGTTTTTTTTTCATAGGTAGGTATAGACATTTTTTAACATTTTCATAATTATAATTTTTATATCAGTGAAGGTGGGTAACATAATTAAAGGCTAAGTTCATGGTAGATGTCAACAGGTTTATAAGAAGTGGATAGTTTAACTTTTATGATTATGACTATGATTGTGATTACGACTATGTAAATGTTGTATAAACTCGCCATAACTTGCACAAAGACCTAATTATCACTTAAAAAAATGTATCATTTCTAACTTTCAACAAATCTTGAATTCAAGAAATCTTGCAAGACTCTTGAAATTTCTTGCATATTAAAGTCTTGTCTTGTCTTGAAATTCCAGACAAGAGATTTTGAAAGTATTGTCTTGAATTTCTTGCAAGAATCTTGGTCTTGAAAGACTTTTCAAGACTCTTGTGCAACACTAATTACGGGTAGTTCCCTGATTTCATCAGGGAACATTAATAACAAATTAATATAGGGAAAAATTGACCAAAACGTAAGGCGAAAAAATGCATATAAAATTTCCACTCGTGACCCTCTGGGAGGAGGCTGGAGGCTGGAGCCCGGCTGACACTTGTCATCCTAACTATATGGCCAATCCGACCATGGCATTATATATACTTTTTCATTTATTAATTACAATCTTTAAGCCAATTATGTGTTAGTTGGTACCTTAGCAGCTGTATAATCAGCTCCCTGTATATGTCTGGCATCAATGACAATCGGTATGGAGGTTAAACCCCTTTTTGTTCCAGCTTTAGTAATTATGGATCGAACGTATTCAACAGAAGGGAATGAGAGACTTCTGTCTGGAGTTATCAGTAGGTATTCACATCCAGAAGGAGACTAAGAAATAAAATAAGACAATATTATAATATATAATAAATATGTATCAACTTCTAAAGAAATAATTATTAATCCATATTAAATTATTAATATTTAATTGACGATTTACCAGCAAAAATTGTTATTTTATATTTATCTCAAAGATTGATAGCACATTTCCTGTCAGAGATAAATAATAAGATAGCAAATTAGTTGTTTAGTTAGTAATGTTTATTTATTATTTACATCTCTTATTTATATAATTAATCATCACAATTTTTGATACCAAACCTAGAAATGATTGTGAGTACCAGAAAATCTAAACAATTTTTATAAAATATGTCGTGTAAAAATTGAAGAGTTGATACTATTTGGAAAATAAAATAAATAAATATTTTTACAATAAATGAGTTTGAAAAGTTAAAATTTACCGTAATTTTCTCAATATCTATTGTGGGACGTGCAGTGGCATACAACAAAAAAGCTAAATTTATAGCAACACCCAGGCCTATACCAATCTCAAGTCTGGTAAAAAGACAAGCTATAAATGTTGCTATGGCTGGTATGAGGTCAGTTTCTGAAAAAAAAACAAGTATATAAAAAAACTGGTATTTGGTGTAAGAAGTTTCATTGTGTTCAAAATTGTGTGTGTTCATTCAGCAGTGTTAAAAAAAATCCACATATCAGGTTTCATATTTGAAATTTTCCGTCCAATATTTTTATAAAACATGCTATTAATAGAAACGGATATTTTGGAGATTATTTCATATACAGGGTGTTTCAAAAAACATGTGCCATCTCTCGTGGGGAGATTCCTCACGTAAAAAGAAGATTTATTTTTCATATCAACATCGGTCCAATTCTGCCTTGTTTCGTAGCTACAGGGTATTAAAGTCTTATTAATCTATGGATTTATTATAATTTTCTTCCAGGTACTTTTAGTGATTCGAATGAAATTTTGTGGGTTAAAGTTACTATAAGTGCTACATATTTTAATGCTTAAAAAGTGCCGATAAATTCATCAGCGACGTGCATATGGGTTATCACTGGAATATTTTTCAAAAAAAAAACATGTGCGCCACTGACATTTTTCTTTTGACATCAAAAATTGTGTAGGTAGTTTAGTGACAATTAAAAGTCCTCTCTCATATTTTGTCGCATTCGGCCTCCTTGATGAGTTAAGCGCAATTTTATTAATCACAATTAATAAAATTACAATAAAAATAAAATTAATAAATTATATATTTTACCTAATTTGTTATTAAATATTATTACTATTATTTATTATTACTATTAGTCCAACCTACAGCAATTTCAAATGAAAAGATAATGGTATTAAGATAATTACAAAAAACCTAATTTTAAAAAGTTTTAACATCCTGTAACTCTAAAACTATGCATTTCCATAACCATGTTTATAGGAACATTTTTTCATATTTTTTGATGAGGAATCAATGAGTCCTTATTTAAAACTTTCGCAAGTTAATGATATTATTTTTTAAGGGTTGTTATTAAGGTGGGTATACACGTGCGAGCGAGCTGTTCGCAAACCGCTCGTTAGCAAATTGTTTTTGTACGAACCTTCAACGATCCAAAGGAAAAGCGCGAACGCCGCAAACCAACCGAAAACATGCAGTCATTTTTGCGATGCGACGCGACGCCGCACAGTGGGCGGGAGACCGGCCGCTAGTAAGACGAAACTTCTACGACAATCTGATTCAACGCAACTTAATAATTTCTGTATAAAATCATCTAATTATGTTTATTATTTTCAAAATATGCCAAAACTATTGATTTTGTTTTGTGGAAAACAAAAGCTGACTAAAAACATAAAATGCAAGTGAAACGAACTTATGTTGTATTAACACGTTTAAAAAAATTGCAAAATAAACTAAAGCTGCTAATTAAGTACAAAGCTACAATCTACAGTCTAAATAAGTATAAAGCTACAAAGTTAAGTACAAATCTACAATCAAGTACAGGGTGTTCATTTATAATGTGCCCTCCTTTAACTTCTTTGTTTTTCGCATTAGAAAAAAATGTTATAGACAAAAATTGTAGTGTTAAATGTAAACTATTTGCAACGTATATTTTTTATACAGAGTCTTGCGTAAACGTGTCAGACAGGTCAAAATTATATATTTTTCAATGGAACACCTTGTATATTATTACATTTCTAAAACATTCACAAAATTTTAAGTCCTTTTTATATAATATGACATATGCTTAAATTTAATAATTTCGGAAATATCCGCCTGTAAATAATTATATAAAGAGTAATTAAAATTTGGTGAAGGTTTTAAAATTGTAATAACATACAGGGTGTTCCATTTAAAAATATATAATTTTGACCTGTCATGCGTTTATATAATACCCTGTATATGAAAAAATATATTGAGCAAATAGTCCACATTTAACCCTACAGCTTTTGTCTAGAACATTTTTTTCTAATGAGAAAAACAAAGAATTTAAAGGGAGGCACATTATAAATGAAGACCCTGTACTTGATTGTACTTAATTTGTACTTTTTAGTGTACTTCTTTAACAAACTCGTTAAACTTAAAAAAGTGTTTTTATTTATTCTATTTTTATTATGCTGTTGTAATAAAATTATATTTTATACCTCAAATTTGAGACAAATCGATTGATAAATAAAAAGTCTGCCATTTGGATCCGCCATTAATTTTTACCAACAAAAAAAAGCATATTAAAAAGTAGAACATATTTTACTAATCATAAATCTGAAAACCGTATGTTCATATCTGCTTTGGTTCGAAAGTTATGAATTTATTATTATTTTAAGGTTTGACTAGCTTCACTGCAGCAACAGTGAAATATCGTTAAAAACGGCTAAACGGGCAAGAACGGGCAAGTGATCTTGACATTATGTTCAAGAGCGATTTATAAAGTTTTATTTAAAATGAGAATTAAATAGTACTTTGGATTACTTTATATTTCCACCTCTGTCAATTGGCAAATTTATTAAAAAAATAAGTAATTATATATCAGTCCAAAAAGGCAAGAGTGTAAACTAGGTAACCACTATAATAATTAAAATCTATAATGATCTGAAGCTAACTTACCTCTATTATATTCAACCACCACAATATGTTTTATTTTAAAAATAACTTCACTCAAAAATTAGTGTCAAGTTTGTTTCGCCTGTACATGCAAAATAGACGCTCGCTTGGGTACAAAATGTTGCTGACACTTTCAATTGTTTATGGTATGCTCAAAGCCTACTACGAAATTATTTAGAAATGTATCGAGCAGGATAAAGCTTTTTAACTTTAATTCAGTAATAAAGTCTTGAAAAGGGGCTTAAAAAAATAGAAGGTTTTGTCTCGCCGTATCATCCGCCTTCGCCTACTGTGCGCCGGCTGGTGCGAGTACGCGTTTAATTATGTCTTTGCGATTATGTCTTCTTTAAAATATGTCGCATTTATAGAAACATTTACCTTCAAAATGTTATTCAAAACACTAAAAGGACTTGGAAGAAAATTAAAATAAATCAAAAAAATATTAAGACTTTAACACCCTGTAGCTACGAAACAAAGCAGAATCCGACCTATGTTGATATGAAAAATAAATCTTATTTCTACGTGAGGAATCTCCCCACGAGAGATGGCACATGTTTTTTGAAACACCCTGATACCACCGGGTGCGTCTCAAAAGTGGCTCACCCCCTATAACTTTTTTATTTTTTCAGATAAAAAAAAGATATTTGGTATGTTAGTATATGACATAAATTAGGATTGATTGACGTATTCAATTGTTTTTAGTCACTTCTTGTTTTACCGAAAATGACTACAATTTTTTATTTTTAAATGCCTCCTCTGTATATTTTTACTTTATTCGATAGCAAATGATACTCTGAATAGAATGACATATCATACCTCAACTTTCTCACTTAAAAATCGTATTTTAAATTTCAGTCTAGAGTGTTAAAAACACTATTTAATGAAGGAGCCTTGGAAAAATAGATTTAATCGTCCAAATTTTTTTCGTGTTTTGTCCTGGCCAGTTAAAAATACCGAAATCGCATTTTTAATCATATCTCAATTTTTTCAAATGGAATAAGGGTGGCTTATTAGCATATTTGGAACAAGCATTTTTTACGAATAATTTGGTACCATACACTTGGTATTTCGAGTCAAATTGTCGTTATGAACCGCATGTTGGTTAGGTTAGGTTATTATAATATCAAATAAACCATATTCAGAGTGAGGAGATATATCATTTTCTATCGAATAAAGTAAAAAAATACCGAGAGTGCTATTTAAAAATCAAAAGTTGCAGTCATTCCCGGTAAAACAGGAAGTGACCAAAAAGAGTTGAATACGCGTCAGTCAATTCTAATACCTAACATACCAAATCTGGTTTTTATCTAAAAAAATAAAAAAAGTTATAGGGGTGACCCACTTTTGAGACGCGACCGGGATACAGTCTGATTCAGATGTATTGTGACATAAAAGTTATAGATTTTTATAATTTACACCGGGTAGTTTTTGGAATATAACCTTCTTTATATACATTTAAAGCTCTTTCAACCATAAAAATTTAGAATTAGTTGAAGGCGTCTTTGTTAATTTCTCAGTAATTTTTCAATCGATGGATTAGTAAATACCAAATATATGTAAATACGATTAATTATGCTGATGCAACTGAAAATAATCATTATAAATTAGAAGAATTGTGCATGAAAAATGATTTTGCATGTAAAATGATTTATAAAATATATTTGGATAAAAATTATGTTTATTTATGTCATAGAGTACAGGATATTTATAAAATACAGATGATGATAAACTCAAATATCTATTGAGTCATTTTGTATATACCATGCAATACATTAGATATATTTTAGTAATTAATATTAAAAAGGACTAATTAAAAGTATTTGCAATTAATACATATAAATATTTTACTATTTTATAACTTTGGGAAAGTTCTAAATGTACAAAAAAGGTCATATTTTAAAATAATTTAGTATACATAGATTACGACAGTACGTAATGTTTGGAATGGAAAATTCACTGAAAATCTGCTAATTGAAAAAAATGTACAACTTTAATGTAAAATATGTTTGAATCTTTATGTACCTTTAAGAAAATATTTTTAAGATGTGAGCTATCATTGCCCTCATATTTTGTAAAAAAAATTTTGGAATACTGGATCACAATGTACTTACTGTGTCTTCGCATTATGTTTTATGGAAACTTACTTTTGGTTCTCCAAATGGGCCCGAACACATGTAGCTCTATCATGAAAGCTACTGCTACGATAATAACGGCAGCCAGAGCAGCCTTAGGTATATAATAGAACCAAGGTGTTAGAAATTTAAGAGATAATATCACTATTAAAGCAGTATAAACACCACCAAAAGTGGTTTTAACTCCACTGGCATGATTCACAGCTCCCCTTGACAATGCTCCCGAAACAGGCATCGAACTCACAAAGGATGAAGCTATGTTGCAAATTCCTAAAGCTAACATTTCCTGAGTGGAATCTATAGATTTTCCTTCGCCTGCAAGAAAATAATGTAAATTTAATAATATTAATTCCAACGTTATTATATACGTACTGTAAACTTTTGCAATTGCGTAATTTTGAAGTATGGATAAAACTGGTAAAATAATAATACCAGATCCTAACGTAGACGCCATATCCAGAAAACTGTAATTTTTACCATTTACTTCTGTATTAAAGGGTGGCATTGTTATGTTTGGTAGTCCAGGCTTAACAAATCCTGTAAAGTTAAATGCATATTGTGGTTTTTATTTTGAAAAAGACTAATCGAATAAAGTTAAGTATATTGTGTTTTCGGTATGAAGAAAAATTTTCAGAAAAAAAAAACAGGTGCTTAAATTAGTATGTCGTTTATGTTTAAAAAATATTGCTTATTAACATACAAAATTGTAGCCGAACAGATAAAAAGTATTATCAGCAAAAATGTACATTTTATTTCTTTTAGAATAGTTGTGTTTGGGTGTTGCTAAGTGGCAATTATTCTGTCAGCGACATCATGAACGATAAAAAATACTTATTTAGTTATTTTTTTTCTTCAGTGTTTACTATATTGTCAATGATTAGACTTAAATTGAAATGACTGTCTAGTGAATGCATTTTGTTTTAATGTTTACAATGCATTTTGTTTGTAATTACTCTGTCTTAGAAAGTGACTCCCCCCTTCCCCTAGGAGATGCAAGACTTTGTCTTTGATTGGAAAGCTCCTGGTCAGGTGCTGGGGGGAATGCCCCCTAGCGCTTGGCTTGGTCTAACAAGCATCTCACTCATCGTCTTGTCCCTGTCTCTAGTGTCGTGGCCAGGGAATTGCACCAAGACGATGCCGGACGAGCTACCCCTGTCCGTCATACCAGGCACGGCAGGCACCCTCTACTGATTGTGGTCATGTCTCGCGGGTAGAGGGTGTGGGGGGTATTGGCTTAACCGCCTGGACCAAGAGGAGACAACCTCACCAAAAACCTAAATCCTACGATAGCGGGACCAGGTCAAAGAGATGCGTGGCTAGATAGAGGACTAGCCATTACTGGCCTCAACCTTGGGGCATTAGGGGGCACCCCATTGTATTTACCCCCTACATGCGGGGCTCTGTAGAAGTGGACCGACTATCCCTAGCGACTCGTGGGAACACTATGAGATTTAATATTAAAAACACCACCGGTTAAGCTGTGGGTTAAGCCCCCTAGCGACACTGGGAACATTAGAAATGAAAGTTCCAAGGGACCAAATCCAAAGGAAACTACAAGAGGAGCGGCTGACACTTGCTTGGGATCATCCTCCACAAGTGGCACCACCTTCTCCAGTAACGGTCGGAAGCCTATCTCTAGACCCAATAAACGACACAACCCACCGTTTGGTCTATCCGGTCTGGGTCAACCAGGCGGGCTAGACAATTCTCTGAGAGTATCTCTTAGCGGAGCAGAAGCACGGAGATACCTTCGACTGCTCCACGAAGGACTTGCTCCAGAGGAAGCAAAAGCGAAAACATTCCTCCGAATAGGGGAGAGTAAAGAAACCAAGAAACAACCTGACTCATGTCCATCAAAGGGCAAGAGAGGGAGCGAGAACCTCTCACCTCTTCTCTGACAGGGAGAGAAAAAAGCCAGGATGGAAAGCCGTCCATCACCGGGGGGCAAGCAGGGACGTATCACCAGCTTTGCCGCTATTGCTGGACAAGTAAAAATGGCGGTGCGGCTAAAGGATTTTCCAGAGGTTGCTCTGACCACCGACCAGCAAACGTCTCTAGAAGAGACTATACTGGACGAAGTAGTGGCGATCGGATCGCAACACAACGATCTACAAAATGTGGGTCAGTTGCGTTTTGCGGGGATACTCTTTCGGTGGGCATGATCCTCATAGATTGTGTAACTCAAGAATCGGCGAATTGGTTGGTGGAAATCGCACCTAAGTTTAAAAATTGACAAGGGCCGGAACTGGTTGCAGTGAAAGGCGAAAATAGCCCTAAAGGCGCGGCCATCACGGTCTTTCTGCCGAGGAGCAAGGGGAAACCCACCATCCACTTGCTGAACCTTATCCAGGGTCAGAACTCAGTGTAAGGACATCGAGTTGGCGAGTCATCAACTCGAGGGAGGAGGATCATGGTCAGGTGCTCACAATAGGAATTGACCTCAAATCCAAAGAGGCAATAGAGAAAGAGGGACATATCCTCTATTATAGATACGGGACAACACCGGTATCAGGTCTAAGGAGAGACCAAGTTAAAGAGGTGGAGAAAATGGAGATAGACCACCCAGCCTCCACCTCACGGGTTCCTCAGCAGGAGGCAAGCTCCTCGACTGTAAAGGGCGGCACGGAGGGTAGAACTCCAATCGTGGAAGGGTGTGTATCCTCGGAGGAAGAACTGTTGGCAGAGGAGGATGGGAAATCCCCTGTCTCCTCTACAACAGGGGTATGATGGGTTATAGACTGTGTGATGACTCAAGGAAGGGGGGCACAATAGATCTTTAAGGTCGCAGTGATTACCCCCCCCCCTGTTCCTCATTCTACATTCCACATTCTACAAAGTGACTCCCCTCTGATCTTGGAGTTACCTCGACCAACAACGGTAATGATAATACGTGAGAGATTAGTCAGATGTGCAACCATATGGAATTTTTAGTTTAGTAATCCCCAAGGGTAAATAAATATACGAAGATAAAGTAAAAAAAGCATAGAACAACTGAATAGATAGCTAGTCACCAAAACCCATACTTGGAATTAGCATCACTTATGGATTGAACATCATATCGCCAAAGAAAAAAAGCTGAGCACCTGTCAGATAAGATCTGACAAAATAAATGAAAAATGTCTAATCCACGTGTAATAGGGTCAAAACTGACCAATTCCGAGATTTACAAAGGTTTTTCTCTGGATTTCCGTGGAGCTGACTGTGCCCATGTAAGCAAAGAGGTGGTAGGCAATTCGCTCATAAGTCAGAACCCGATATTAAATGTACGAAAATGGTGCCTTTTTATTATGAGGCAAAGAAAATCCCAACGGCTGCTTACTTGTTTTCAGCATCAACACAAAGTGGACAGAAAGGTCCGTTGCCTCTCTTAATCTCTTGTTTGGAAGGAAATACACTTCTTTGTGGAATATAAGACAGGAGAAATATGAATGGAGGTTGGTAAATGCTATGGAGGTAAAGGTTTTGTAGTTTAGTTCACCTATCATACTGATAAAAACTTTACTCATAAATTGGGCATTGGAGTGAAGATCGCGTTCTACAAACAACATGTTTGGATAATAATACATTGTTATAGTTCTGTTGTAACATAGAAGCACAGATTAGGTATACTATATGTATACAGATAAAAGTCTTGTCCCTAATTCGTGGTACGAAAATTGTTTTTTTATGACGATGGGCAAACGAATAAAATTTCCTGTGCGCAAAAATATACTCGCGTTTAAACAGCGTGATAACTGGGCCAGTCAGGCACTGTGCACAATTTTAGAGACCATACGTGGGCGTGCTTGTGCGCAAACTAGTAACCTAACTAGTGCGCGACTGAGAAAATTGGAACGACGAAAAACAATGCTTTTGACGATAAGTTTATAATCTGTATAATCTGTGATAGAAGTGTGATATGTGTCCTCCGGGAAGGATGTACCAAAGGTCTGATGTAACAGATGTGGTTACGTGCTTTTGTCTTTTCGGACTTACTTTTCTTTATTAGATGATAGCAGAAAGAAGAAAGGAAGCTACCAAAAAAGTATTACTTCTAGCCGAATTAAGGGCACTACTACTACTAGCGAGACTAGCTCTAGCCACTAGCTCTTCTAGGGCACCACATAGAAATCGGATTTTTTTATAAAATTCGCCCATTTTTTAAAATTCATTTTTAACTTAATAAATATTAGAATCCAATTTTTGGCATTATGAGAAAGTTTTAGGATGGAAATATTATTTCTTAATGGTATAAACGAACCCTTGGAAATTTATAATTTACCTGTTAGTCTAAATGGAGATCGGCCTTGATTTTCAAAGCAATACGCTACAGAAGCTGAAATGACTACAACAAGTAGGTTTCTTGAAGTGGACAGTAACCAGAATATACCGTAAAGCACTTTCTGGCAATTGCTTCGGGAACCATCTTTCCTTGCCACTTTTATATCCTTTAATTTCTACAAAAAAAAAAGAGTTTTCAAAATGAGTAACACAGTTTTCTATATATAATTAGAAATGTTAATTATGCAATTAGTCTGTAGAGCAAAATATAAGCATAACTATATAATAATCTATTTAACAAATAAGGAAGTATAATAATATGTGTCGCTTTTTATATTTTAATTTTAAGTTTTTAGGAACGCTAAACACATGATCTTAAAACATCTTAAAAAAGGTATCTTTTTTTGTTTTTGAGAATTACAAAAATTTGAGTTGAATCCTTAGAGTATTTATATAAATTTACCAAACTCGACAATTTTAAATTAAACAACAATTTTTTTTAATTAATACATCCTATATTAGTGATCGAATAATAGCGTCAGGTTTGGCTGGGAAATGAAGGTAATATTTTATTTAAAATTGAAAAATATGTATATTAGCCTTATATTAGACATCCTTATTTCTGTAATAATTATAATGACATGGCGATTGCACGGACGTATAATTATAAAATAATAATCTACCATTTCGATTATTATGTTAAGAATAAAGTTTTTTAATTAGTAGAATATCATATCGTGCAATTGCCATTTGTCATTATAATTAGTACAGAAATAAAGATGTCTAATATTGATACTAACAATTTAGAACAAAATTGTTGAATAGGTGCTTAAATAGAAACTAAATAAAATATACTGACTCGGTTTTACATGAGATCTCACAACTTTTTATAGTGGAGTTTTGTTGCGCGACTTGGCATTTTTTTATATGCTGTTTTTGATTTCTTTTTGTAGATTATCCTCATATTTTTTAAACGCAAAAATATATATTTCAATATTATAGGTTGCCTTTGGTTTGGTTTGAATTTTCTTCGGTTACTATACCGAGTGCGTCTCAAAAGTGGTTCACCCTATAACTTTTTTATTTTTTCAGATTAAAAAACGATATTTGGTATATTAGTATATCACATAAATTAGGATTGATCGACTTATTCAATTGTTTTTGGTCACTTTCTGTTTCACCGGAAATGACTGCAACTTTTGATATTTAAATGACACTCTCAATATATTTTTACTTTGTTCGATAGAAAATGACACTCTGAAAAGAATGACATATCATATGTCAACTTTTGACATTTTGGCATATGGTTTATTTGAAATTGTAACATATGGTTCATAACGACAATTTTAATCGAAATACCAAGTGTGTGGTACCAAATTATTTTTTTTTCCAATATGCTTTTTCAGCTTTTTCCAAATATGCTAATGAGCCACCCTCATTTCATTTGAAAAATTTGAGATATGATTAACAATATGATTTGGACATATTTTAACCGGCCAGAACAAGACACCAAAAACATCAGACGATCAAATCTATTTTTCCAAGAGTCCTTTGATTTAAAATTTGTGTTTTCACCACCGCCAAGGCACCCTAGATTGAAATTTAAAATACAATTTTTTTTTAAACGAAAATGTCAAAGGTTGCCGTGTGATATGTCATTCTATTCAGAGTGTCATTTTCTATTCAATAAAGTAAAAATATACCGAGGGTGCCATTTAAAAATCAAACCTTGCAGTCATTTCCGGTGAAACAAGAAGTGACCGAAAGCAATCGAATACTTCAATCCTAATTTATGTCATATACCAACATACCAAATCTCGTTTTTTTTATCTGAAAAAAATAAAAAAGTTATAGGGGTGAGCCACTTTTGAGACGCATCCGATATACGATCCCCGCATTGTTGTATATTAAATACTCTGAGGATTTCCAATTATCTTATAATTATATAAGTATATTATTATATTTTTATATACTATTTCGTATTTATGTAAATATTACTTTTTCGATTTTGATGAATATTTGTTTGTTTGTATTGATTTATGTATTATGCTCTTTAAATATAACATATGTACAGGGTGGGTCAAATTCGACGCTTTTAAATGGAAACACCCTTTTCTATAGGAGATAGACGAAAACTAATATCGGTGTCTGTAGCTCAATTTTCATCAAAAACATGATGGTGAAAACCGCACATCAATATCTGTTATCGTTTCAGAGTTATACTCCTGGTAGCAACGTCAGCAGGTGTACAAGAAGCCCTCCATGTCTTCAGATCTGGATGGAACCAGAAGCCATCAGGAGCATTGTTATACCGAAATCCTTCCCTATTGAACCAGTTAATTACTTTTCCGGCATCAATATAAAGAAAATAGATTAAAAAGAGTAAATTAAACACTCCTGGTAGCAATGTCAGCAGGTGTACAAGAAGCCCTCCATGTCTTCAGATGTGGATGGAACCAGAAGTCATCAGGAGCATTGTTATACCGAAATCCTTCCCTATTGAACCAGTTAATTACTTTTCCGGCATCAATATAAAGAAAATAGATTAAAAAGAGTAAATTAAACACTCCTGGTAGCAATGTCAGCAGGTGTACAAGAAGCCCTCCATGTCTTCAGATGTGGATGGAACCAGAAGCTATCAGGAGCATTGCTATACCGAAATCCTCTCCTAATGAACCAGTTAATGACTTTTCCGGCATCAATACAAAGAAAATAGAACGGGGTGTTTTTCAAAAATGTGCATTTTTAACAAATCGCTGTAACTTTTTTGCTATAGAAAATTTTGTATTTCTATGAAAACATTTTCAAAGCACCTTTTTACGTATAATTTAATTGTTTAAGTATATATTTTTTAAAATTAATAATTTAAGAGTTATCAACAGAAAAATTGATTTTTTATTTGGGACACCCTCTATATTTTTAATTAACTGAAAAGAATTTAAAATTACCTTTCCAAAAATATAGCACACTTGATATTTTGTTATAAACCCCTTCGAAATACAGAATTTTTAAAAGTTTGCCACTTTTAACTAGTAGGTTTTGGACCCCGTATAATCTAAACAAGAATTAGAAATACTTAGCAGTTATGAGAGGGTATCTTTCACCCCCACTGAGTTAATGAATTTCGCGAGAAATGTTCAAAAATTGCCCCGTCTGTCCATAACAGAAGTCGATATGTCGAACACCTGTAGCAAAATCTCATGTCTTGGTTTGCTATTTATTTTTATTGTTATTAGATATAGTTTAAATGTGTTGATGTTGGTTAAATACATTTTAAATTGTTATAAAATTCTGCATCTCTCATAGCAAATATTATTTTCGTTTTAATTGATGCTCACAGCTAGAATTTTTTTGCATTACAGCCGGTGCCGTTCAATGCCTGCTTATTTAAAGCGGGCGAATTTTTATATAGTCTATATCTCGAAGAGGAATCGAGCAAAATATCAAGTGTGTAATATTTTTGGAAAGGTAATTTTAAATTCTTTTCAATAAATTAAAAATATACAGGGTGTCCTATATAAAAAATCAAATTTTCTGTTGATAATTCTTAAATTATTAATTTTAAAAAAATTACACTTAAACCATTAAATTCTACGTAAAAAGGTGCTTTGGAAATGTTTTCATAAAAATACAAAATTTTCCATAGCAAAAAATTTACAGCGATTTGTTAAAAATGCATATTATTGAAAAACACCCCGTAACTCCGAAACGGTAACAGATATCGATATGCGGTTTTCACCATCATGATATTAGTTTTTTCTATCTCCTATAGAAAAGGGTGTTTCCATTTAAAAGCGTCGAATTTGACCCACCCTGTATATTTTATATATATTCAGATATAACTATTAAACTAACTTTAAGAATCATCAAGGCTGCAATACACACAAAACCCATAGTACAGTCAGCACAACTAGTTTCGGAAACATGTTCGAAAATTTGCCCCCAAACTAGAATAAATTTATCTCCTGGATAATCCAGTCCCAGCAGATCCTTTATTTGAGTTGTCGCTACTATAATTGCCGCCGCTGAAGTAAAAGCTATTGCTACGGGTCCCGATATAAAATCTATTAAAAAACCTATAAATTTAATCGGAGATTAATTGCGTTGATCAACGATAATCTTGAATTTTGTTGATCTCACCTAAATGTAGTATACCCATTAAGAGTTCCACACAACCACTAAGAAAGCAAAGCAATATAGCTCCAGGTACACCCAACTCATGTTTATTCTCTCTAACCAAGAGTCCTTCTATTGCAGTAGGTCCTACGGGAGAGTCTTTGCTGCTGCCAAATATTGCGTAAACCAAAGGCGCTACAATTGACGAATATAGACCTAGAAAGACAGACATTTTATTAAGTTACATTACAAGTTATGCTTTTATGGTCATAGAAGTAGGGTTTCCGGAACCGGAGCTGTTTTTCGGAACCGGGAATTTCGGTACCACGTCTCTTAGGAACCGGGATTTCCCGTTTTTTTACGTACTTTCGGCACTGACTAATTTTTGTTTAATGGTTCAATTGTTGTAAAATGGATAAAAAATTGAGATTAAAGGTACATTCAGGCTGAGAGCGTCGAGCGTCGCGTCGCGTTTGCGTCGCGTCCGCGTGTCGAAATGGAATCAATTCACTTAACTTAAATTAGACCGTTCAGGCAGACAGCGTCGCGTTTGGCGTTGCGCTAGCGTCCGCTGAGCGTCGGGGTTCGAGTTCAATGGTGCGGACGCGACGCAAACGCGACGCGACGCTCGGCGCTCTCAGCCTGAATGTACCTTAACATGAACATAAACATGAACAGAAGTAAAGAAAAAAGTATAGGTAACTTAAATTTCACATCAAGCAACAAATAGGTACCAACTTAACTGAATTTGAGACAAAAACCCTAAAATATTGAATTAAAAATGCAAATATCTATTAAAACATAATATACAGGGTGTCCCAGACTGAGCGTGCTTCTCTAGAAGTTTCTAGAAAACCACAATATCTAGGTCGGAGATTTTTTGCACATCATTGTTTTACAACGAGATCTATCGATTAAAAATTTTTTCAATATGGCGGCACTTCTGGAAATACCGGAAGTTGACAGCAACTTTATTATTTTAAATGGATGCCCATATTTTTTATTACACACTTAAATTCTCTGTAAAATTCTATGAATATTGATGTAAACACTCTATACCTAATATTAACCGTTTTTGAGAAAACAAATATTTAAAATTTTTGGACGAAAAAAAAAACTGTCAAACCGATAAAAAATACCTGTATAGCCTAAAAGTCAAATTTAGTAATTACCAACAGCTACTGTGACATAAAGAGAAGACATGTGGCTATCTATTTCAAAAATTAAATTGTTCAAATGTCATATAATAATGGCGGTAGCTGTCATGGAATTGAGCGATTAAAAAATTATCATAAATCATTTTTTTTGAAATGGAAACCCACTTTTTTATTTCACTAATGAAAAGGTTTTTCAATTCGTTACTTTTCAGCTATACATGTTCCTATACCTAAAATAAATCGTTTTTATGTTATTTAACATTTAATTTGAAAGCGTATATTTTTCTTGATTTTATCTAGCTCTATAGCTAAAAGTGTATTTATAAAAATATATCTCGTATTTTTGCTCTTTAGTGATATCTAATAGTTGATATTATTAATAATATTCGGTATGATCGAATAAAAAAACAGCGTAAAGTTGGCTCGGAAATGATGCTGCTTTTTGAACAAAGCGTCACAATATGACATGGCCGGATCTATTGTTTTACATCAATTGACGTTTAAAGGCATAGGCTACTGGTTAAAATCAAGAAAAATATACGTTTCAAAACTAAATCTTAAATAACTTAAAAACGATTTATTTTAGGTATTGGAACATGTATAGTAGAAAAGTAACAAAAAAAAATGATTATGATATTTTTTTAATCGCTCAATTCCATGAGAGCTGCAGCCATTATTATATGACATTCGAACAATTTAATTATTGAAACAGATAGCCACATGTTTTCTCTTTATGGCACAGTGGCTGTAGTAATCACTAAATTTGACGTTTAGGCTATACACATATTTTTGACAGGAAGCTTTTTTCGTTCAAAAATTTTAAATATTTTTTTTGGGGGCACCCATTTAAAATAAGAAAGTGGCTGTCAACTTCCGGTATTTCCGGAAGTGCCGCCATGTTGAAAATATTTTTAATCGATAGATCTCGTTGTAAAACTATGATGTGAAAAAATATCCGAGCTAGATATTTTAGTTCTCTACAAACTTCTAATGCACGCTCAGCCTGGGACACCCTGTATATTATAGGAACTTCAAAAGAGAAAAGAGTAAGTAAGTAAGTAATTTTGTTTATGTTTATCGTAATTGAAACTCAATTTTATATATATTATTTATAAATTATTAAGTCATGAGAAAGTAAACATTAACACAAATAATGAACAGAAGCGAAAAAAAACACATAGGTAGCTTAAAAATTACATCAAACAACCTCAACCAACCTCGAAACCAACTTAAGTAAATTTGAAAAAAAATAACATTTTCAATTAAAGATGTCTATAAAAAGTCTATATACTCGTATACATATTACTCGTATATCTATACTAATATATAAAATCCTTAAGTGACTGACATACTGATTAATCACGATCCTGCTCAAACCACTCAACGTAAGAAGCTCAATTTTGGCATACAGGTTGATTCTAGGGTGTAGAGGTTCGATAAGAAGGGATTTTTCGAAATTCAAGTTCCAAGAGGGTGAAACCAACCCTCAAATATTACAATATTTTTTATTTAAAAAACGGTCAAGTTTCCGAAAAAATGCTTAAACACGTATATTTTATTTTGTTTTTTACATATTTTAAGAGTTTTTAAAAATGTATACAGGGTGTTTCGAAAAATCTGGTCATTGATTAATCACGATCCTGCTTAAAGCGCTTGACGTAAAAAGCTGATTTTTGGAAAACAATCCATCATCCAACCATTTATCATCAGCATTACAAATGATTAATTCGACGCGAACGAAGTCGCTGGTACACGCTAGTAAGTATATAAAAACATAGCACAACCAAATATAGCTAACACACTCAGCAATATTATACTAAATAATAAAATAATATATTTAAACTTCAATAATTCCTAATAAACCTTATAGAAACTTTAAAATAACTTCAGAAGTATGTAAGAACAGTAAGAGAGATAGCATCATTTCTTATTTAGAAGGGTTTGATTTCGACCGCCTAGAAAGTATCAATAGTCTTTCGCACGTAACAAAAAATATGTTTTTAATTATTATTACCGAGTCCCGAAAGTACCGAAAGAACCGGGAATTAATAATGAGTCCCGGTTCTTTCATGTCTCAAATAAACCGGAAATTCCCGGTTCTGAACCCTACCTAGAAGCTATAAAATATATAGTCTGTATGGCCCTAATTCACATTCTCATTTTTTTAAGGAAACAATTTTCTTTTGATATTTCATCTAATTCACTTTTAATGTACACAAATTTGTCGAAAATAAATATGGATTTTTCGCCGCTGTTGAAGGAAATTTAGAAATCAAAAAGTCAATTTTTCAAAAAACGAAAACCAAATTGTCAGTGGCTTTTTACTAGTAAAACAAATTTGCCTGACCGACAAACAACGCTTAATATTATTTCATTCAGGAAGTATATCTCTTGCCGTCGTCGTGTCGCCAGAAGCCAAAAAAATACAAAAACATAATAACATATTTAAACAAGAACAATTCAGGGACAGTTTAGTTTTTAGCATATATGTCTATTATAAATCGTTGACGTTCGTTGTTAAAATTATATTATATGACAAAATATACAAAATTGTCTATAAATAACCATCTATTATATATAGTCAGAAGAACGGCAACGATTTGGAGCCAATGCATTGATACGTTGTGCGGTTTTTGGGCGAACCATCAAAAGAAATATCACTAACAGAATGGATGAGTTTCCAAACGAACCAACGAATCGCATTCACAAACAGCATCGGCGCGGCGCATCGCATCACAAACTGCATCATACTCACTATGCGTGCATGGACGCATTGTCGAATCAGATCGACGTATCTAGATTATAGATTAGAGTCTTCAAGTTGGCCTGATCCACTGCGATCAGTTGCCTGATCTACTGCGACCTTTTTCGACCTTAGGTTACATTCTTTAGCCATATCCTTTTCACAAAGTCTAGCAACTGGCAGACTGAACCCTGCATATGGCCTATTATTGTCTAGTACAAAGAATCGCATCGAAGCCAGGCTGTCGCACCGACATAAAATGTGTTTTGTCGTTTCTACTTCAGATTGACAAAACAGGCACTTGGCTTACTCCATCAATCACATTAGCTATAGATGCCTAGTCATATTACAATGTCCTGTTAGTGACCCACTACAGCTTTGGCTGTCTTTCTGTTTTTGCCTATCAGGTCTATTGTGAATGTTCTTCTATGAACTTTTGTGTCTGCCTCTGCCGGTAAAGTTCTCCACCAATCTAGAGATTTGTTGGCCATCCATCGACGTATCTGCTAAAAGCAGAAGTGTTATTGAGTAGATAAGTGTTCTTGATTTAAATATTTTAAATCGTTTTTTCTTTGTGTTTTTGTTACTTCTGAAGACGGGAGTAGATATGCTTCCTGAAACGTTAAGCATTTTTTGTTGGTTAGGCAAATTTATTTTACTAGTAAAAAGCTACTGAGCTGGTTTCAGTTTGGAATCACTGCAGTGCACAGTAATGTTTAGAAAAAAAAACTTTTTGATTTTGTAGATTTTCTTCCCTTAGCGAAATCCACAAAATCTAGAATTATTTTCAAGAAATGAACCCGACACAATGGTATAGGCGTTTATAACCTAAATTTGTATTTTCCAACTTTTAAAGCATCCCAAATATAATTCAAAAAATTGGTAAAGTATAATTCAAAAATATAAAGTATAATTAAAAAAATTGGTAAAGTGCGAGTCGGACTCGCGCACGAAGGGTTCCGTACCATTCATTATCTATACAATATTAGACACTATATTATTATAAACTTTTTTTTTCGATTTAGCTGAAATTTTGAATGCGCGTATAAGTAATTTTAATAAAAATGAAGAAACACATTACTCAAAATTGTAATATGTAAAAATATGTAAAAATTAAAAAAAAACGATTAAAAAAATTCGCCTTGACTAGGATTCGAACCTGCCTTACTACGGCTCCAACGTCATAGCAGCGTAAAGTCCTAAAAGCTTTAACCACGCGGCCACCGAGGACTTGAAAGATTCTATGTAAAATTCTTACTTAACAGATAATGTTTAGTGAAAGTACTTTTTTATTTATAAACATTTATTTAATTCTGTTTGTAGTATTTGTTCTTCTAATGGCAATATAGATACATTATATGTAAAAATTTCAACTGTCTAGCTATAACGGTTCATAAGATAGACCTTTGTGACAGACGGATGGACGGATGGACGGATAGCGAAGTCTTAATAATAGGGTTCCAGTTTTTACCCTTTGGGTACGGAACCGTAAAAGTTATAAACTGGATACAAATTAAGAACAAATTAAATCGTTTTTAACGATTTAATTTGTTTTTAGGTTTCTTTGCCTTGATTCGTTATTTTTTCCTCATTACAGTTGAGAGTTGGAACCTTTGGTGTTAGCAAAATAAAATACTAATTCGCCACAAAACACCAAAATACTTTACTTTTGCACTGAAAATGCGTTTCGCTAAGCATGTTAGCACCATCAGTAGATGATTAAAACTTTTCTAGATGAGAGACGATTAAAATAATTTGAATCATCTCCTGATGATCCTAACATGGTTAGCGAAACGCGCGACTATAGTACAAAAGTAAAGTGTCTTGGTGCATTGTGGTAAATTAGTGTTTTATTTTGCTTTTAATTCTGTCCTTACCTATCTGTGCCGGTAATCCGGCAACACTAGAATACGCTATTGCCTGAGGGATTATGGTTAAACCTACTGTTAAACCTGCCAGAAAGTCCGATATCGCTGTCTCCCAGTTGTAACGGGGTAAATAATCAAAAATAGGCACGCGTTTTTTTAACGTCTTTGTATTACACAGATTTTTAATGCGCTTCTTAAACCATTTTTTAGAGGGTACGTCTTCATCCTCTGAAAATAATATCGATTTATGACGAAAGTAAATGCTGTCCGGAAGATCTAGTGTAGTAGAAGAACCTGAAATAAGTTATAGTATCAATTAAATTTAGAAAAAAAAGTTAAAAAAATATCTTATTCTTATATAAATACAGCAAAAATGCATAAATGTCCACCTGCTGCAAATGCATACTGTCACTATTGAGTAGACAATAAATTTATAGTTGAATAGAATAAAAATTTACTTAAATTTATTTTGGAAATTAATTTCATATTAAAATACAGCGTGTTGCATGGTCGATCTGAACATAAGAAATCCCATGTAAATTTTAAAAACGATCAATAAGCTTTCCCCAGTTTATTTTGCAGCAAAAAATATTTGAAACTTTTTAATGGGCTCCTAAAATCAAGCAAAATTTTTATTTTCAATAGCTTCTACGAATTCCTTTTCGAGCTATGAAAGATAAAATATACTAAATTAATTGAAAAAATAATTCGGTTTTGATTGGAATAACAATAAATACATTTTTCTTTAAAATTAAACGGGGAAAACTTATTCATATGTATACAGGGTCGGGGGCTTTTATGTAGGGAAACGGTCGATTATTAGGTAAAATATAGGAGGTACCGCAAAAACTAAAATACAAAAGTTATAGGATTTTTAAATATCTATTAGTGAGTAATACATTTATTTAATTATAATTTATCAATTATATTGTTACATATTTCAATTCTTCCTTCAATTCTAAGCAAAAATCGAAATACACACAATGTACCTCTAAGCAACCGTTTCCGAATTATTGACTTTTGAAAATATCACTTAAACAATTCTATTTAATTAATTTCGATGTGTTTGGTTTGATTTAATGATGCCATTCTGCCGAAACTGTGACTACTCTTGTAATGGGTTTTTAAATTTCTATTAGCTACTAGTAAATTTAAATATACAGGGTCGGTCATAAAGGTGTGTCACATCAAACTTTTTTTTTAAACGAAACTCTCTGTATATTATTGCATATTTCAATAATTGTAATACACAATGTACATAAATTGAAGAATAGTAGTTAGTAATTTCCAGACTTGCTATACTCTCATTTTATACATCTATAAATGCTAACTTGAGAACTAATGTCAAATATTATTAAGTATCACTGTTTCGGCAAAATGGCATCGTTAAATGAAACTGAACATATCGAAATTAATTAAATCAAATTGTTTAAGTGATATTTTCAAAAGTCAATAACTCGGAAGCCGTTGATATGAGGTACATTGTGTGTATTTCGATTTTTGCTTAGAATTGAAGGAAAAACAGAAATATGCAATAATATACAGGGGGTTTCATTTAAAAAAAATAAAACTTTATGACCGACCCTGTATACGTATATTTATTACCCGCTAGTAGATATTTATAAACCCTATAACTTTTATATTTAACTTTTTGCGGTACCTCCTATATTTTAACTAATACTCGACCGTCTCCATAAAAGCGACCCTGTATGTATATACAGCGGGGGTCATATAGCCTTTGCCGTATCCCGCATTTCGATTGCCATTTTCCTCTGTTTTGCCATTATTCGTCATCTCTAATGGTCCTGTCTCTCATTGTTTTTCTTATTCTTTATTTCCATGATATCACTGGTCTTCCTCTTCTTCTTCGATTTCTAGGGGCATATTCTATAGCTCTTTTTGGCCATCGGTCTTCTCCAGCTCTGATCACATGTCCATACCAGACAAGTTGTCTTGTTCTTATTCATCATTCATCATTTTTAAAATTTACAAGAAATTTACTGTTCATGTTCAGGTCGACGATGCAATACACGGTATATAGGCATTATTTTTCAAGAAATATAGTAGTTGGCAGTTTTTTAATATTTGTTCATACAACCATTCTATAAAAAAAATTAAGGTCCAATTATCTTTTTAAACTATTTTCACTTCTTAGTTCCTAGGCCAGTCATATAAGATTTAGTCACTTGGAAAAAAAGTATGAGAAAGCTAAATATTAAATAGAAAACAAATTTCTTGCAGTAGAGGTATATAATAAAATTATATAAAGATTCTTGCCACTTAACTGCTAATATAGAAATTTAATTCTACGCTGTGTTTGTCATAATGCGGATCAACCTGCTCTCACTACCGGTTTTGGAGCCCTACTCCATCATCAGGTGTGCTTGGGAGATCCACAAAATGACAACCACAGCGCAGAGATAGTTAATTCCGACTTGTCGGAAAGTATCGGTTAGATATTAAGTCCCGAACGGGAGATAGCGGCCTGCGTGCAATGGTAGTACTTTCGTACCACCGAGGCGCAACTATCGATAGTAAAAGGATGTTAATTAATTACAAACACAGCGTAGAATTAAATTTCTATATTAGCAGTTAAGTGGCAAGAATCTTTATATAATTTTATTATATACCTCTACTGCAAGAAATGTGTTTTCTATTTTATAATTTGGCTGGCCTGAAAAAAAGCCTTTTACCATCCTTTTACTATCGATAGCTGCGCCTCGGTGATACGAAAGTACTACCATTGCACGCAGGCCGCTATCTCCCGTTCGGGACTTAATATCTAACCGATTCTTTCCGACAAGTCGGAATTAACTATCTCTGCGCTGTGGTTGTCATTTTGTGGATCTCCCAAGCTCACCTGATGATGGAGTAGGGCTCCGAAACCGGTAGTGAGAGCAGGTTGATCCGCATTATGACAAACACAGCGTAGAATTAAATTTCTATATTAGCAGTTAAGTGGCAAGAATCTTTATATAATTTTACTAAATATTAAATTGATCGGATTATTTGACATAAAGGGAAGTATGCTAGGTTTGCACGGTTGCTCGACCGTTGTGTCACTTATGAGGTCCAAAAGATGGTAAAATTCTTGGACTTTTTTCAGATTTTCGCCTATAGTTCCGAAACGTTGCATTCTAGCGAATATCTCAGTATTACGTAAATTAAAAACAATTAAATTCTCTGTCAATCAGGCATCGATCTATGATTAACAAATCATCAACAGTTAATAATCGATGTTCATTAATATTATGAACAATATTTTTTTCAGTGTACCCATTTTGATGAAAAATGCATTAAAATGACATTCAGTCGTCCGTTACATGGAATACGTCATTCTAAATAGAAATAAATAAGACGAATAGAGCATCAAATTATGGGTTTAGTCAAAGAATATTATACGTGGTAGAATTATCTTTGGTTTAGTATACCGGTTGCGTCTCAAAAGTGGCTCACCTCTATAACTTTTTTATTTTTAGTATTGAAAATACTTCTGGCCGCGTTTATATGGGACCCATCTTTGAAAAAACGACATGCTAGAGCCGCATGGGTTCGATAACCTGCCTGTCAACACGTCGATAGTTTAGCCGGCGTTATAGGAATATGGGATAGGGCAAGGTCGTTCAAAGGCCGAAATGAGGTAGAGGTCGTAAATAAAATGATCCATAATGGTAAAATACGCTTCGAAGTGTTAAAAGTGTTGAAAATTGATTAAAATCTGTTAGGTTTAAGATATTGGTGAGTACTTTTTGAGTTTTAAGTCAAGTATGTAGGTGTGAGAAATATTATGTGATTTATTCGATTGTATAAGCCGTGAAGCTAATAGGGTGTGTGTTATATTTCATGAATATTTCATTTTATTTTGTTCGTAACTGTGAATCTTGTAAGTTCACACTGTATTCGTAAACAATAAGGTATTATCCTTGTTATGGTACTTACGCTTAATTTTATATGTATGTATATAATTTTGTATTCTCTGTTTAATGTATTTGTACACAATTTTTTTATATATTTTTTAATTATCATATTATTTAACAGTATCAAAAGTAATGTTGCCTCCCATTTTTATACAGGGCGGTAAAGTTTTCAGGAAAATCAGTTTTTTTTACAATAACACTGATACTATTTTAAATATCTTTTTAAAATTTAGTACACGTCTTCCATGTATCAAGATGTATTTTGTCATATAAAAACAGTTCTGTTATTTTTATTTCAGTTGCGTCCTTACGGGATTGGGTTAGTTAATTAAATTTGATTTCTTTTCGAAATACAAGACGTTTTTGAAAATGAAAATGTCTAAGCACCTCTCGTATCCCAACGATCTCATAACTTATCGAAAAGGTAAAAACTAATGGTTGTGTAAATTTTGAACCTATTGAATTATGCTAGAACTGCTTTTTCCTAGTAAATTATGACAGTTAAAACTTATTTGTTTTTTAATTTCATTATCTCTTGGATGGTCTATTTAATCATTGTCAATTTGTTGTCCTCCTTTGTGGCTTTATAAAAATAATATTTTTACGTATTTTTCCTTTTAAATTATAATTGACAACGACAAATCATAGGCTATCCTAGTCTTTGCAGTATAACTTAATTCAAAATTGGTCGCAAATTTCCTTAATTAACCTAGCATAAGTCGTAATACAGATTATATCAGTGTAGGAGTAATCAGATCGGAAGTCATAAGTTGAATCGGATATAAAATGCAAATATAATAGATAAATATAAAATCCAATAGTTCACGTGATGACTCGAATCAAGTGGTCTGTGGTACCTTTTAAAAAATGGCGGATAAGCGAAACGGTTCATCGTTCATTAACTGAATCTTCGTTAAAAAAAAAACGTTAGAAAACTTAAATTAAACGTCGAAATTTGTCGAGCCTATAGAAATCGCAAGAAAATTGCTAAAGTTTTATCAGTAACTACAATCGGTACTTCTTTTTCGACCTTGGAAGATTTTGAAGGACCATCAGAGACAACAGGAAATATAAATCAGGAAGGTAAGTAATAATACCTAATATGAATATGGTTAATAAATATTACCGTGACTTACCACTGGTGTATATACGGATATGGAAAACGTCTCGGAGAGCCAAGATAATAAAAATGATTTTCATAAGAAATAAGAAGTTTCTTATTCGCAGCATTTCAAAAATATTTTATGACAGGCCTCTGGACAGGCACACATGTCAAAGATATTAAACTAATCCAGCGTCCGTTTGTCGTTCATCGTTCCGTCAAACCAGTTAAATTGAAATATTATCTGTCATTTTTGAAATAAACCAATAAAACTAGTTAAAAACAACAAGAGACTACGGATGACATGACGGATTTATATTTAAACCCATCCATAGCTAACTTAAAAAATATTGAAAACTTTTTTTAGTAAAATAAATAGATTGGTATGGGATGTCATCTGCTTTTCTTGTCATCGTCTGTCTTACCTGAGAAAAAAAACAGAGTATACATGTATACATTGATAATCTAATCAAACTGGTAGTTTCGACCTTTAAACCGATATTAATTATTAATACGTTTACTTTCTTATTTTTCAGAATTAATATTAAAAATTATAGGTACCTACAGTTAAAATCAGAAATTTTGTTTCAGATTTATATTTAATTAATAAAGTCCAATGCAAGAAACAACATAATGAAACCACCATCACTAAGTGTCAAGATTTTATATTTATGGTTATTACTTTAGAAAAATAATAAAAACTTTTTGTGACCAAATTTTATTTTCTACATTAATTTTTATTAATGTAATTAATTTTTGCTGCTTACCCCCACGACCTTACATTGCATCGTTTCTGTAACCAAGAAATAAATATCACAGTTCAGTAGTAAACATTATAAGGGTGACCGTAAAGTATCGAATAAGTTCGTTTAAAATTAAGGGGTGTGTAAAAAAAAGTTTTTTTCTTCGACAACCGCCAACTTGTGTCTGGTATTTTCAATACGCCTATGATGGTTGCGCATGTTGCAAAATCTGTGAATTTTTCAGTTAAAAAATTGAGATTTGGTATGTTAGTAAATGACATAAATTTAAGATTGACGTATACAATTATTTTTGGTCACTTCCTGTTTCACCGGAAATGATTGCAACTTTTGATTTTTAAATGGCATCCTCGGTATTTTGTTACTTTATTGGATATAAAATGACACTCTGAATAGAATAACATCATATTCAACTTTTGAAATTTTCGAATACGGTTTATTTGAAATTGCAACATGCGATTCATAACGACTATTTGACTCGAAATACCAAGTGTGTGGTACAAAATTATTCGCAAAAAAATGTTTTTTCCAAATATGCTAATAAGCCATATTTGTTCCATTTGAAAAAAATGAGATATGATTAAAAATACGATTTGGGCATCTTAACTGTCCAGGATAAAACACTAAAACATTAGACGACCAGATCTATTTTCCATGGCTCCTTGATTAAAAATTAGTGTTTTTAATACAACCTAGATCTAGATTGATAATTTAAAATACAATTTTCTATTCGAAGCGTCATTTTCTATCGAATAAAGTAAAAAAATACAGTCCTATTTAAAAATCATAAGTTGTAGTAATTTCCGGTGAAACAGGAAGTGGTCGAAAAAAATTGAATACGTCAATCAATCTAATATATTATATCTCATATACTAACATACCAAATCTCGTTTTTTTATATGAAAAAATAAATATGGACGGTTAACTCTGATTTGCGCAGAAGACTTCTTGCCTCCGAAATGGACTACCTCAGGCGAAGCGCACGAGTATCTAGAAGGGAGTGCGTGCGCATCGAAGTGATAGAAGAAGAATGGATGCTCAGGACACGGTGGTTGATAGAACAGAGAAAATGTAAAACCTCTGACGAGGGTTAGGGGACTCAAAAAACTCACAATCTTGCATTTTGATTTTTTGATTTTAAGATTGTGAGTTTTTTGAGTCCCGTACCCCTCGTCAGAGATTTTACATTGATATGTACTCACATCGGGTTGGAGAACGTTTAGGAATAGAGAAAAGATCGCTGAAATGGTTTGGGCACCTCATGAGAATGCCAGATGAACGATGGCCAAAACGAGTCTTTCAATGGGTTCCGCCGCACCGAAGAAAACGAGGAAGACCACGACGATCCTGGAATGATGGAATAAGAGAATCCATGGAACCTCGACAATTAGAGGACGATGATGTCTTTGATAGATTAGCTTGGAGATGGGAAACGGGAAGACTGCGTCAGCAGTAGGAGACTTACCCTAATACTTTTTAGTTTATTATTTTAATGGTTTCCACCCGTTATATATTATATTATACTCTTTTATCCAATTCGAAGAAAGAAGGTTGTAGTACCTATTAAAATCCTTAAAATATTTCGGCAGGTTAAACTGGTCCGGATCTTCATCACCACGGATATCATTTTATCCTCTGAAGGAGTCTGGTGGCTTGACGATGATGTTTCTAGCGAAGTAGCATCTGCCACAAATCCGGTGGCTCCTCGCTTACAAGACAAATACGACAAAGCACGTCTTTATCATCTCTCAGTTAAGCTGCGATAATTAAAAAATCCTTGATGGTGATGTTTTCCACATACCTAATGGAAACTCGCAACTAATTTCTATAATGTCTCTTTATAAATTATTTTACACACAATTGAAAGGAATGGGAGGGTACCTCTTTTTTACTTTCTTAGCATGTACTTGACCAAATTTAAAATTTAACTTACACGTTAAAACTACAATTTGATGCTTTATAACATTAATTGCATTTATTCTAACTAGAATGATATTTTCCATGTGATGGACAATTCAATATCACTTTAATGCATTTTCAGCAAAGTGGGTAAATATCACCAATCTTTAACTTTTGATTTTAATCATACTACTAAACCTATTTGGATTAATGTATACTAATTCAAAGAATTAAATTTTCTTTAATTTATGTAATACTGAAATATTCGTTAGAACGCAACGTTTCGGAACTATAGGTGAAAAGTTGAAAAAAAAGTCCAAAAAGTCCACCTGAGCCGAATGGCGGTCGAGCGGCGGTCCAGCAACCGTGCTAACTAGCACTAGTGCTTGTGAGTAACTATGAAACTTCTTTTTCACGTCAAATATAAACCAATCAAATCAATAATTAGCTTTCCAACACTTTTTTCCAAGTGAACCCCCTAATTTGATGGTCCTATCCTGACACTTCCGATTTAACTTTCAATGCCGATTATAAATGTATAATTTTCTTCTGTTCATAAAATTCAGAAGCATTCATTCCTCAGACCATAATATAAGTGGATTAAAGTTTCATAATATTGAAATTTGAAAATATTTCGAAAACGGATAAACAGGCTATGTTAAGATTTTCATCAGGGATTCAAAAACCATAAAATATTAATTCTGTTTAAAATAAACGCAAATTGTAAGCCACTTCCTGTTAAATGCGAAGTATCAGGAAATGGAAAATATTAAAAATATTAAAATATTAATGTCCATCTCGAAATACCTTAACCTAGAACATTCAGATTTGTACAAAATGAAAATTAAAATATATAACAATATATTTGATAATGAAATCTATTAATGAGCGAAAATGCAGTGCAAAGGTATGATCAAAATTAGCAGTTGGTCATTAACTTTGACAGTAAAAAAATGTAATAGCAAAAAAAAATCTCTATCATAATTCAAGGCCACATTTGATTATAGATCTGTTTAATCATACTGTACGTAAACACAAACTTTGTTTTCTTTTAGCTTGATAATTTACTTACTTCGTCTAGAATCTCCAGAATCCACATATCTTTCGTTGTTGTCATTTTCGTTAATAATATTCTTTATTCTTTCGGGATCATTGTTGACATACGAAGTCAAAGTGACTTTGTTCTCTAGTTCATTTTTCAACAACATTTTTTGATTTACTGGTTTCGGCCTTTTCTTAAACTATTACTGTTGTAGATATGTGCTTAAAACATGTTAACGTAAATATAGAGAACTATACTACGAGTATATTAGATCGACAGTTAGTTTTACCTTACCAAAGTTAAATAATATTAGAGTAAAACATATTATTTTGTCGTGAAAAAATATTATCGTATTAAATCGTCGTATTAAAATTAATCAGAAATGTTTAACAAAGTATATTCCTAACAGGGTTTGACAATAATTTTTATACAGGGTGATCCGAACTATATTCCGGAAACTTCGGCAGCATATTCTGCAGATAAAAGTAAGTTTAAAAGTTCGTGTAAATGTATGTCCTAAATAGCTTAGTTTCGGAGATACAGGGTGTGAAAGTTTCATTTTTATTTCGATTTTTTCCAAATAATTTCTGAACTAACATCGGTATTTGGATGAAAGTAGGTGTCATACTGACATCAAAATCAAATTTCTCATGTCAAAAAATTCCTAGACACCAATTTTTATCCAAATATTGACGTTACTTCAGAAATTATTTGGAAAAAATCGAAATAAAAATAAAACTTCTACACTCATTTCAGGACATACATTTATACGAACATTTTTACTTATTTTTATCTTCAGAATATGCTGCCGAAGTTTCCGGAATACAGTTCGGACCACTCTGTAGATTAATTAAATAACAACAAAGAATCGTACATTTTTAAATCATAAGAAATAATATTTCGAAATTGATATCACATTTGCTAAAACTGTCTAATACATTTATAAAATTTGATTCTAACATGAATTGATAAGTTGTTGATAATTGTATAAAAGTAAGTCAATTTTGCGGTTTTTACAGCTTAATTTTTAAAATGACTTCCGTTATTGTTATACTTAATATCTTTAACGAGTATTGCATTTATCGGTACTTAAAATATGTCATATCAAGGCTATTTTTGCATATAATTCAATTATTCGCTTCAATTTATATTGTAAAGTAATAAATATCTATTGTACGTACCATACAACATCCGAGTAAGTGGAATCACAGGAATACATTAGTAGTTTATTTTTGTTTATTTAAAAATTTCCAGAAAAATTAATACATGTAATAAAAAGTTTCAGTTATGATCAGTATCAAGATGTTAGAGCTACTAATCTTTTTTGTCTGTCATTAAATTCGTTCGATTTTTAACAAGGTAAAAACTAGTTACTTATACCCTTGATCTACCGTAATAACCGTAAATGTTTTTCCTATTTTTATTTTTTCTGCTATTTTATTATGACACTTGCTTTAAAAGAATTTTAAATATATAATTAATACTTTCTTTAATTGTGAATTTTATTTTAGACGTATATGAAATCAGATGCGTTTCTAGTAAAATAGTTAACGGCTTTATATATTTAGTTAAAGTGTTAAAATTACTATGTAAAATAAGGTCTGAAGGTCTAATTAGTTATAGAATTTATACTAAATTGAATTAGTTCCTGAAAAATAATTTTAATTTAAAATATCTGTTTCATAACTAATTTGTCATTGATGCAGGTGATCAATTAATTTCCTTGTTGCAGCAGAACCGAACTTTTTTTTGCTATATCAATATATTGCGTAACAAATATAAAACGAATCTTTTTGTCAGGTTGTATGGAGGATCTGATATGTCTACCCATTAATATTGTAGACCTATGCTGCCGTGTTAATGATAGGGTTGCCAGCCGTCCGGGATTTCCGGGAACCCAAGACCTCTTAAAAATGGTGTCCCACAAGGCTCAGTACTGGGCCCTTTACTTTTTTTGACTTATATAAACAACTTACCACATATCCGACGTGACGACCATTACGTTTTGTTCGCAGATGATACAGCGGTCTCGGTCAGAGGAAAAGAGCTAAAAGACCTAGAGGGAGGTGCGGATGACGCTCTAGCGAGGGCGGCTGACTGGTTCCGGAAAAATAACCTAGTTTTAAATGAGGCCAAAACAAATCATATAATTTTTTTCTTTGAGGAGTGTGCCTGAGGACTGTCGCTTCTCCAGGGAATCTGTTCCATTTTTAGGAGTTCAGTTCGACAGTGAAATGCGATGGAATGCTCATATTGAGCAACTATGCAAGAAGCTAAGAAGCGCGCTCTTCGTTCTGCGTAATTTGTCAGGTACTGTTTCCTGTTGCGTATTGCGGACGGTTTACTACGCTCTTTTTCATTCTGTGATGTTCTACGCTGTTTTGGCTTGGGGTCACGCATCTCAGTGGCGCAGGGTTTTCGCGCTTCAGAGGAGGGCTGTCAGAGTTGTCGGAGGATTGGGCTACAGGGATGATTGCAGGGAAACCTTTAAAATGTTAAATATACTTACTCTCCCAAATCTTTATATATTGGAAAATCTATTATATGTTAAAGCCAATACAGAAAAATATCCCACAAATGCTCAGCACGGCTCTCAAGACACTCGTAGGGCGGAGCACCTCAGTATCCCTATACATAGGTAGAAAGGTCTCGAGATGGACCTAGATACTGGGGTGTGAAGTTTTACAATAAACTCCCGGATGGGTATAAACTATTGTCCGATAAGGTGTTTAAGGGCAGGGTTCGTAGCTGGTTTCTTGAAAATCCACTGCATGACTCGAGGGAGTTTCTTTCAAGTGATATACATATTAATCTCACTTGATGGAAATTCCTTCTACAACAGAATGTGGGAACTGGAAACTTCCACCCTATGTTTATATTACAATGTATTAACTAGAGTTTATAATTGTCATTGTGTACCCATCTAATATGATGGTCTTAACTCTATGTCTTTTGTGTTAATTTTTAAGTTAATTGTGTTTTATATATGTATTTTTTTTATATTTTGACTTATGTACGCCATTATTCGTATGGTATTGACATCAATAAATTATTCTATTCTATTCTATTCTATTCTATTCTGAAATCTCGGAACACGTCAGCGAAATTATAAAATTAAATGTTATAAATTTTACAAAGATAAAAAAATAAACTTATCCTTTACATTATTTCATTACATTTTTCGATGTAATGAAATAATATTAAGCGTAATTCGTTCGTTTCGTTTATATCTAAGTATTATACAAGGTGTTTCAAAAAACACCCTGTATAATGTGCCACCTCTCGTGGGGAGATTTCTCACATAAAAATAATATTTATTTTTCATATCAACATAGGTCCGATTCTGCTATGTTTCGTAGCTACAGGGTATTAAAGTCTTAATAAAATCTTTCGATTTATTATAATTTTCTTTTTTTAAGTACTTTTAGTGATTCGAATAAAATTTTGAGACTAAAAGTTATTATATGTAAGTGCTACATATTTTAATGCTAAGTGTGAAGTGTCGATAAATTCATCAGGGACGTGCATATGAGTTAACACTGGAATATTTTTCAAAAAAACATGTGCGTCACTGATTTTTTTTTCTTTTGATATCAAAATTATGTAGGCCGTTTAATGCTAATTAAAAGTTATCTCTTTATATTTTGTCGAATTCTACAACCTCCTTGATGAAATAAACGCAATTTTATTAGTCACAATTTATAAAATTAAAATTAAAATAAAATTAATAAATTACATTTTTTACCTAATTTATTATTAAGTATTATTAATACTATTAGTTATTAGTATTAATCAAACTTATAGTAATTTCAAATAAAAAAAATAATGATGTTAAAGATAATTACAAAAAAACTAATTTTAAAAATTTTAACATCCTGTAACTCTAAAACTATACATTTCCATACCCATGTTTATAGGAACTTTTTTCATATTTTGTGATAAGGAATCAATGAGTAGTTATTTTAAAACATTTGCAAGTTAATGATATTAAATTATTTTAAAGGCTGCTTTAGACTTGGATCCAGGCAAATTATTAAAATTGCGTTTATCTCATCAAGGAGGTCGAAATCGACAAAATATCAAGAGACAACTTTTAATCGGCATTAAACTGCTTACAATATTTCGATAAATAGAGAAAAAGTCAGTAGCGTAAATGCTTTTTCTAGAAAAATATTCCAGTGATAACCTATATGAACGTCCCTGGTCAATATGTGGACAATTTTTTAGCTTTAAAATATGTCCCATTTATAGTAATTTTTACACTCAAAATTTCATACGAAATGCTAAAAGTACTTGGCGCTGCTATAGCGATTGCTAAAACCAACCGCTAACAAAAACAGAAATTTTCTCTTGTCCATATCTCTTGTCAAAGTCAGAATCTTCAAAAATTATAAAATCTTTCAAAATCTAAACCGCTCTCATTGAAAAAAATCCGAAAAGTGTTTAAAGCGTCCATTTTCTAAGTAATTAAATTATTGCTGTCTTGTGAGTTTAATTTAAGTTTTATTTACTCAAACCCGTGATAATTGTGAAAATGTGGCATTAAAAACTTAAAAAGCTGTGCTGTGAACTGTGAACTGCAAAAACCATCGTGGATCGTGTCATAACGTCGGTTTCCAATATTTCATATATGTTTTTATATAAAATAAAGTTTCTTGTATGCAACACACTGTATTTTATTTATAAAATTAAAAGAAAATAATAAATTTGAATAAATAATATTTGGCGATATAATTCCGGAAAAAGCGGAATCGCTCCGAAATTTTCAAAAGCTTTGGGTCGCGACCGTTGCTAGAATAGCGCCAAATAGTGTTTACATCCTTATGGGCAGTTTACAATATAAATTTGTTTCATTTATCTATGTGTCATTGTTATGAAAAATATATTGGCAAGTTATTTTTTAATTTTCTCTAAAACGGTATGGAGATTTGGAAAAGTATAAACGGAATTAACAACGCCATTTTACGACAAACATAATTTTTTATGAAGAATGTAGAAAAGTTATTAATAAAAAAGTTTTTCCTCTTGTAAAGACAATCTAGGGAGATACTGTATACTAACCTATACTTACCTCTAACATTTTTTGAGATAATAAATAAAACGTATAAAATTTACAAAAACATTTGATCTTGAATACGCATGGTTTTGTGCTTCGCCCGGTAGCGTATATACAGGGTGTCCCAGAAATAAATGCAAGTATTTTAACTGGTAGTATAGTTTAACCCCAGAAACACGCCTATGAGGTTTTTTTCGCAAAATTTTTTTTTTGAAAATTCAGAATTTGTTGAAAATTTTTTCGGAAATTTTTTTAGTGTTTGTTTAAAAAACATAATTTCTTGATAATATCAATAATTTCTTGATATATCGAGATATTATGTTTTTTAAACAAACACTAAAAAAATTTCCAAAAAATTTCTTTTGAAAATTCGGAATAAAATAGGTAGCAGATTAAATTTGCAACATAGGTAGCAGATTAAATTTATAAGAAAGAAAATCCAGAAGGGATCCAGTATTTCTCAAAATTTTAACAAAAAATTATTTTTTTGAAAATTTTCAAAGTAAAATAACTCTGTTATTTTGAACTTATTTGAAAAACGATAAATAGAAAACATGTTTCTTTTATCGAGATCTACCACTCCTTAAAATACTTGCACTTATTTCAGGGACACCCTGTATATAAAACTATGCGTGACCACAAAAAATATAATTTTACACCTAATAAAACAATATACTATCTACTTATTTAGCTATGTATTTATAATATTTTCGAAATAAGAAAAAATATTCGGTAAATACAAAGTATTTGAATTTACAAATAACATAATATGTATATGCAACCAGTAATGCTATAGATGGATTTATTTTCCTTCATTTCCAATCCCAGACCGTGGGTTGCTATAGTAACATTTTTACAAACATTGTTTGTGTTCATCCCAGTTTTTGAAAGACGCGAAAGAAATAAATATGTCCTACAGAGACGTTAGAAGTAAGAACACATTATTTTTAATCAATGTAATGATAAACGAATTGACTATTCAATTTTTAGATTTTATTGAAATGCTTAGAGCATTGGGATATCCAACTTTAGTTTCGATGGAAAGTTTTCGTTTACCTAATTTCCCTTTAGTAGCCAAATTACTGGTCTGGTTGACTAAAAGATTTGATCCTGACGTTGACATTCCCTTGGAGATTAATACTGAAGACGAAAGAGTTAAGTTGATACGAAACTGTGCACAGTTTATGGTAAAACGTTTTTTGTTTGTCCTATTTTACTTTTTAAAAAACAAGTGTAATTTTAGGCCCTAAAAGCTGGTATAAAATTAAATACCAAAAGACTTTATCAAGCAGACGGATATGCCGTTAAAGAATTGTTAAAAATTACTACAATATTATATGATGCATTGGCCATAAATTTGGAAGAGAATGAAGATGACAAGTTTAATGAGGACAACTTTAGTTTTAGAGATTTTGATATATCAGATAAGGTATGGAAATGTAGTTATGTTGGGCAGCGTTAAGGTCTCCTAGCGACGTCTGGCGTCGCGTCGGCGCGACGCGCACTGTTTCGTTTCCCTATAAAATGATTCAATACTTTTCATTGATACAGGTTTTAGCCACGTACCATTGCGATCAAAAAAAGGTAGTACAAGAATTAGTAGTCCCAGATAGAACTCCTGGTTTATAAGGATATCGAGAAGTGGATATCGTCGAACAATACAATTATACCATCTAACTTTTTAGGCGTTACCATGAATTTGGTAATAATTGGTATCTAGGCAGGGGTGGATGTGCCATATGGGAAAACGGGAAATTTCCCGGTGGGTCGGTGGAAAGAGGGGCCGGTGGGCCGGTCCCGAACAGAGCTCAAAAAAGAATGGATTAGCAAAAATTAAATGGTTAATCTTCTAACTAAAGTGACGTAAGATCCTTAGTGACTCCATAACTATAATCAATTTGCGTCAGTATAATTTATACCAATTTGTAAAATAACTATTGTAAAATGTCTTTCTCTGGGACACTTATAATTTTAATAATCATCTGTTGTTTGTTCGGTTTGAAAATTGTTATTATACAAGGTGAGTCTATAAGTGCAAATAACTCAAGCGCTGGTAGATCTCAATAAAATAAACATAATATATTCTCTTTATCGAGTTTCAAATAAGTTCAATTGAGTTATTAAAGTTTGGAAATTAAAAGAAAAAGCCGTAATATCAGAGATTAAGAAACTATACCGTGGAAAAATTGGCGGTGAACAAGAAGTTCTAAAATATACAGAAACATTTCAAAGAAAATACTCGATTTTTAACATTTTTTTTTGCAAAAAAACCTCATAGACGTGTTCAAATATACCACCCCTGAAAATATTTGCACTTATTTAAGACTTATCCTGTATAGTTTACCCACTATTCTTTTATTAATAACTAATAAATATGACTGACTGGCTGCAAAAAGAAAAAGAATGAATAGCATTAGGTAAATTTAAATAGTCTCGATCTAAATGTATACTAAGAATACGGTGGCGTAGATTGACAACTGGGGGCCTCGGTGCAATATTTTTCGGGCTCCCCTTTGTAAGAAGGTAGACGAATTTGACGCGAACTCTGCGGTTGACGGAGAAAACATATCTATGCTTGGCTTGAATTGGGGACGGGCTAAAAGCCAAGTCTGAGAACTAAAAGCCAAGTCTAAATTGTTGTTTAAAATGTTGCTAAAATGAATTTGCTAAAAATTACTGAGACAGCAGAGAAGAGTTAAATAAGGTTTAAACTAGATTATATAATAAAATATTAATATGTCTCGAAAATCCAAATATGCTTTATTATGGACTGTAACATAGCATTACATCAGAACATATTTATATCCACTGACTAGGTATGACCTAGATTTTTTTGTTTGAGTCATGGCATTATCATACAAGATGCCAAATGTAGAAAAGTATAGAGGAAAAGTTACGTGATAAGAACTATATAATAACCTAAAAAATGCTGCAGTTTTAATGGCGACCGCGGTTCAATCAGTTAAAAACACGTGTACACGAGGAGGCTGCTGCTGTAGCAGAAAAGAGAGAATATCTTTCTACAATGTGTAAGAAAGTATATACCCGAAAAACTAAAAGTAATGTATTTCACAGAGGAAGTATTAAAGTTTCTGAAAATCGTGACTCAAAATCGTAGCCTATTCAAAATCAAATTATCGTTATCGATAATGGAAATAAAGCAGTAGAACCCTGTAAAACTGGGCCATTTTGTAGTAAAAATTCAGATGTCCGACCCAATTACGAAACGTAAAGTATAAACGAAAAGTCCGACCGGCCTTTACGAAAATTTTGATGAAGACAATTTAATTTTTTTTAACCGGAGGCAAAAGAGCTTTTTCGCAAACGCAAAAAACACCCTTACTTATACAGTGTGTCCAACAATTAGTACGACAAACTGAAAGGGGTTGTAGAAGGCATGAAAACAAGTAATTTGAGTATATAGAGGAATCCATGTCCGGATATGTGCCCTTTTGGCAGGAGGTGGAGTGGAACGTAAATTTCAAGTTGCATTTTTTATTCAAAACATTTACAAAAACTGCTCAGTGCCGTCCATTGTGTTGAAGAAACAAATGCACACGCCTGTTCATGGATGTACGAACCCTGGCAAATACTTCCGGCATCTCTTGCACTTCGTCCATTCAAGTTCCTTCCGCTCAATTTAATAATACCGGACATGGGTTCCTATACTCAAATGACTTGTTTTGATGCCCTCTACAACCCCTTTCAGTTTGTCGTACTAATTGTGAAACACCCTGTATATTAATAAATAAAATATGTTTCTTCGTTATGGTCATTTTGTTTTTGTGGATTGTGCCGGTTGTCTGTTTTTCCCGGGCCGGTTTCCACTTCCCCATCCACCCCTGTACCTAGGTACGTGGCGAAATATAAGTATAAAAAATTTACCTACCTCTTAAAAATGGGCAATTTTTCAAGTTTTTTTTTTATTTTATTATAGACCAGCAGATTAAATCATATTTTGTTGTACTACTTTTTGTTTATCGCAATGGTACGTTCGTAAAAACGAACTAGTGTGCGGCGGGACGTGGGCGCAGGACGTCGGCGTCGCCGTCGCTAAGAAATCGCACCTTAACATGGCTTAAATTACTTAAAATACACAGACACTTATAGGTACACTTTGTATAATATATTCTTACAGTTTTTCTTAGATTTTAAAATGTCTGTATTCTACAGTATGTCGCCGGATTTTCTTCATAAGTGGAAAAACTTTTTTATTATTAAGTTTTTGTTGGTTATACCACAGGTTATACAATTGTTAATCCAGCTTATATTTTTCCAAATTTTTATATCGTTTTAGAGAAAAACAGAATAATACGAAAATACCTATATTTTTTTATGCTGACGAGCTCCTCTCAGTATTGGAGGATCACGGAGGGCATCTTATAGGCCTATAGCAATGCAAACCGGTTTTTTTAATCGATTTAAGACCGTCCGAGGGGTAATACGTACTCTTCTGGCAGTCAAAATAAGGTCCTGGCTGAACAACGTGTAGTTTCCTGCAGGATCCATCCGAGCTCCTCTCAGTAAGCTTCGGTCCTCCCTAGCATTTGTCGACCTTGGTCAACCCTCCTTATGCCTCTCCAAGACAGCAGCCTCATTAAATCGGTTTTTAAGCCTAGAAATTACACTTTAGGTGACTTTAAATCGATCAGCCACATCGATCTGTCGCGCACCGCCAAGAACCAACCCAATGGCTTGATTTGCTTCCCCTTTTGTTAAATGACGTCTGTTCATATTATCGATGACACGATAACCACACATGATACAAAGAATACAAGGTATGATATTGCGCAGGTTGGTCACTACGTCACAGGTGATAAACGGCACCATTGGTCGGCAAGTTTTTGCGCGCCAATTTCAAATTGTCAAACAGATTGTGTCATCTGTGAAATTTGATTGTGTCAAAATGTGAAAATAATTTTTCAAATGTCAAGCTCGATGTCAAAACATAACTTTTGGGGTTATGTCCTAATTCTTCCCTATTTTAGGTCTTTTTTTATTAGTGGCAATTGAACAATATTGATATTTTTTTGTATGGCGTATGACGTCACAGGTGGTATGCGCAAACTTAACGAAATTGGAGCCGCTATCGATCATACCTTGTTTTCTTTGTACCATGATAACCACAATATCGCAAACTGCCGCTTAGCAACACGCAAACAAATTCTATTCTAAACAAAAATGAAATATACATTTTTGATGACAATGCTTTTTATTTGTTTGGGTACAATTTTTTATGTTTACAAACAGTATTTTTTTTTAAACACAAACGACATTGGTATTAATAGTTATAACACATTTTTTCTGAAAAATTTTCTTCCTAGCGAAAACACAATGTCCTTAACTTTTTGCGATTAGTTTATAACACTATCAACTTTTAGGTAAACGATTTAAAACTATCTAGACAACTTGCTAGTGAAATTACCACATCGGGAGCTACCCTTTTTGATCTACTAGGCAAAGAAGTCGATTTAAGGGTAATGAAGCACATATAAAATAATTTCTTAGCAGAGTTAATCATGCTATGCGGTTTTGATTTAGGGTGGAAAAAAATCTTCTAATTTTTTTCTATATGTTGTAGTCGGCTCGTCTAAAAAGTATTGGTAGACAATTTGAGCTTTCCGAAGTAGAAGCTGGCGTTAAAAAAGCTATAGAAGCTATAAATGAAGAAATCGCTGAAACAAAACGGCTCATTGATAATGTTGCAGCTACAGAAACTAGTTTAGATTCGAAAATTGAACGCAGGAAACTAGAGCTGGATAGATACGAAAAAAGATTACAAACGTTAAAGAAAGTGCGGTAAATTTATTTAAAAAAATTTTTTTTTGATGTACAAAGTTAATATTCTATTATATTTTGTAGGCCGGCTTTCTTAGAGGAATTTACAAGTTTAGAACAAGAGTTAGAGCAGCTTTTCGTACAGTACTCTGTAAGATTACGTTGCCTTAATCAACTTGAGAAACAGTTTTCTGAAATGGAACGTGTCCAGTTGGAAAAACAACTCCAAACCACTTCGCCTCGGGTGCAGACTATTCCTTTGGATAAATTCGACGTCAATGACGATTTTCTGGATATCGACGAAGCTCCAGGTCAACGTCCCGGTGCTATTAACCGACAGGAAAGACCAAGAGCCGGAACGGGTGGTAGAAAATCCCGAGGAAAGACTTTTGGATCTATGCAGCCTCCTCTATCTGGTTCTCAATCATCTCTCGATCTCAGTTCTGACCCGGAAACGGACGATCTATTTTTAGATAAAGAGGAACCGGAATTGATGCATTCTGAAGACGAATCACTGGCATTAGAACTGTCTGGAATGGATCGGATTGTAGCCTCTGGCAGGAAAACGAATAATAAAGTCCAGGAGCTTAATAGTGATGATGATTTTTAGAAGGATTTTAAAAATAGTTTGCTAAAGACAGTAATATCGATTGTTCTCGTAGTTTATTACTAATAAAAAAACGACTCATAATAAACTATTTTTTATTAAAGATATAAAAATAAATTAAACTTTAGAAATACTACAGAATAAATAAATAACATTTAAATAATGTACATGAACATATCAATTATCACTCCTATTGGCAGCATAGTAGCTGGATTTTTGCTTATGTGTTTATATTGATATTAAAATAATTTTAAATAAGTTAATAAGAAATCAATGTCAGTCAAAAGTCTGTCTTATTGTCAGTAAAAAGTATTTATAAGAAAAAAATTATTGTCTAGTCTTTTCGTTAGAGGATTCAATTGGTAAAGCAGAAAAATATTCGTTCATCGGTTTTGGCACTTGATATGAACATGGATGTTGAATTGGAAGCTCCGGTATATCCATATATTCTACATGTACATTCTCCATATCATTGGGAGGGTCGGTTAGTCTAAAAAGAGATAAAAACGTAATTAAAAAATTGAGTAAATATATTAAATAGAAATATTTAGTGACGTCTAAATACAATGTATTTACCTGTAATTGTCAGTTGTTGTAATCGATTTGGGTTCTTTAATGTTTCGTTTAACTCTTCCAAGCCTCTCTTTTGTTCTAACTGAAGAAAAACCTACAACTTTTTCGTTAGTGACGTCAGTTTTTTTTTTGTCAGTGCGTAATTCAAAGTCAAGTTTATCGTCAACACCTATGGGTGTCAATTTTTTTCTGTTAGTGTCACGTTGATTTTGAAAGAATTCGTTTATAATGTCGTCAATGCTGTCTTCTTTGTCTTCAAATCCAGAAAACTGAGGTCTCAGTTTATTTTTTGTTATAATAATAGAGTCGTCGTCATCATAGTCATTATATATTGGACGGTTTGATGTAGAAAACGGTCTGTCTTCAAAAATAGTAGGTCGTGATGTATGTCTGTTGTAAAATGTGTTGTCGCTGGGGTAATGTGGATGTATGTCCAAGTTGTCATGGTATGTGTTAACTGTCGTGTCAGTATTGTCGATATAAGTTGGTTTAGTAATTATAGGTCGATAGTAATTGTCCATAGGTCTGGAGTTGCCGTTTAGGTTAGGTTTCTTATGTCCCCCTGTAAGTGATCCATATAAGTTTGGTCTGTCGAAGTTTTGTGTGTAAGTAATAGTAGGATATTTAATGTTTGTCGGTCGTCCTATAACATGTGTATAGTCATTTTCCAAATAAATGTCTGTGGGTTTCTTTTTCCGTTTGACTGGTCTCGTCGTAGAAGTCGATAATATTTGTGGGGGTGCATATTGTATGTTAATATTGACTTGTAAAGGAGGATTATTATTCACAGTAGGTTTAGTTGAGGTTTCTGGTAATATTCCAAAAAGGTATGTGATGTCGTCGCGGTTACTGTCTTGTAATTTGTAGTAGTGTCCGTTGTTAGTATTTTTGTTAGGTTTTTTTGTCCCAAGTCGTACCGGAATATCGTATTTTGCCTGTTTTATATCAGTAACGTTGGTATCAACTAGGTCAGTGGTGTTTTGTCCAGATGTATCAGTAGTCGTCGTGGAGAGTTTTGCCTTTATTTGTCTGTGACTTAATGTCTTAATATTACGTTTACGTCTTTGAGATCTGTCTTCAAATGGAACAGTATCATCAGCAATGCTGTTAAGATCAAAAGACCTTTCTTCCCATGGAGCCAGATCAAAATTTCTTATATTTGGGCTTTCGCAATGTATCCTAAGATTTCTTAAATTATCGTGAGATAAAAATACGAAAGGCTGAATGGTCTCTATGTCAGTCATTGTTTGACATAACACTTGTGCTAAAGACACTTTTCTTATTTCATTTAATTGGTCGATGGTAAAAGATGACTCCATATCGCCATTTTCGTACCAAAATCTGTCACCTTTTCGAAGTACAGAAAATTGCTGGGCGATAATGCACGCAAAAGTGGGTCCTGTGACAGCCCCTTTTAGAGGTCTCTCTGCTAGTCCACCGGTAAATAAATCGACATCGTCCACGTGAAGGTACAAAGTTCTTAGTCTCACTACTGTACTCACGCTTATGATTCCGTCCAAATCTTCCCACGTTTTGATAGGGGATAGTCCACAAGGTTTTCTCCAGTACGTATAAGGGGGTATTCCGTGGTCTCGACCCCTTTGAATATTTAGTGCCGCCAAATCCATACCAAAGAACGAATTAAATTGAAACAAGTGATTCGTGAGCTCTTCGGCTATGAATTCGTCACGTTTTTGTGATGGTTGGTTGGACAAACCTAACAGAAGTCGATCCAATGATCCCGGACTCCAAATGTTATGGAAATTAAGAAATTCTTCGTGTAGAGTAACATCTAAAATTTAAACCATTCAAATAACTCAAAACAAAACAAGAATTATGATAATTACTATTTGGCAACGACCTATGGTGATTATCGGTTCTAATAAAGGAATTCTGAACCAAACTGTGACCAAATCTAAAGGCGGCAGTACTAAATGCATTTGAAACTGTCGGATTTATTCTTTTATCGAAATTTTTATAGTATCCTTCCTTTAATAGTCTCAACTCGAATAATTCCATTACATCGGGACCGACAACGATAGGCAAGTATTCCCTAAAAAATAATTTTATAAATAATAAAAATAATCAGTTACAAACTCCTTTATTTTAAGTACTTGTATGTAATATGTTGTATTATGGAATAGATAATTTTCCTTGTTTCTTGGTAGATCCTTTCGTCACTCCAGTGAGGGTTAATTCTAGCAAGTATGGTAGCTATTTTGTTATGATACCTAACAAAAATCGTATGCATTGCGACTAAAGCAATATTTTCGTTTACTCTACCATCTCCAGATTGAAGACATTCTTCTGATACTGCCCCTTCTCGACACACTTCCCTTCCTGGAGGATCTGGTGGATTTAAAGGAAATTCACTCTGAGGCCTGCCGTAGAATAATTTGCCTAAAATTTTTAACTATTTTAGTTATTATATTTTATTAATTATTTTAGTTATTATTTTTTATTAACTTTATGATTAGAGCTTTATCGATTAGCCTTATAGAGGGTATTATACCGTATGACCGAAAAAAAAACGGCATTCAGTTGTCTTGGAATTGGCGATCAATGCCATTCCTCATATAATTTTAGATATAAAATGGAAGCGATTATATGTATAGAGTTAATCAAGCAAGGTACGTCCGGTTCCCTAAGTGGCTACCGCTTCACCAGTTTCGATGCTTCTCTTGATATATGATTGACAATGAGTAAAAATTACTATTTATTTTTTATTATACTTCACTAACTTACTAAGCTTACGCTTTTAAAGTTTGAATAAAAATATTAAGGAAGGAGCATATCAAAAAACTTATTACTCATTTAACAACACAAACATTTGATACGCTATACTGAAGCAGGTAAGTCAAATTGACGTATCTAAATTCTTTGACATCCAATCTTTGACAAGTAGTAAATAAAATCAAAAATGGAGGGAAAAATATCTAATACCTAAGTTAATTTTCAGAGAATTTCATAAATTTATGGGTTTAGTACAGTTCGTCTGCTGGATCTGTGTCTATGAAAGGAATGCGGACAGAAAACATTTAAATAAACAGCAATATATTTTATACGTCGACTTGACGAGTACGTCACCGCAAATCGCTCCGCCCACTCATTTTATTGGCTACTTGCAAATTTGTCGAATTTTTATTGCTGGGACGCGTCGTCTAATTTTTTACGAAAAATATCGAGATAATATCGTTTCCCCTCTCACGGATACTCTGTAGCCACAGAACGGACAGACGTACTTGTACATGTACTGTACATCTTTCCGTTCTGTAGCTACGGGGCATCCGTAAAGGGGGGAACGATATTCTCTCGATGTTTCTTGTAAAAAATTACACGCCGCGTCCCACCAATAAGAATTCGACAAATTTGCAAGTAGCCCATGAAATGAGTGGGCTGAGTGTTTTGCGGTGACATACTCGTCAAGTCCACGTGGACTCTCTGCCGCTTCTATTTAGGAAGCGATTTATAAAATACACACACCGGAAAAGTCTAGGGATATTACAATTTTATCCAGCCATCGCGCATCGTTAGTAATTTTATTATTTGCATTTCTGATATAATAAAATTAAAATAAACAAATAGTTTACAGGACGTATTGGAAATAAAAATGCGAAATTTACCGAATTTTTCAAATTTACCTTGATTTTTATTGAACTCAAAAAATACACACATTTTTTTTATTCTAAATTTTTTTATTCTAAATTTTCCTAAAGTGTGAATTAAAAAAAAAAGATAAAACCATTTTTACTTAATAAAGGGTATGGCCTCCTCTACTGTTCATTACAGCCCTACATCGTCTCTCCATGCTCCTGATCTGGTTGTCGATCTCTTCTTGAGGTACAGATCTCTACGAGTTTCACGAGGCATACCCATTCTCCAAATTCTTCTTTGGACCGCGTCCCATACGTGCTCGATGGAGTTGAGGTCAGGAGATTGTGCCGGCCAGGGTAAGATGTTTAATTGATGAGCATTAATAAACTCACTTACCACTCTGGGTGTATGAGGCCGTGCATTGTCGTGCATGAGAATGAAGTTTCTCCCAAAATCATTGGCATATGGTAACACGACAGGCTCAAGAATTAAATCACGATATGTGATTCCTTAACAGGAACTAACAGGAGGTTCTAACGAAACCCTTCAAGAAAAACAAGATCGGTTTATCGGCCTAACTGGACTCCTCCCCAGACCATAACTGTTCCACCTTGATAAGGGTGCACTCCCTGAACATGATCCAACTGAATAAGATTTCCCGGTTCTCTCCATACCCTAAGCCTTCTCGAATCCGGAAGAATTCCAAAAGATGACTCATTCGTGAAGAGAACATTGACCCATTGTTCATTCGACCACTGAACATGATCTTGAGCCCACAAATATCGTACCTCTCGATTTCCTCTCGTTAAGGGTAGAGCTCTCCAGGGGCGTCTGCTTCTTAAGTTGACCTTTCTTAATCTATTGCGAACAGTGTCAGGACTAACGGTTACATTATGTGTTTCCTGGAGAATTAAACTAAGCTCTGGTGCTGTAAGAGTCGGTCAGCGTCGAGCATTTAATTGTAAAAAATGATCTTGCTGAGGGGTAGTAATGCGATGTCGCCCTGTGTGCCTTTCAGCAACATCAACACTTTCACGGTAGCGTGCACATAATCGCGATATTACACTTTGCGTTGTATTTAATGCTCTAGCTACGTCGATTTGGCGCATTCCAGCTTCGAGCATACCCATGGCCCTTAGCATTTCGTCTCTATTAAGATGTCTACGCTCTATAATGTCGTTTAATACTAAACAGAGTTATTTGAATGAATTCTCGCCAGTTATCATAAAAACATAGCCAGTACAGGTTAAATTGACGAACAATTGATGCTAGGTGCTTTTTATACATTTGACAAAAAATGCACAAACACTTCTGCAAATATCCGAAATTTAGAAATAACTACTGTGACTACTTCGTTTCAATGGAAGTAGTAAGAATCGGCCTACAAATATGTGGTTGTTTATTCAAAACATTTATTTTTAACTTTAATAAAATGATATCCCTAGATTTTTCCGGTGTGTGTATATTGCTGTTTATTTAAATGGTTTTAGCCACATTCCTTTTATAGACACAGATCCAGTAGACGTACTGTATATATATTAGTGATTACTAGTGAAAGGTTATTCCATTATTTCAGTCGATTTTTGACGATAAACAACCTAATCTACCATAATTAAGTTCTACCACAAAAAACTTTCTACTAGATTTACTACCTCTAAACAACTACTAGTTGTAGAATAAATAAAATAAAATGAGTTCACTGAAGACCGACAGATCCGCAAAATTTTAAATCAAATATGTCAAATGAATCGTCAAACAGCACTGTCAACGATTCCCACCTCTGTCTACCTTGCATGGATAACAATTTAAAGCTTTTAAATAATAATGCTTTCCATCAAATATTTTTGTAATTATTGTATTAGATGATTCACTTAGTGACCTTTTATAATTAATTGAATGATTTTGACAGCGAATATTCTATGCTACTATTAGTATTGAATTTCAAGAATCGACATTTATTTCTTTCCCTGCTTAATTTTTAGTGTTCAGCAACATATAGGTCTCACAATGACAAATACGTAACGTCACAATGCGATATGCGACAGTACAATCTCAAAAGAATGAGTAGATTCCGATATTCAGGCAGGAGTTCCATAAACATGGGCTCTTTTTGGAGTTCTCAAATCTGAACTGGTATCAGGATTAACAAAAAAGTTGTATATCTGACACACTAAATGCCGTTTACTTCCTATCTAAAGTTTATATAGACTGATTAGAAGTAATGTAAAGCTGAAGTTACACGTGTCAAGTAGTTAAAGCAAGCTACTAAATCAAGTAGCTAAAATTTAGCCCGTTCATTTTAGTGAGCGTCTACATTTTATTTTTTATTGCTATTTAGTTGTTGATTTAACCAGGATTTTACGCTCTGGACATAAATATCCTTCGAACCTGCTACCGATTTCATAAGCTCTTTATTTTCTTTTTTTTTCTTGACAATAAGTTGACCTCAATGCCTGTATATTGTTTTAAATTTCATGAACTCCAAATCCTTCTATAGCTATGATCTCCTCAATTTCCTAATACGCTGTGTCCCGAGTCTCGAGCTTGTTTATTTTTATAAACGGCAGCCCTTGTATCCCATAAGTATCCCTTGTATTCCATATTTTTCTACAAACTTATTCAATAGACAAAATTAATAATTCAAATAAAATAAACGCTAGTAGTCTTGGCTAATGAACTTGGCTAAACTAGCCGGTCTACACTTGTTTAGTCGGTGCAAAGTTGGCACTTTAATTGCCCAAAAACAGAGGTGGCGATGTCCACTTGCGCAAGTAAATAGGAATCGTTTCTATTAAGTTGACTAAACAGTTTATAAATCTGTTACTTGCGCAAGTTCTAAATCAGGTTGTTTACACCATGCATGTCACTAAATTTAGTAATTAATTTAGTAACTTGCTTTAGCTACTTGACACGTGTAAATTAGGTTTTATATTAATGAAGAAATTACCATGTCGGAAGGTTCTTAGCGAGTCAGACGTACTGACATCACTTCCGTAGACGGTAGAAGCATCTATATATGATGTAACTTGATTAATTTGTTCTCTCCAGCCTAATTTGCAGTCGATTCTGGTAGATGGGGCGCTGCGGGTAAATTCCATACAACGAACGCCAAAGCGACTTAAGAATGGATCCGTCGAAGACACTTCTATTGGTAAACATGAAGGATGCTGTAAGTTGATTCACAGTGTAAAATTTAACAGACTCTAAATTAACTATTTGTTATTATTGAACGTGAAATGTTGTTAAAGTCACTTACCAAAAAATCCGAATGCAAGAAACTTCTACCGCCATCTCCGCAACACTGAGGAATAGATTCGTTAAAGCTCTGAATTTTGACAGTTGATGTAATGTCATGATCAATGAATTGACCCCATTGCATAAACATCAACGTGACGGATTGTAATTCATTGTTTCTGTCGACATGTATCACTTTGCTTATTTGACGTGGCGAGGGTAGCGGATCCCCAAATATGGATCTCCGGATACTTTGAAGCCCTAAATAATTAAAGATGAAACATTAATCATAATACACTAAAACATATTATTTTTTAACTCGCGTTTTGCTAATCATGATAGTATATTATAATTACAACCTACTAAAGAGCTTTTGAATTTAAATTTGTCTACATTCTTAAAACTTCATGCTCTAGAAGATTAAAATGTAATTTTTCTAGAAGGGTATTGAAAAATTCGCATCTGGCACGTCGACAGAAAATAAAATCTCCCGAGAATCCATAAAGTCGAGTAGCTCGCATCCATCTTTCTATAAAAATAATTTTTGTAGCACCGTTAAATCCAGTCGTCGCTCGAAGATATATTAAAGTTCAAAAGACAATTTATCAAAACAGAACATGTGTTCTTACAGTTTTATTTTCAAGAACTTTCTTACTTTTTTATCATCCGTTTGTAACGTATCGACAATATTGATCGTAATATTCGTAATACATTTTTTAGCAGTCTTATTGAGTATTATTCTTTAGAACATTTTTAACTAGGTTTTTTTGTCTTTTAATTTTCTTGTATTTTTAACAATTATTCTGCATGCATTTATTTTAATATTAAGTAATTTAACCCAGATTATTAAAAATATATATTCTTCTTATACTAGCTTCGGTATGGTTATTTTTTAATTCGTAAATATAAATTGCGCGATATCCTCTATAACTGTTTACAGCAACATTAGAAGAAATTTTCCGTCAACTGGACTGGATCAACAAAGGATTAAAAATAGATGGAGAATATCTTAACCATCTAAGATTCTGATAACATAGTTCTAATTGCCATTAATAGTCCTGAAGAACTACAAGCAGAAATTGATAAACTAAATACAGCCAGTAATAAAGTGGGTCTCAAAATGAATTTAGCAAAAACTAATGTACGAACTAGTGGAAAGTAAAGACATTCTAATAAATAACCCAACACTGAAAATAGTAGAAGAATATATATATTTGGGACAACTAATACACAGCTCGGGATCTCTACTACCAGAAATCAACAGAATAATTAAGTTAGCATGGGGTCCTTATGGAAGAAACTCAATTATATTCAAATCTAGAATGCCACTATCTGAAAAAGAAAACATTCGATCAATGTGGACTACCACTCATAACCTATGCATGCGAAACCTGGACATCACTTAAAACGGACATTATCAGGAAATTGCAGGCCGCACAATGCTCAATGGAACGAAATATGCTGGGAATAACCAAGAGAAACCGTAAAAGAATAGAGTGGATACGACAAAAGACCCAGGTAATAGATGTCATCAACAGAGTCAAATCCCTCAAATGGCAATGGACAAGATACCTAGCAAGAAGAAAAGACAACAGATGGACCACAAAACAATAACAGCACTGTACACACGAAGAATTAAGAGATCTAGAGCAAGACCGAACCTGAGATGGGACAATGATATTAGGAAATTAGCAAGGATAACTTGGGCCCGCATAGCTAACAATAGACAACATATAAAGCAAAGCCCAACTATAAAGAGAGTATGTGAGGGAGGCCACACCATAATTGGAAATGGTTGAATAAGCTGAAAATGATGATGATGATAATGATAAAATAGAAATTGAGAGTTTGTGCTCAATTTTTTTTTTCGCGATTCTATCGGTTGTACCATGACGTGTCGCCGGAATATTTCCATTCAAGGCTCCATGTTCATTACTCTGCGGACTATGTTCACCGTACCCAAAATAGCTGCTTAAATACATTGACTTATGATATTTTCTGGTAGCTTCAGCTCCTTTAAGTTCTTCTCAAAATCAATGTGAACCAGACCATTGCTTGAAATGATGAGTGGTATTACTCGGGTTGCTTTAAGATGAGAGGTTTGCCTCATATCGAAAGCCAAACTTGATACTTCGAAATTTTTTCCCTTGCAGTTTTGACTACGCTGTGATCTAGTGGTACAGCTACGTCGATTAAGTAGGCTTTCTTTTCGTTTTTATCTATCCAAACAATGTTCGGCTTATTATGAACTACTGATCTGTCTGTCTGTATTTGCGTATTCCAGTATACTTTATGATGTTCGTTTTCCTCTAATTCTTGTGGCCTGTATACTGTAATATTTCTTTTCAGGATTCTTGATTTTTAGGCACTTTAGCATTTCCAGGTGAATAATCTTTGCTATGTTGTCGTGTCTTTCCGTGTAGTGGACTGACGCAAGACTCTCACATCCAGAGCTGATGTGTTGGATGGATGTGTATGGATTCACTGTAATGCGGTCAATCTCGCATATTGTTCGATGAAGGTAAGTATCTTTGCATAAAATAGGTTGCTAGTTTGTTATTTTGTCTGTTGCATGCTCTTTCAACATTGATAAGTCCTCTCCCTCCATGGATCCTGGGGAGATACAACCTGATTTTTGAAGACGTCTGATGGTGCAATCTGAACTGTGATACTGTTCTCCTAGTACCTCTGTCTATTTCCTGCAGCTCTGTTTTGGACCATTTCAAGACTCCGTATGTGTGCGCCAGGACAGGAATTGCCCATCTATTGACTGCTGCAATCTTCTGTCTGTCTGGTAAGTATGTTTTACAAACTGTTTTCACTCTCTTTAGGTAAGTATTTTTCATTCTGGTCTTCATTTCCTTATCCTTGATCTGCCCTGTTTGTAACATTCCAAGATATTTGTATGCAGATGTTTTTTAATGTCTCTATCTCTGTACCATCCATTAGTGTAACATTGTCATGACTTATCAGCTTACCTTTTTTGTAGTGTACAGTAGCACATTTAGATAAGCCAAATTCCATATGGATTGATTTGCTGAAAGGGGATACCAATTCCAACGGACTTTGAAGCTGCTCGGGGTTATTTGCATATACCTTAAGATCGTCCATGTACATAAGATGATTTAGTACTACTTTGTTTCGCTTGGTGATCTTGTAGCCTAGGTTGCTGTTTGAAAGTATCTTATTCAAGGGGTTTAAGGCCAAACATGTGCTTGATAATTATAGGAGTTTTAATAATAAGTACCTCTGATTTTGTGGCTATACATTTTGTTTGTAAATATAATATTTGACTAATTAAAAAAAAGAGTCATTGTCTACTACTGTTTTTCTTTCTCCAGTATATCAGATGATAACAAAATCATTGTAGGTACATTTTTATTATATTTTATGTATAACCACGAAAGATGAATCAAAAATGTAGTTAATATTTTTTTTAGTTTAGCAACACTAGCCACAGAAACTGTCATTTTTACTCCTAATAAAACAATATACTATTATTTAATAGTGACTGAAGTTGACTGCTAGAAAAAAATATACAATAATTCTTTTATTTTTACATTTCTCTAAAGCTGCTTAATAATATTTAATTAACTGTATTGTGCTAATTTTTGCGACGTGATTGACAATGTAAAAAAGTCATTTTAACGCCTAGGCATAAAACTTTGGCATAAAAGTAAAGGGTTTTTACGCGTAAGCAGAAAAGTACCAAAATAAAGTCAGTTAATCAAACTGACATGTCTAATTCAACGAGTGTAACCATTAACCATCGTTTCTCGATATACAGGGTGGTCCGAACTGTATTCCGGAAACTTCAGCTGCATATTCTGCAGTTAAAAATAAGTAAAAAAGTTCGTAAAGTAAACGCCACGAATGTTTGGGAGTGATTCATCGCTTGATGAAGTTAGAATCGACACGCGCGCTATCATTTTTACATTAAAAACGTAAATTTTTACCGCAGACGTAGGTTTTTAAAGGCCCGGTTCAATCATCTGCCTGCGCTCCTCCTACTTATTCTAAAATGTTAGCGTGATTGACAAAGACGATACTATATCGCGTTTCTTTGATTGATTCGTTTTTGTGCGTCAGTCCATTGGTGTGCTTGCAGTGCGGCCAATGGGGCATTCCAGTTTATATTTATAACCAAATATATGTTTTGACAAGACTTTGACAGTTAAAACAACAAATTACAACATATTATATATTTATTATTATATGACTTGAAACACCACGGCACTGGAATTAAGTTTTATGTGAGCTTGAACAGATTAGTTCACATGGTAACGACCGATGAATCACTCCCAAACATTCGTGGCGTTTACTATATAAATGTATGTCCTAAAATGCTTACTCTCATTTTTTCTAAATAATTTCTGAAGTAACATCAATATTTGGATGAAAATTGGTGTATGGGAGTTTTTTGACATGGGAAATTTGATTTTGGTGTCAATATGACTCCTAACTAGTAGAGGGCGCCACCTACATGTGTTTTAACTGTTTTGAAGCGTAATAACTTTTTGTTCGTACATGTATAACACTATCGAGCGAAAAAATATACATCTCTGTGACTTTTTACGTAAAAAATATCTCTTTGTAAAAATCGCTACGAGCAACCGTTCTTAAGACATTTAGAATAGAAATAGACAATACATGTCATTATTGACGAAAAATAAACCCGTTGAGTAGATAGTTATTTCACTGAAATAATAACTTTGGGACATTTTTATTTCTTTAAATTAATCATAATTTTTTCTGCAAAAAATGATAATAAAACAGTTTTTGTTGAACTTTTGGCACAAAAACTTTTCAAATTTATGATTTCAGTCTAATAACTATTTAGTCAACATGTTTAATTTATGTCAATGGTGACAGGTATTGATAATGTCGATTCCAAATATCTGGAAACCCATTACTCGTAGCGATTTTTACCAAGAGACCTTCTTCACGTAAAAAACGTCATAAATGTATACTCAGTAGTTTTATACAGGTACGGACGAAAAGTTATTACTCTTCAAACCAGTTAAAAAATATGTAGGTGGCGCCCTCTACTAGTAGGAGTCATATTGACATCAAAATCAAATTTCTCATGTCAAAAAACTCCCAGACACCAATTTTCATTCAAATATTGACGTTACTTCAGAAATTATTAGGAAAAAATTAAAATAAAAATGAAACTTCTACCCCTGTATCTCGGAAACTAAACATTTTAGGATATACATTATACGAACTTTTTTACTTATTTTTATCTGTGGAATATGCTGCCGAAGTTTCCGGAATACAATTCGGACTACCCTGTATAATTACTTACAAATTATTACTTTTAAACATTTTTATATTATTTGCAACGTTCGAAATTGTTTAAAAAAATATTTGTGTGTGTAAAGAAAATATATATTGATAGTAAAGTACACAAAAAGTAACTTTGACTCCAAATAGGACATGCTATTATTGTTGAAAACAGGAGACACAACATTCAGAGTTGAAAACATCAACAACTATAGGTAATTTCAGTTGGGGGTTGGAAGCTTCGGCGATAAAACAGCAAAATAAAACACTAACTCACCACAATACACCAAAAGGCTTTACATATAACACTGGACGCGCGTTTTGCTAACATGTTCCGCATATCACCAGCAGATGTTTAAAACGTTTAAATCATTTGCTGATGATGGGGGTTGATGGTTAGCGAAAGGCGCGTCCAGTTTTTTATTTTGCAAATATTGTTAAGTATTAAACATATTACATACCGTCCTCGTAGACTGGTGCAAGAAATCTTTGCATCGGGAACAGAGCCGAACCCCTCCATGGATGATCCGGATTATTACAGGTACCATCAGCTGTTCTAAATCTTTTCGACGCAGGAGGACATGTTGGAAGACCCCTTAGAGGGCACTCATCCAGATCTATTCTGGCCTGTAGGTCTTCGGGAAGACCTGCTATTTCTCTACCGACATTTCCGTGATATCTAAAAATCGAAGAAAAAAATCCTTAACAAAACAACCAATAATACAAAAAATACAATGTACCCTGATATCTATAATATACATTCAGAGTTAAACCAAAAAAATTCGGTTATTTGCAGAAAAATGCAAGTTATGTTTGTGATAAAATATATATAACAGTTTCCCAGAAAGCGTCAGAAATCTTCCCAATAAAATGGCGAAGAGTACTGTAATTATAAATACCTATTAAAAAGTCATTTTACTCTATTAATGCGTTTTTTAATGACAATGATTATGGATTTTACATTATATACAGTATATCCCCTGATTGTCTTTACAAAAGAGGAAAAACTTTTTCATTATTGAGACTTTGATAAAAATGCATTCTTCATAAAAAATGTAGCTTGTTCCATCCCGATTATACTTTTCCAAATTTCTATCCCGTTTTAGAGAAAATTAAAAAGTCCTAAACATTAAAAGGCGTTTCTATGGTAATATAATTTCGATTTCATGCTTTGATAGATGGTTATTATTAATTTTGATTAACGTTATACTTTTCCTGTTGTTAAGTACTATATTTTCCTAAAACTATTATCACCATTTCTCTAACATTGAACTAAATAAATCTTGTGCTTCTTTAACACCTTAAAACAGTAAAAAATATGACGTTAATTAAAATTCTATCAATAAGGATCTATCAAAAAATTAAAACTAAGTTATTACCATATAGAAACGCGTTTTGATTTTTAATTTTCTAGAAAACGGCATAGAAATTTGGAAAAGTATGAACGGGATTAACAGCTTTTATTATAAAGAATGCATTCTCAATAATAAAGAAGTTTTTTTCCTCTTGTAAAGACAATCTGGGGACAAACTGTAGAACATCTTAAAAAATAATCATTTTTAAATTTCAATCTTTCTTTACATAAATATTTATTTTCCAGATTGTTAAATTTTTAAATATTGTAATGTTAAGATCCGAATTTGTTTTAAATTGTTTACTGTTATGTTGGCTGATTTTTGTATTTCTAGGATTATATTTTAGTTATACTTCTGAATAATTTATATACATATACATATGTATATTGTAATTTTTCATTGGAACACACAAATAAATTAAACTATTACTACTACTAACTTATACCCCATAACAGTATCTAGTTAAGTACATCATTATATATGTATTTTAAAACAAATAAAAGCAGGTGCAGTATAATATGATTACTTATAACATTAGCATTAGGTATTAGCTATATTTTTTTTACGAAGTATTTGTATAGATATTTATTAGCAAACTAGCAGTATATTTTATTATATTTTAATAATTATATTTGTGACAAAACATTGTTTGGTGGAAGCACATCTTAATTTTAAAAGTCGCAAATATAATATGGATTTTGATTTATAAACCACTCACATGAGAAAAAAAACTGTATATATCAGCTGTTTATTATAATATAGTACAAAAATAAGAATCTAATACACCTAAAATTAAAAATCAACTAAAACTGATTGAATCGAAATTGAAATCGAATCAGAATGATGGCCGTCCGAAATCGCAATTCGAACTGCTAACGCAACAATAATAATAAGTAATTAGTTTTAAAAAGCGTTTGTAAGAAAAAAATCGGAGAAAAACATCTATAAGTAAAATCGAGAGTAGACTCGTGCTTGCCTCTTACTTTCTCTTTATGCAGATCGTAATTTCCCTTTTTTTATCTTTTATCAACACCAGGCTAAAAAGTCTCTCTGTGTCCTACTGACACAGAACAGTCTTCACTTTCGAACATCTGAATACTTATATACGTTTCATTAGAGAAAATAGAGAAATTCGTATTGGTTTTAAAAATCACCAATAATTCCAATAATTATTATTTAACTCCATAGGTATAAAAGTATAAAAAGAAATATTTTTTATGAACAATTTTATAGCCGGAATAAAAATAGGTTTCATTAATTACTATGTTTTTCATAGCACAGAGTTAACAAAATTATTAGAATCACAAGAGACCTGACATTAGACACATACAGGTGTTTTAATCTCTCGTAGGCAGAATCCTCTCGTAAAAATAAGATTTATTTTTTATATCAACATAGGTCCGATTTTGCTTTGTTTCGTAGGTTCAAGGGGTTTTAGTCTTCATTTTTTACGATTTATTATAATTTCCTTCCAAGTGCTTTTAGCTATTCAAATGAAATTTTGAGAGTGAGACCCAGCTCACACGATGCAACTGTTTTGAGACAAAAGTTGCAATTCAGTTGCACTTGCAACTGTTTTGCAACCTCGGGAGCGTATAATAATGTGAAGCCGCACACGAATTGATTCTAACGGGACTAGTTTGCAATCAGTCGCAGATCTGTTGTTCGCGACCATTTTCCGCGGTCGCAGTTGCCTTGCATTTTAAAAGTTGCTTGTTTTTGTTATTTCGTCTGAGTCCTGCGTTGTCCGCGGTATTGATAATAATTAAGTATGTCTTCATCATCTGAGTCCGAATATTCGAAATTTGACATAGTAACTTATTTAAATTGAATACTACACCAACTGATTGAAACTGATTCATATGAGTTGCATCCGTGCGCGGGCAGCAGGTTTACAGTACGTCCGTCCGTTCTGTACACAGGTTCTGTAGCTACGGGGAATTCGTGAGAGGGGAAACGATATTCTCTCGATGTTTTTCGTAAAAAATTAGACGACGCGTCCCATCAACAAAAATTCGACAAATTTGCAAGTAGCCAATAAAATGAGTGGGCGGAGCGATTTGCGGTGACGCAGTCGTCAAATCGACGTATAAAATATATTGCTGTTTATTTAAATGTTTTTGTCCTCATTCCTTTCATAGACGCAGATCCAGCAGATGTAAAGTACGTCTGCCCCACTAACTTTTTTTTCTTTCGTTAGCAAAATTGTGCTGATTAGCAAAATAATATCGATTAAAGTTTGGCTTTTGATATTTTGACGATTTCGCTCTTCTTGATGAGATAAAGGAGTTTTTATTAATTTGCTTTAATCTAATAATAAGTTTAATAGCAACATTTAAAATAAAAATAATGTCATATTAACTGGACAAAGTGTATAAGTAAGTGACATTGATTCCTTATAGGAAAATAGTAAAAAAAGTAAGCGTGAGTGTAGAAATGCATAGGTTTAATGTTACAGGATGTTAAAATTTTAAAAAAATAGATTTTTAGTAATTATCTTAAAAACCATTATTTTTTCATGACTTCGCTGTATGTAGCACTGAACATCAGTTTAATTAATTTATTAAGTTCATTTTTACTCTAATTTTATTAATTGTGATTAAGAAAATTGCGTTTATCTTATGAAGGAGAGCGAAATTTACAAAATATCAAGATAAAACTTTTAACCGGCATTAAACGCCTTATAGAATTTACGATAACAAGAGAAAAAAATCAGTGGAGCACATGCTTTTCTTTTAAATATTTCAGTGATAACCCATATGAATGTCCTTGGTAAATCTGTTGACACTTTTTTAGCATTAAAATATGTAGTACCTACTTATAGCAGCTTTTCAGCGCTTTCAGATGGAGCGGATCGTACGCGCGGAGCGTCCGCGCTGATATTTTTTCAATATAGCTCATCCGGACGGAGCATACGCGATCCATGTGAAATTGTTCATATTATAAGCTTATGATACCTGTTCGAAGTCGCGGACGGTCCGTCGCGGACGCTCCGCTCCATCGGAAATCGCTGTTTACCTTCAAAATTGAATCGCTAAAAGTACTTATAATAAATCACTTATTATCAGTGAAATTATAATAAATTGAACAAAAATGAAGAGTTTAACCCCCTGTAGCAACGAACTACGTACTATGTCGAAAAAAAATGGAATGAAAATCGCTGTCACTTTATATCCGTGCTTTATATACAAAGTTAAAAGCGGAATATCATCGATCCCCATTTCCAAGTCAAAAGAAAACTGCTTTATTCGATCATACGGTATAAATTCATATATTATTTTAATATTTTCTAATTAGTTATTATTAGGAGAATATTTAGTTAAAATTGTGTTTGGTTATAACGCAATGCGATGTTACGTCTATTCTTTATTTGAAATACGTCTTACTACTTTCTTTGAAATTGTTAAACCGCTGAATTAAGTTTACAGATAAGAACATTGTAGAAAACTTTTTAAATCGCTTTTAGAAAAGGGAAAACTTTACAAACTGAAAAACATCTGCTGCATTTCAAACAATTAGATTTCTTGTACTTTATTTCAACTTGAACATGAAACTTTAGTGCGTTGGAAGTTATTGTAAGATTTTATATTTTGATATTTCGTATTTAAATAGCAAAACAGAATAACCGAATAAAATTTTACAATGCCCATATCGGATTAAATAGATTCAATAATAAAAACAAGGCACTCGGATATTTATTAAATATCTATCCTATATTAATATCTATTTTAAATATTTTCTTTCTTTTTTTAAAAGAAATAATCACTTCTTTCTATATTTTTTTCATTACGAATTTTTGCATTTGTGGAATTTTATTGGAAAAAATTGCATTTGTGTCAATTTTATTGCGTTCTAACAAATCATTGTTTTGTAAAAATCAATACATGCTCTTGTAGGAAATTGAAATTGTCTTCAAAAAAGGTCTGATATGAATTTTCATTTAATCGACTCGTTTGAAACTTATTGAAGATTAAAATTCAACTTCAAATCGTAATATGATAACTTCCACAATTTTTTATATTTTATCACGAAATAATAGCTCAAAAACATAAAATATATTTATGCTCAAAAACATAAAAATTTTGCGCTAAAGTTATCATATACGATTTGAAGTTGATTTTTAATCTTCAATAAGTTTCAAACGAGTCGATTAAATGACAATTCATATCAGATCTTTTTTGAAGACCGTTCAATTCCCTACAAGAGCATGTATTGATTTTTACAAAACGATGATTTGTGAGCGCAATAAAGTTCCAAATAAAAAAATTGTTTCCCCCTGTTATTTAAATGGAAAATAGAAAATCACGATGAGATACCTCTTAAT